ATCGCATCTCGTGTCACAACAATCAGACGGAGCCGTGCTCAAGAAGAGGAGACAAATATCACGTATGAAGTGAAAACAGACGGACTTCATGACCTCCTGATCACCACAAAAGATAGGCTGATTCCGTCCTCGAGGGCCATTGCCACTCGGCAGACGTTCCTGCTTGTCCGTCCGTGGGATCGTTACCTCCTCGAGCTGTCCTGACTCTAGAGATGACACACAGAGCGTGGAGGAGTCTCCTGCAGAAGTTTATTCGGAGTCTCACCCACGAGCATCGCGATTGATCGATCGCATGCGACAACCTTTCGGAGCATTCATTGATTCACTCGGTCGATCTTCTGGAAACAGGGGGCCAGTTGATTCGGAGTCTCACTTCCAAGCGTTGCGATTGATTTCTTGCCTCGGACAGCCTTTCCACGCATTTTTGCTAGCGCAGCAGCATGGCGGAGAATACAAGAGGATCGCAACGGATTGCAATATCATTGCACAAGTCAAGGACATGGCTTCTGTTCGCAACATGATAGATGGAGTGAGGACGGTAGAGATATTGTAGCTGCTTTTTTTTTATTAAGAACCAACAACTTTCAGGAGTTTTCATTATTGACAATGACTTGCATACACACGTAGTAGGGCTTTGCACTTAGTCGAAAATAATTCAATTGTAGCAAGCATACGAGCATTAATGGTTTCCAATTGGTTGACACGGTCGCCCCCCGCTAAAGGCCCCAGTCATTAATGGACAGGCACAGACGATCTGAATGCTTTATTTGATGAGCAGGATGCGGGAGGCTGTAGCACTGGTGAAGAAGGTCGTCTATCACTGGGTCATAAGATGATAGATGTCAGGGAGATTGGGGGCACGCGACGGAAAATGTCCCAGCAGCAGAATTCGATTGGGATGAACACCCGAGGTCCTGTACATCGGCACTTCGATATTTTCAACATTAATGCAGTTGAGCCATGCAAAATGTTATAAACAGCAGATCCTCGGTGATGTCTAACATAGTGATTTGCCAGCAGACAACAAACTCAGATTAAAAAGGGGGTAGATCCTGAGTTGGCTGAGAGCATTCAAGAGCGTGCAAGATTGCCACAGAAAGGTTCAACAACGATGGGCCGCCCCGTTATTGGGAGAGAACCCCCTCAAGATTTGATCACGAATGCGACGCATATCATTTAGCTCAGAGTAAATAGTTCTGAACAACACATGAGAAGTCCTTCACAGCTCGACCTTGCAACAAAAGTTCATGAGAACTAGCCTATACGGGAAGCGAGACTATTGGACATACTCCTGCAGACTGTGGAAATTGACAGAACAGACAAGGCAATAGTACATTGACTCATAATCCGGACAGGTTGGACAGTGCGCTATAATAGCACCAACATATGAGTAGGACATCCTGTCCCAGAAGACTAAAGGCGATGGTCCAGTCACAAAGGAGTCAGGACGCCGTGAAGTAAAGTGAAATCGTCGAGTAAGGTAGATATGATAACCGGGATACAGCCTTGCAATAAATATTAAATATAGATTTGAGGGGTGTAAAGCCTCGTGTCCTGGGCGTCTAATGAGATATGAGGCTGTGAAGCAGCACAAAAACGGCATGTACACCCTCAAACCTTACAGCAAGTCCACATTGACTGTACATCATCCACCTCCAGCAAAATGACGGAAGCAGCGGAGCCCATCATTCGAATCACCACACCTAGTCGAACATTTGAAGGTCATGAAATTAATGTCCTGGCAGCCGCAGTTTTCCCCGATGGACGCCGTATGGTGACGGGGTCGTACGACAAGACGCTTCGTCTGTGGGACTTAGAAAACGGCATTATGTTGAAGAAAATAGAGGGGCATCACAACGGAGTACAAATAGTTGCGGTATCAAGAGACGGGCAGTTGATAGCAAGTGGTGATAGGACTGGAGAGGTCATTGCCTGGAACGGAGATGGCGAATCTCTGACACAACCTATCAAGGTTCACTCTTCACTGATCATATCGCTTGACTTTTCTCCAGATGGCGCAGTGCTCGCGAGTGGTTCATCGGACAGAACAACGGAGCTCTGGAACACAAAAACGTGGCAGGTTCAAGAAAATCCAATCAATTGTAACGCAGATGTCAAATGTGTTCAGTATTCTCCGTCTGGTCAACATCTTGCCATCGCGACAATCCAGAATATCCAAATATGGAATCCAGACACCCGGGAATGCATCGCAAAATTCAAAGGTCACAATGCATTCAACAACGGAGCGTGGAACTTCTCACTCGTGTGGACGCTCGAGGGCTCACGGCTTCTCTCAGCTGGAAGCTTCAAGGATCCCACCATACGGGAGTGGGATACTTCAACCTGGAAGCAGGTCGGTGAGGCATGGAAGGGCCATGGTAACGTTGTTCGCGCCATTGCCATAAACCCTACTGGCACCCTTGTCGCATCCGCGTCTGACGACAGCCATATCCGCCTGTGGCGGCTCTCGGATCGACGAACCATCGCCATATTCAAGCACTCATACGAGGTGTACGGTGTTACTTTCTCCACGGATGGCAAGCACATCCTAAGCGGAGGTAGAGATCCCAAGGTCTCAGAGTGGGAGGTACCCGATGACGCTTTGCTGGAGGTCACTCCCCAGGAACAGGCGTCGGGGGTAAGTTCCTGTTCATTTCCCGTCCCTTCTTCATCTCACCTCATCCAAGGATGCATTAGTATTGCCGGAGGACACTTCGGACGAGCAGGTGACAAAAAATGTGAGTTATCATTGATTTTCTGCTCATCCGTCATTAGCCCTCAATCTTGGTGCCAAGGCTCAGGTGTCTGCTTTGGAGGCATGTTTCCACCACTCACTCTTATGACTCAATGTGACCATGCGAAATGCAGATTACCTCCAGCAGAATTGCAGAAGCAGCGCAGCCCATTGTTCGAATCACCACACCTAGTCGAACACTTGACGGTCACAGCAGAATGGCGGAAGCGGAGCCCATCATTCGAATCACCACCCCCAGTCGAACATTTGGAGGTCACGAAAATCATGCCCCGGAAGTCGCGGTCTTCCCCGATAGACGCCGTATGGTGACGGGCTCGTACGACAAGACACTTCGTCTGTGGGACTTAGAAAATGGTGTTGTGTTGAAGGAGATGCAGGGGCATCGCAACACTATACAAACAGTTGCAGTATCAAGTGACGGACAATTCATAGCAAGCGGAGATAAGAGTGGAGAGGTCATTGCCTGGAACAGAGATGGGGAATCTCTCATCCCACCCATCAAAGTCCACTCTCGCTGCATGATGTCGCTCAACTTTTCTCCGGATAGCGCAGTGCTCGCGAGTGGTTCACGTGACAGAACAACGGAGCTCTGGAGCACAAAAACATGGCAGGTTCAAGAAAACCCACTCAATTGTAACGCAGAGGTCAACTGCATTCGGTATTCCCCGTCTGGTCAACATCTTGCCATCGCGACAGACGAGAATATCCAAATATGGAATCCAGGCACCAGGGAATGCATCACAAAATTCAAAGGTCACAATGCATTCGACGGAGCGTGGAACTTCTCACTCGTGTGGATGCTTGATGGCACACGGCTACTCTCAGGTGGAAGCTATAAGGATCCCACCATACGGGAGTGGGATGCATCAACCTGGAAGCAGGTCGGTGAGGCATGGAAGGGCCATACTGCTATCGTCCGCGCCATTGCCATAAACCATACTGGCACCCTTGTCGCATCCGCATCTGACGACAGCCATATTCGCCTGTGGCGGCTCTCGGATCGACGAACCATCGCCATATTCAAGCACTCATACGAGGTGTACAGTATTACCTTCTCGATGGATGGCAAGCACATCCTAAGCGGAGGTACAGATTCGAAAGCTTTAGAATGGGTGGTACCCAATGATGCTTCCCTGGAAGTCACTACCGTGAAACAGGTGTCAGAGGGGAGTGTTAATTTCCCGACCGCTCGTCATCTCATCTTGTCCAAGGATGCGGTGCCAGAGGATGCTTCAGAGGAGCAGGTGACAAAAAATGTGAGTTTCTATTGATTTCCTGCTCGTCCGTTTACTTGCACATTAACCCTCAATCTTGGTGCCAAGGCTCAGGTGTCTGTTTCGGAGGCATGTTTTCACCCATCATCCTTATGACGCAATGTGACCCATACATAATGCAGATCCTCGCCATGAGCATGACAGCCCGCGATGCATGCATAACTGGGGACTTGCCTACCGCTGATAGGCTACTAACACAAGAGATCAATACTGATGACAACAACTACAACTCTTATGCGAATCGCTCGTTTGTTATGGCGAGAAAATATGATTGGGACAGTGCACTCCATGACGCACTCAAGGTAAGTTACACTGTCGCATGGTGGCCTGATTATGATAGGCTAACTTATATGGCGAAATAGAGCATCGACATTCAGCCCTCGTTAATAGGCTGTATTTCCAAGTGCATCGCCCTCTGCGGGAAAAGGCAAATCCAGGAGGCAATGACGGCATTTGACCTCGTGTACATGTTCGTGGATGGAGATTTGAATACCACTCATCTTCTGCTCTTGATCAAGGTATCTTGAATATTCTCTCGCATACTCCCTACTTCATGACCCCTGGCAGGCCATCGCTATTTTTAATGCACATCAACATGACGAAGCAATTCTGCGCGTTCGGGAGCTAGCCGCTACTTTCCCCAGTGCTGATACTCTAGCCTGTCAAGTCGTCGAAGTGAGTGTCCTTGATTCCACATCAATGCGTTGACACTGATTTTTGCGAACTTCGCACATCAGACTTATCTCCATGTCCAATTGGGAACCGATGCCTTAGATGGCATGCATTACAACGAAGCTGCTGACCACTTCCGCGCTGCTGTCAATGTGATAGCTTTCTCATCTACATCGCCCATCCATTCTAAATATGAGGTCTTCGTGGTGGTACGTGCATGCAATGCTCCTGAAAATCTTTTTTTCACTGCTCAACTGTGTGCTGTTTGTTCAGCTATTCGGGTGGGACCTCGAAGTCCTTGTGGCGAACCGCACACCAGAATTGGTGCCATGCACTCGTTCATGCAGGTAGACCTGGCGAAGCCCTCAAATCGTACCAATACATGATGGATGGGAGTGATGAATCTATGAAAGAAAGCTGCCTTGATTGGTCCGCTGGCAAGTCTTCATAACATTACCAGACTACAATGCTTACCCGCATTCCACTCAGCCTTCAAACATGATTGCAGCACTCTTTATGCTGCCCAGGGAGTTGCTGGACTCGTAGCAAAGGGAGATACTGCCCTCGCCACGAGCGATTATGACAGCGCTATCGAGCTGTATTCGGTGGCAATCGACCTCGATTTAGCAACCGATACCATTTTTGCAAACCGCTGCAAGGCGAAGTTGGGAAAAATGCTATGGGAGGATGCGCTTCTCGATGCGCAGAAGGTGCGATGACATCTATTGTTTTATGTCGCACTCTCATCGCGCAAATATGCAGGTCATCGACCTCACCCCTTCGTCTTTTTTCGGATACCAGTTGAGGAATGCAGCACTTCATGGCGCAGAACACTATGATGAAGCGATCGAGGCCTTCGAAATCATGCTCTCCAAGGTGGAAAATGCTCCCGACTCGCAAACACAACGTACGTCCTGAATAACACATCTTTCAACATGCTTGACTCTTTCTCCAGAGCTGCGCCAACAATACCTCAGTCGAGCCGAAGCAGAAGGTGCTATTCAAGAGACCATTAACGCTCAACTCGACAACGCCCCGCATCGTATGCTCGACACTTTCGCTGGGCGTTTATGCAATCGAGAGGCACAGATCAAGACCTTCAGAATGAGCATGGAGTACAAGGAGCTTTTATCATCAACAATGGCGCATGCAGACCTCCGAATGGAGCGCATCCAAGATGTAGTGGCAATGTACTTCCGTTGTGTCATGCTGTCGCATAGGTGGGGAGGGAAAGAGCCACTGCTGCGCGACATCCAGGACAAGGTCGTGTACGAGTTGAATCCACTTGGAGGCATCGCGAAGTTGCAGTCTTTCTGCACAACAGCTCGAGATATGGGGTATCGCTGGGCATGGGTTGACACATGCTGCATCGACCAAAGCAACAATGTTGAGGTCCAACAATCGGTCAACTCCATGTTTATCTGGTATCGCTACTCAGCGCTTACGATCGTTTACCTCTCCGATGTTCCACCTTTATCCAAGTCTGGCGCACTCGCAAATAGCGCCTGGAACACGCGAGGATGGACAGTTCAAGAATTCCTAGCCCCCAGAATTGTCCTCTTTTATCAGAAGGATTGGACCCTATACCTCGGTGATCGCTCTCCCAACCACAAGGAGTCAGTCGAAATCATGCGGGAGTTGACAGATGCAACAGGCATAGATGCACAAGCCCTCGTTTCCTTCCGTCCAGGGATGAGAGGCGCCCGAGAGAAACTACAATGGGTGTCTGCACGTGTCACCACATGGCCAGAAGACATCGCATACTCATTATTTGGCATCTTCGGCGTCAACCTCGCTGTTATTTATGGCGAGAAGCAGCAAAAGGCGCTCGGGCGGCTCTTGCAGGAGGTCGTGGCTCAGTCTGGTGACATTAGTGCGCTGGACTGGGTGGGACAATCATCCGAGTTCAACAGCTGTCTGCCAGCCAACATTACTTCATACAAAGCCCCGCCATACACTCTGCCATCTCTATCTGCAGATGAGATTCAAACATCGGTCTCCTTGCTGCGAAATGCCGTGGCTGTGGAATCAGCTTCGAAGCTTTATACCATGCTTGACCACATGACCGCTCCTCGTTTCGCGAACTGCAGGTTGCGTCTGCCTTGCATCGCGTTTCGTGTCACAGCAGTCAGACGGAGTCGTGCTCAAGACCAAGAGACATATGTCACGTATGAAGTCAAGGCGGTCGGGCTTCGTGACCTGGTGATCACCACGGAGGACAGGCTGAGTCAATTCTCACCGACACGGCCCACTATGCAAACATTTTTGCTTGTTCGTCCATGGAATCGTTATCTTCTCGACCTGCCTGACTTCGCGGAGCTCCCTAACTTGGCAGGGATGCTTGACGTTGCAGACGATACGCGGAGCGAGGAAGATTATTGGTCTATGCCTGGATCTCCGTTGCAGGATTCGCCTGAAGACCAGGAGCCGGTTGACCCGGAACTGAGCGAGCGAGCATTGCGATTGATTGTGCGCGTTGGGCAGCCTTTCAGCGCGTTTTTGCTAGGCGCAGCAGCGCGGTGGAGAATACAAGAGAATCGCGTCAGATCACGATATTATTGCACAGGTCAAAGACGCGGCTTCTATTGAGGACATGATGGACATCAGGATACTCGAGATATTGTAGCTGCATTTTTTTTGAAGAACAGAAAATTCTCTGTACTTAGTAGCTGTTGGAATCGGGGAAGCACGGGTCGCGCCCGACAAGGTGTTTAGCACTGTGCTTTCTCTACGAAGAAAATTCATTATTTATTGTGTCTTTGTACGCTAGATACTCGCCAGGACGTTTGCGACAGTAAGTAGTAGTGGAGTGGCTCAATCTGGAAGGTAGTTTTCCGCATTAGCTACCGTTACTTCGGGTCAGCTAGTAGTTGAAAGTCAAGCTCACAATATATAATTCATCAGCAAAACCGGCCGAACCTGATGAGGCCTTGCAGGGCCCAACAAGACCATACACGGTCCCGCTGTACATTGCGAAAATTGGAAGGCCTGCGATGCCTTGCGAGGAAATAGCCCTCTCTTGCATGGCCTTGTGAGAGCGTGTCTAGGGTGGCCTTCCGAGGGTGTCCAAGATGTGTTGACCTTGTAAGGCTGCTGAGGCTTGCAAGGGAATATTATATCACTTATAGATTAGAAGGCCCCACGAGATCACACGAAGCATGTTGTACTTTGGAAGGCCCAAGAGGCGGTGCATTAGTGTAGCAGCACTAGTATCAAAAGTACACCAGTCGTGCAAAGTCTCTGCGGTAAAGCCCAGAGCAGGATTGAGTCTATGGAAGCAACAAGCGGTGGTGCGAGAATAAGAATGAAAGTGAACAAGAATGTCGAGACAACTTTGAAAGCTCGCGGCTGACTCGGAGAGTGGTTGTCATCGTCAGCCAGATCAGCAATGAACAACGGGGACGTAGTAGAGCACCGGGAGTCGGTCCGAGACGGAGGCACTGCCAGAAATCGTTATTCATAACAGAAGAACAAAGGTCTTAAGGCATGTAGTACCTGAGGCCCATCTGCTTGCTCGGTTCAAAGATGTAACTGGCGGCCGTATGAGTTAGTCAGTCACTTTTCGAACCGGAGTGTCAGAACACCACACCGATGCCTACAAGAATCACCCGCAGCATTCGAGATCAAGTTAAATGTTGTACATTAAGCAAGCGCCCGAAACAAGAACATAGGATAGCACGTATCTTGGTCATCTCGGTACTGAAAATCCCGCTGAACCAGCAGGAAGATGCTCCAGGGATATCAGCAGGTCATAGAAAGGTAGAAGTGAGCGGACAAGCACCTAGCAGCAGAAAAGAGGCGCATATAAGGGCAGAAGGCGTGCATATAAGTACAAAGGAGTTGAAAAGGACACAGGGAATCGAGAGCATGGACATAAGGCAAAGAAAACGTACCATGGGGTGCAGAGGTGTCATTTGGCACTGTGAGAAGGGTCGGAAGATATACTATAATCAGCCCCGCTAGCGCTAGCGGGGATTGGACAGGCGAAAGTGCCACCCACCGTCGGATGCTAGACGAGCGCTGGTGGCAATAGCATGATACACCATTCACCCTGTCACCAGGAGTGTCCCTGAAGCTTTTAGACAAGATACGTGCCTTACTGGGGTGACAGCGTTGGTATTGGGGCGCTCGTTGCTGACGTTCTCTGATTCTGGCTGAGGGTGATAGTGTAAGACAGAGGGGAAAGAAGAGAGAGGACTGTGACCTAGTGGCGGAAAGATGAAAGGAAGGATTTATGTAAAACGTTGGAGCAATAAGTTCGGGGATGATGTGCGCAAGGTGTGACAAAATTGGCCTAAGCAAATTAAAGGAGTAGCTAGTAGTACAGAAGTTGGGAAGTTTTGTTGACGCGTTGTTTGTCGTATTCACGTGACATTCCGAGCGTCCTCTAGTACATACCTCCAACTGACGGCTAGACGTTAGAACTTGGCATGAGCAGAGCAGTGAGTATCAATGCTGTCACCCCTTCTCACGGTCTCCTACATGTATAGCGGATCTTCAGCGTCCACGGGGATCTACGTCGTCGAACATCAACGTCCCTCGCCGTTGAAATTTGGCGAAATAGACTCACTATTACTAGGTCATTCATGTGCGACCGAAGTCCATTTCCAAGCTGCCACCACTGTTACGGCTCTCTCCCCGCAAGAGCATCACGCGCTTGCGAACGGCAGTGAACTACGTGGAACTCTGCCTCTTGACTGAGGCATGTCTTAATACTAATATTCCATCAGTGCCCTCGATCATGTAGCTTTCGCCTCCTCTGCAGTAAAACTCGAACCCCGAATCAAAATCTGGCAGTTTAACTGCCGGTTATCTATTCTTTCGTCAAGCTCTACGTGACGTAATGGACGGCCTCAACTGTCAGTCTTAGGGATGGATGACCCAGAGGGTCGTCATGTCCTGTGATCAACTTGTCATAGATGGTGGGTAAGGTCATCTCGGACTCCGCTCACGCAAGGTTTATAATACGGTCGTGCGATTTTATCACGACGATGTCTTACTCCACGATCATGCGATTGAAAATGTCGATCAGAGCCAACATACTGGCCATTTCGCAGGCTTTACTTGCGCTAGAAGCATTGGCAACTACCGCATCTGCACCCCTCATTGACTTGGGTTATGCTCAATACCAAGGTTCAGTGGACGCAGCTACAAATACCATCAGCTTCCTTGGAATACGGTATGCAGCACCTCCACTTGGTGAGTCCAGTTTTTTGTGTTGAATCTCAGCCCATGGACTAAGCATATGGCAGGCAACTTGAGATGGGCGGCTCCGCAGCCTCCACCGACTGTTTCTGGGGTTCAACAAGCTACCACGCAACCAAATGAATGTTATCAAGCGCCCCTGGGCAACGCTTCAACAAATCCTTTCGAAAGCACCTCTCTGAGCAAGAGGGCTGCCAGTCAGTCAGAAGATTGCTTATTTTTGAAGTAAGTCCTGCCGTGGAACCATGATCTTGGCACTTAGGATTGGTCACCGGCTGCATCTGGTAGTGTATACACTCCTGGAAGTGAAGTGGTGGTCACTCCGTCGGGTGGGCTCCCAGTAGTCGTTTGGATTCATGGAGGAGGGTAAGTAGCCTGTGAAATCACCCTCTGTTGATAAAGTTGATTTTGTTACAGGTATATTTCAGGAGCTGCGAGTTTGTACAATGGCGCAGAGTTAATCATGGAATCGGATCATGGCGTCATCACTGTCGTGCTCCAGTACCGCCTCGGTTTATTTGGTATGTCTTCGTTGTTTCTAGTTTTCAAATACGCTCACTTCTAGCTAGGTTTTCTTGCTGGACAGGCAGTCAAAGAAGACGGTACCCCCAATGCTGGACTATGTACGTGTTTATCAAGTTCTGACAGTGTTTCAGACTCGGCTGAACTTAAATTAAAGTTGACCAAAATTACGCTTTACGGTGGGTCCAGGCATACGTGAGCAAAAATCTACTCGCATGTTGCTGATAGGAAGCTTACCTGGGATAGATAAGTAGCTTTGGTGGCGACCCCACGAAGGTCACGATTTGGGGACAGTCTGCTGGTGAGCCGTGTTGGATACTCTTCGTCGTTATACCTCGCTCATTACTCCTGTGTTTCAGGCGCCGGTTCTGTGATACAGCATGTTGTCGCGCACGGAGGAAACACACAACCTCCCCTCTTCAGAGGTGTCATGACGAGTTCCACGTACTTGTCTTCGCAATACAACTATGACGACCGAATTCCGGAGGTGATTTTCACTCATGAGATCAATGTCTGTGACGTCCTGAATGCGGCTGCCACTACCAGATGCTGTACAGCATGGTCGTGAACGGAACAAAGTGAGTCCTTTCATAGTTTTCCATTTGGTCGTTCCCGAGCTAATACCCTCAACTCACAGCTGTAGCTCAAGTTCTGATACCCTGTCTTGTTTGCGCGCTGCAGACGTTAATACACTGCAACCCTTGAACTCTAACATCAACCTTGACGGCTTCTTTGGTATGCTCACATTCATCCCCGTTGTGGATGGCACTTTCATCGTGGAAAGACCTACGGTAACGCTGAGCAAGGGTCGTCTGAATGGTGTATGTTCCATGAGATAATACATATCACAGTGACCCTCATACTTTTCTTTTAGAACTACCTGCTTGCCGTAGTGAATGCGCATGAGGGGAACATCCTTGTGGACCAATCAACGACCCTAGACGTCGCAGATTATGTCAGGACATTGTTCCCGAACTTTGGTCCTGCTCAGATTGCTGGAGCAGTGATGGTGTACCAGAACCAGGGAACCAACGTCGACCAGGCGAATCTTGCGATGAGTGAATGTGCGTATGTCCTCCAAGGAATTTATTCACGTTCCTGATTTCATGAGTCGATTCAGCAATGTTCGTTTGCCCAACTTATTATATGCTCAAAGCATTTGGAGAACGAGCCTGGAAGGTAAGCTCGAGACAAATCACTGTTTACGTTTGCTCAACAGAAGCAGGGCAAGTTTGCAATTCCACCTGGTCTGCATGGCATTGATGTTGCATACTACTTCACTTCGTATTTATAAGTTGTTGTGAAGGATCAATGCTTGCTCTGATGGACGCATATTGTTTCAGAGGTGGTCCCGCATTCAACAATTCCCAGTTCATCACCGCTTTTTTCGAATTCCTTCCTGGCTATGGCCATGTACGAGACTCCTGACCACAGATACTCCCCAGGAGATATCACACCTTCCTGGAAGTCATGGCGACGTGGTTTCACAGAGATGATCTTCAACGAGACATCTTCAGGAGTGCCTCACGTTTACACTTCCAAGACCGAGAAGGCCGTATTCGAGCGCTGCGCGTGAGTTCTGTTTCATCTTTGCCATGATCACAACGTGCTGAGCTAAACGCATGTAGCTATTGGCGAAGTGTGTCGGCGTATTCGGCGCAGTAAAAGGGAATAACGCTCTGATATCTCTTCGTGTCGTCTCCACTGGCAGCACTGCTCACGCCGCATAGATAGAGTTCACCACTGAAATTATGGCGAAGTAGATTCAGTGTTGCCAGCAAGTTGCCAGGACATTTACATAAGTGCACCCAGATTCCATTTGAAAGCAAGCCGCACATTTCAGTTTTCACTCCATCTGAATTCACCCCTGAAATTTTGGCCAAGTAGATTCACTGTTGTCAAGTCATTTAAGTGCGAGCAAAGTCCATTCGCAAGCTGCAACTACGCCTCACGGCTCTCCCTCCACAAGGGCATCATGCGCTGCGAACGGCAGTGGAAACCTTTCTCTTGACTGAGACGTGTATGCACTTGATACTTGTGTGACATCAGTGCCCTCGATCATGTAGCTTTCTCCTGCAGTGAGGCTCGAAATCAAAAGTTGACAACACAATTGCACTGCCAGTTATCTGTTCTTTTGTAGTCTCCCCTAGACACAGACCACAGCTGTGCCTATAGTTTAAGGTTCTTTCGTCAACCTCTGAATAACACAGCCTCTACTGTATCATGACGATGTCCTGTGATCAACTTTTGTTACAGATAGCGCTCGGGGTAATGTCGTCTTGACTCCGCTCAGGCAAGGTTTCAACGATAGTGCGGTGCCGCAGTTTCATCCTGTTTCATCACGAAGTTGGTCGGAGTTGTGTCTTACTTCGTGATCTATGGGATTGAAAATGTCGATCAAAGCCAACATACTGGCCATCTCGCAGGCTTTCCTTGCTCTAGATTGGCAACTTCCGCTGTTTTCTCCTGTGACCACTACGTGTGCACCCATCGTTGACTTGGGCTATGCTCAGTACCAGGGCTCAGTGGACACAGTTACAAACATCACCAGCTTCCTTGGAGTGCGGTATGCAGCTCCTCCACTTGGTGCGTCCAGTTTTGTGTTGTATACAATATCAGCCCACGCACTAAGCATGGCACAGGCGACTTGAGATGGGCTGCTCCGCAGCCTCCACCAACTTTCTCTGAAGTTCAACAAGCTACCACGCAACCAAATGAATGCCACCAAGCACCCCTGGGAAGTGCCCCGACGAATCTTTTTGAAAGCACCTCTTTGAGCAAGACGGTTGTCAGTCGGCAGTCGTCAGAAGATTGCTTATTTCTGAAGTAAGCCCTGCCGTGGAACACAATGTTGATATTAATACGTATGATTGGGCACCGGTTGCACGTAGTGTATACACTCCTGGAAGTGAAGTAGTGGTCGCTCCCTCAGGTGGGCTCCCAGTAGTCGTATGGATTCACGGAGGAGGGTGAGTAGCCTGTGAAATCATCCTCTGTTGATAAAGTTGATTTTGTTACAGGTATATTTCGGGAGCTGCGAATTTATACAATGGCGCAGAGCTAATCATGAAATCGAAACACGGAGTTATCACTGTCGTGCTCCAGTACCGCCTCGGTTTATTCGGTACGTCTTCGTGCTCCTTCTGGTTTTCAAATTTATACCTTTCCAACTAGGTTTTCTTGCTGGAGAAGTGGTCAAAGACGGGGGTGTACCCAATGCAGGACTACGTTTGTGTTTATAAAATTCTGACAGTGCTTCAGACTCGACTGAACTTCACATTCTAAGTTGACCAAAATTACGCTTTACAGTGGGTCCAGGCCTACGTGAGCGGAAATCTCCACTTGCATGTTGTACCTCAGCTGATAGAAGCTCACTTGGATAGATAAGTAGCTTCGGTGGAGACCCAACGAGAGTCACGATTTGGGGTCAATCTGCTGGTGAGCTGCGTTAGGCACTCTTCGTCATCATTGGCCTTGCTTATTGCTCTCGTCGTTTCAGGCGCTGGTTCCGTGCTACAGCACATTTTCGCTCATGGAGGAAACACGCAGCCTCCTCTCTTCAAAGCTGCTATGACAAGTTCCATGTACTTGCCTTCACAATACAACTATAATGACCGAATTCCGGAGGTGATTTTTGTTCATGAGGTCGATGTTCGTTGCGTACTGAATACCACTACTAGATGCTGTACAATATGGTCGTGAACGGGACAAAGTGAGTCCTTTCATAACATTTGGCCGTTACCGAGCTAATCAATCCACAGCTGTACTTCGAGTTCGGATACCCTATCTTGCTTGCGCGCTGCAGACGTCAATACGTTGCAAACCTTAAATCATAACATCAATCTCAACGGATTCTTTGGCACAGCCACCTTCGTCCCTGTTGTGGATGGCGATTTCATCTTGGATAGACCCACTGTGATGGTCAGCAAGGGTCGTTTGAACGGCGTATGATCTATGAAACTATCTATCTCACAGCGAAACTCAGATCCTTCTCTTAGGATTACCTTCTTGCGATAACAAATTCGCATGAGGGCAACATCTTCGTGGACCAATCGATGATCTCAGATATTCCAGATTATGTCAAGACGTTGTTCCCAAACTTCGGTCCTGTCCAGGCTGCTGGAACAGCGATGATGTACCAGAATCAGGGAAGCAGCGTCGATCAGGCAAAACTTGTGATGAGTGAATGTGCATATGTTCTCGGAGGAATTTATTCCTGTTCCTGATTTCTGTTCGTCCAGCGATATTTGTTTGCCCAACTTATTATCTGCTCGAAGCATTTGGAGAGCGAGCATGGAAGGTAAGCTCGAGATAAGTCACAATTTAGGTATGTTTTAACCGAAGCAGGGAGAGTTTGCGACTCCACCTGGCCTGCACGGAAATGATATTGCATACTACTTCATTTCGGATTCAGAATCGTAAGTTGAGGTGATGGGGTGAACGCCTACTCTAATACATGCTGCTTCAGGGATGGTCCTGCTGCATACAACGATCCCCAGCTCATCACTGCTTTCTCAAACTCATTTATGGCGATGGCCATGTACGAGACTCCTGACCGCAGATACGACCCTAGAGATATCACACCTTCCTGGAAGTCTTGGCACCATGGTTTCACAGAGATGATCTTCAACGAGACATCCGTGGGAGTGCCTCACGTTTACACTTCCAAGACCGAGAAGGCCGTGCTCGAGCGTTGCGCGTGAGTACCGTGCTATATTTGTTATGAGCGTAAGGTGCTAAATTAAACGCATGTAGCTACTGGCGAAGTGTGTCGGCGTACTCGGCGCAGTGATTGGAAGTTACGCTCTGGTATCTGTGTCAACTAGAAAGAAATGTAAATGTTTAGCTGAAAGAGGTAGCGCCCAATATTCGACTGCTACTAGAGTGACAATTGATGATATTGGTCTGAAGGAATGGCTGTTCGAGAAGTTAGCGGGGATACCGCGTGAAGTCTGTAACCCCGGCAGTACGTACTCTTGAGGTTCATATCTTGGGCTGTGTCGTGTCCTACTGTGCATCGAGGCTCAGTTCCGCAACGGAATCGTGTAGCTATAGAAGAGATTGCATAAACATCAACACATGACGAACCTTGCATAATACATGCCGTTATTCAGAGAACAGTGCAATCACCAGTAAGTAGGAACGAACAGTGATGATATTAAGGAACTGTATCTCTTCCCTCCGCGGACCGGTACGCAAACAGTGGTAATATTGCACAATCCTCCGCCTGTAGCGGCACCAGATCCCCGTTGGCAGTAGACAGTACATCGAACTATCACCGCCGGCGCTTACATAATTTGGAGCGTTCCCAAGAAGACCACTCACGAGATAACTAGTTCTCTGCTTCGAATGGGTGAAAAGGATGATGCGTCACCAATAGGACATCGAATTGGCGGTGGTGGAATTTCGTCTAGACGGAGCACGTTATACCGTAGTGCTGAAAACTGATTGCAAGGATTAACCTCGAGTGGGATGAAATTCACAGGTACCGGTATGGCTGGACCATGCTGTGCGTCGGTGAAGTTTGAGCCCCAGGTGATTTTAACGTTGACTGTCAAGCAAACCTGGAGCGGGCTCTCCCAGTCTTACTCACTGTGGTGCGTGGCGCCCCGCGGAGGTAAATAAGCCACATGCTAACAACCAAAAAAACTTACCCACTGCGCCGCAGCGTTTTCGGGGACCGACGTTTGTCAGACCGAGCTGGTAAGCTGAACCCACCGCCAAACAGACACATGATGGCATGCGGACTTGAGTGTTTGAGCCCGCCTTTCGGTGCTTTCATACCCGGACTATTACGTAATTATACCTGCCGAACACCAACGTATTTGTCTGGCTGACATTTTTTACATAGGTTTTTAACGTCAAGATACAGCCATCCCCTTGTAACACGAATAATAACATTTAATACTACAAAGCAAAAGCATCGCGGAGTTTGAAATCAAACCCATTAGCCGCTTTGCCGTCGGGTGATATCATGTTTCGGAGCGGAATTTGTAATCTCCTCACACCTACAAGTCAACGGCGGCCAGTGATAATGAATTCGTTAACCAATCGTTAACTTGTAGGTACTTTCCGCAAGCTAAACCCGTACATGTGATTCTGACAGCTCTTACTATAAAGCTGACTGCGCCTTTCAGATCAGACCTACTCCATACAATGATGGAATTGCCTCCTGGTATTATCTACCTCATCAGTTGCTTGCCACAACTCCTATTGCCGCCCGCAATAGTCTATGGTCTAAACCGCATCTCCGACTTTGCATTTGGCGTATGCCTGCCAGGATGGTTCCAGATTCCTGCATGTCTGTTATCTTTTCCCATCGTCTTCGCTTGTAGCGTGTTCGTCACAAACCATCGCGACAGGAGTCAGGCTGCGTTGCATGGTGCCGTCCTCCCGCCTATGTTCCCCAGTAAATGGCCTGGCGGTCTTGATATTCTCGCAGCATTGATACAAAATTTCAAGACTGGATACATGGGTATGCCCACCTTCACTTTCTTCTATTGATCCTTACACAATTGCAGGGGACATGATGGAGGAGCAGTGTAAAACCCTTGGGCATACGTTGAATATGCGAGTCCTCTTTGAAAATAGGGCAAGTACATTTTTTCACACCCTAATTTCTTTTATTTATTTGTGGCGATCAACAGTTCTTTACTGCTGAACCAGAATATACGAAGGTTAGCGGCTTATCGGAGTGTCGTAATCCCAGACATTCATGCGTAACAGGCAATTCTAGCATCGAAGTTCACGTCATTTGCAAAAGGTCGGCGATTTGATGTGCGGAGTACTCTCATGATTTGATGGAATAGCCATTTCAATCAACAGGCGCTATGTTTTCGGATCAAGTCAACTCCCTCCTTGGCACCGGAGTGTTCAATTCCGATGGTGAGTTTGTTTCCTGCAAGTCATGGTCGCATTTAATTCAACGTCCATTTCAGGGGATGTTTGGAAGTGTGTTTCATCTATTTCCGTGATTAGTTCCACGGCTTAATCCAGTGACTTCAGATTCCACCGCTCGATGACGCGCCCGTTCTTCAGCAAAGACCGGGTCAGCCATTTTGATATATTCGACAAGCACGCGGAAGACGCAATTAATCAGCTGAAGGTTAGACTCAGAGATGGCTACCCCGTAGACTTCCAGGTAAATGCTATGAGGACCATCATATGCCTCGCTCTTACTGAAGTCGCTTAAGGACATGGTCTCTCGTTTCACCCTAGACTCTGCGACGGAGTTCCTCTTCGGAAAAGACGTCTGTTCTCTCTCTGCCGGGCTAATCTATCCGTCGTCATCACCTCGCTCCAAAGATGTCGCGTTCGAAAATCACCCAGCCAACAAGTTTGCTCATGCGTTTAGTGGTGCTCAGATTGCTGCCTCCTACCGCGGTCGGTTTGGCTCAGCGTGGCGCTTATTTGAATTTTGGAGTGATCGCGTAAAGAAGCACATGGATGTTTGTTACAAGTTCATCGACCCCATCCTCAAGGAGGCGTTAGAAAAGAAAAAGGAAAATGGCTTGATTGAACAGAAGGCTGCCACAAAGGATAAGGATGTCGCAGAAGGCGAAACATTGCTTGATCACTTGGTGAATTACACCGAAGGTACGCAATGCAGCATCAATATTGATATGCCATCTCAATTGACATGAATGTTTTCTTCCAGACCCCATCGTTATTAGGGACGAAATTCTCAACATCATGATTGCTGGACGTGACACGGTACGCACCTCTTTCGGATGGTTATCCTCAGGGTGTTAAGGCTGCTTTGTCCAGACTGCAGCTACCCTGACTTTCGTCATCTATATGCTCGCAGAACACCCTGATGTCCTCCACCGTCTTCGTGAGGAGATCCTCAGCAAAGTGGGTAGTTCGAGGAGACCTACCTACGATGATATGCGTGATATGAAATACATGAGAGCAGTCATTAACGGTGAGTCCCATGCAAAGCCACACTCATCTTAGAGGTGACACGGGAATTTCAGAAACTCTTCGACTCTACCCGCCTGTGTGAGTATCCGTTTCGGTCACTTTGTTGTAATTATTCTCATTGGATCTACATCATTTTCAGGCCATTCAATGTTAGGTAAATACTGGCTTGACTACGTATGTGTCCCTACGCTCATTATCGCGGGAATGGATAGGACCAGCACAGAACCCACGGTCTGGCCGGGAATCAACGGGGAAAAACCCATCTACATCCCGTCGAATACAAGGTAATCGTTTAGAGAGACGGTTTATTTCTTAGCTGACGATGGAACTCTCAGGACTCCTTACTCTGTGTTCCTGATGCACCGACGAACAGACTTATGGGGACCAGATGGTAAGAACGAGCGACTTGCTTCATTGGAACGAATGGTTACTCACATTTGTCGACCAGCTGATGAATTTGACCCCGATCGGTTCCTTGACGAGCGCCTTCGTAAATATCACACTCCTAACCCATTCATTTTCGTGCCTTTCAATGCAGGGCCCAGGATTTGTCTCGGGCAGCAGGTTTGCCGACTACTCTGTGCTCACACAGTATTCATGCTGACAACCATCCTTCTCCAGTTCGCCTACAACGAGACTTCTTTCTTCCTCGTACGCCTTCTCCAGCAGTTCTCTTCGGTCTCCTTGGCCACAGATGCTCAGACTCTCCCGCCTGCGGAATGGGCTAAGTGTTCTGGCCGCAAGGCCATTGAGAAGGTCATCATCAAAAGCCACCTCACCATTTATGCACATGTAAGTACATAACTTTATTTCCTTGCCTAGTGGCTCATGTCGTGTATAGGATGGGTTATGGGTTAGGATGGAAGAGGCGAGCCCTGTGGAGGCTGTATAAATGCAGCGGACAATGTATCACGAATCACGACAACAAACTATGAATTGATTTATTTGTACAGATCTCTATTTTAACTCGTTCTACGTGCCAGAGCAGAGGTTACCTGCTGCTCGAGCTGTGTATTGTGCGAGGCTGTTAGCGACTCATCTGAAATGTATCATGAGGCCCCTAAGAGTCACCCGACAGCACACAACATTTGCAAGTAGGCGGGCGCAATGAGAAGACCTGTATACCACATCGAAAATAGACCATGCCAAGTCCCATTTTCCTGTCAGGACATATCGATCAGCTCTACTTGATGACCTCAACCCTCCTCGACCAGCCAATTTGGCTCATAGATGTGTAGAACTCGAAAAAGCAACTTTTTGAAATTCCCAGCCCCGCAAGGAATTTGTTTCACATATTAATGCTAACCAGATCTGGGCTCGCTCAGCACGCTCAGCTTGCCGGATTATTCATGCAGATCAATCTCGTTAGATCACCTTGTAGGCTCATGACCAGCCTGGTGTATACTACCACGGATTCGAGTGGTGTAGCCAGGCTGGTCGATCTCGGAGTGGCGTGGTAGGGCGAAGCGAGGAGTTTGAAATTTAGCAGGTGCCGGTTGTGCCGGTGACGACACAACACCAGCAAGTTCTCGAGGCCTTCTTATTTCCCAAGGATCACAACGTCTGAAGTTGTTCCAGCTCAGATGCCTCATATCATTACTTTCTGCAAGACACGTTGTACCTCGACAGTGCGCGATGTACTGTTGTATTTGAGAGGATACTGTACTTTTCACGGTGCGAACACGAGAGTTTGCGGTACCCAAAGCGGCACACCGGCATCTACCAAATTTCAAACTCCTCGCTTCGCACTCCGAGATTGACCACTACGTCAATAAATTCTCACCATCTCAAATTAACGCATCTGGTTACGAGTCTAATCACCTTGCACTTATGGTGCTATAGATGCCACATCGTTTCTGCGACGATCATTCGGATGGTACTCTAACAAACTTCGGTCGTCACAAAAACCTTATTGTTTCTGCCACGATGGCCTGCCACGTCTACATTTCCCACTGGATTTGTCTTCGTCTACGGCCTTGATCACTTTACTAATAAAAATGAACTTTTGGAAGGGTTCCTCTGGGCAAGAATGTTTTCTTGGGTATAAATACATATAGGTTTGAATATTGAGCTCTTCAGTTTGAACTGCTGATGGAGGTCCCACCTGGCTTCATATTCCTCACTCAGATAATCCCTCGGGCTGTACTTCTGCCTGCTGTAGCCTTTGGGGCCAGCGGCTTAGTTCTCGGCGATGCGATTCCTCGCTGGCTGCGGATTTCAGCTAGTCTCCTAGCGCCTCATGTAGCTGTCTATCTCAAGACCATCGTCGACGGGTACTCTAACCAGCGGAAAGCAAAGGCGAGAGGTGCCGTTCTTCCTCCCAGAGTACAGAACCGCTGGCCTGCGGGTATAGACCTACTTGTGGAGCTCCTTGACAATCTCAAACATGGTTATATGGGTTTGTCTCTTTTTCCAACTAGTCGATGAATGTTGATTCATCCGCTGTGCATAGGCGAGACACAGGAGAGGTTGTGTCAAGAATATGGGTACACTATCCGTCTTAGAATGTTGTTTGAAGATAAGGTGTGTAGATACTCATCTTTGAGATCCAATATTCATAATGGTGGCATCAGGTGCTCACGGCGGAGCCGGAACACATCAAAGTACGTTCTGATCGTCATTTCGTCCCTTCGCTGCGGACATCTGTCTCTCCTAGGCAATCCTATCGACCAAATTCAACTCTTTCGGGAAGGGTGCGTACATAGAGTTTATTACCCGCCCCCCCATTGACCTCACCACCCATGGTGTGAAGGGGCCGTATCCTGGGATCCAATTTCAGTCCTTACTGGGAACAGGGGTTTTCAACGCTGATGGTGGGCACAACTATAAATCCGTTTTTGCCCTAGCTCAATCTTCAATGACAGGCGACGCGTGGAAGTGCGTATACGACGACTTGCACGTGAATATGATCCTTGAAGTTCATTGAATACTAGATTTCACCGCTCTATGACTCGTCCTTTCTTCAGCAAGGATCGTGTCAGCGACTTCGACATATTTGAGAAGCACGCGGACGACGCTATCAGGCAGATCAAAATCCGGTTGAGGGAGGGGTATCCTGTGGACTTCCAGGACATGATATCCAGATTTACCATGGACTCTGCGACGGAATTTCTGCTTAGGAAAGGATGTGTGCTCTCTTTCCGCAGGGCTCATTTATCCATCGTCGTCGCCCCTTTCCAAGGATCCGGCTATCCTTCGGCACCCAGCAAATCAATTCGCTCATGCTTTCCATGAAGCTCAGGTTTCTACTATACCTCGTGGGCACGTCGGCGCGTTGTGGAGAATGATAGAACTCTTTGGGGACAAAGTCAAGAAACATATGAAGGTCTGCCACAGGTTCATCGATCCTATCCTGACGGATGCGCTTGAAAAAAGAAGGCGGCGAGCAATAGTGGATCTTTGATTGGTAGCGCCCAGGACAAGGACGTACAGGAGGGCAACACTCTGCTCGATCATCTAGTCAATTGCTCGGAAGGTGAGATATTTTGGTAATGATTTCCTCTGACATATGGAAGCGCTCACGCCGTGTAGATCATGTCCTAATTAGAGATGAGACCATAAACATCCTACTTGCAGGCCGTGACACAGTAAGCGATCGCAACTTGCCATGGTATCAGACGTTTAATACTACATTCTTCTTCCAGACTGCAACGACTTTGACGTTTGTCATCTACATGCTATCTCAACATCCCCAGGTAATGCACCGTCTTCGGGAGGAGATCCTGAACAAAATCGGACCCTCAAAGCGACCTACGCACGAAGATATGCGCGATTTGAGGTACATGAGAGCGGTGATTAATGGTAATCTCATTTCCTTTTGAGAGTGCGACGTGCACGCTGAAGCTATATGCAGAAACGCTTCGCCTATATCCACCCGTGTGAGTAGGTTCAATGCACCATTTGCGGCCACACTAATTCTTCGGGTCATACAGTCCCTTCAATTTTAGGTTGGTTCAACTGACGCCCTCGTCTTTTGAATTGCTGACGATGTATTTGAAGGACAAGTCGTGAAGCAACAGTGTTGCCCGCCGTCAACGGCGGCGACCCTATGTTTATTCCGGCTGATACTCTGTATGACATTCCTCAATTCGATTTGGGTGTATGCTCATCAAATCTATGCAGCGTCATGTATTCTGTATTTGTGATGCATCGCAGAAAGGACCTATGGGGGCCTGACGGTACGAAAGTTTTGGATATCTGACATACCTCACGTCTAATGTTCTTCAGCTCTCGAATTTGATCCCGATAGGTTCTTGGATGAACGACTCCAGAAGTATTTGACTCCCAACCCATTCATTTTCCTTGCTTTCAATGCTGGTCCTAGAATATGTCCTGGTCAACAGGTAAGCGCCTTTGCGCACATTTTACCCGATTGGTATTGATGATCCAAAGTTTGCATACAACGAGATGTCTTTCTTCCTCGTTCGGTTGCTTCAGAGCTTCTCGTCAGTATCACTGGATTTGAAATTGCAGACACTTCCACCGACGGAATGGGCCAATGAACCTGGACGGAAAGGTGCAGACAAGGTTGTTTTCAAGGCACATCTCACAACTTATGTTCAAGTGAGTCGCTTTTGGTGTCGACCTATTAACGTGCTTGCTCAAAGGTTCCTAGGATGGCTTGTGGGTGAGAATGGAAGAAGGGCCACTCGCATAAGGGAGGTGTGTATGTGAACGGCGCACACACCCTGTATGTTTAGAGCCTGTATAGTCCATGTACTTGGTAGCTGTTGGAATTGGGGAAGCGCGGGTCGCGCCCGACAAGGTGTTTAGCACTGTGCTTTCTCTGAGAAGAAAATCCATTATTTATTGTGTCTTTGTACGCCAGATACTCGTCAGGGACGTTTACGACAGTGAGTGGTAGCGGGGTGGCTCGGAGTCTGCAAGCTATGCTTGGCAGTTTTCCGCATTAGCCACTTCTCGTCACTTCGGGGTCAGTAGTTGACAGCCACAATATATGAAGCGCGTCGCGTGACTTTCTTCAGTTTCGCTTCAAGCTGCTTTATACCAGTATCAATCTACCAGTCATGGGCGCCCATGGCATTAGCGCGCCTATCGTAGTCGATGATTGGATGCCTCTAGACAGCGATGATGATCCGGAGTCAATGGCCGATGACTATGACTCCCCCATTAACGGAGCTCGAAGACAGTGATAATGGTGACGGGTATACTAGTAGCAGCCCGAGTGAGACGTTCAGTGAAGACAGCGGGAGTGAATATGGCACAGTGACACATAGTAATTACTGTCTTTTACTTATCCGCGCGAAAGTGCTCACTAACTTTTACTTCCAGAGAAACAACCCGCGAAAAAGCGTGCCAGGACCGCTAAAGTAACCGATGCGGGAAAAGCACCAGTAGCAAAAGGCTCTGGCAGAAGAAAAACTCTTAGTCTTATTGTCACTATGCCAATAGACGTTCTTTTCGAGGTTAGTTAATGAGTATGCACCTTACTCCTAGTCTGACCTGCTACTTCCGATCAGATCTTTGGTCTCCTGGAACCGGCAGACCTCTTACATCTGTCACGCACGAACAAAGCTTTCCGTACGGTTCTATTATGTAGCAATGCAATCTCGGTCTGGAAAGCTGCCCGCGCCAATCGTGGCGGTGTTCCTGACTGCATGCCTGGCATGTCCGAGGTTAAATGGGCTAACCTGTTATTTGGTGGTTCTCGGTGTCATGTATGTCTGGCCTCCGATTTCACATCTGTGCTTCCATGACCACAACCTCAGGTGTGCGGCGCGAAGGGAATCCAGCGAATAGACTTCGGTATCGGACAAAGGGTATGTACCTCGTGTCTCAAGAAGAAGTGAGCGCAACTTTATAATCATGTCCTTACGTGCTCAACGATTTGTCAAGCCTGGTCTTCGAAGGCAGCTGGAAATCAAAATTTCCCGACTTCGATCCGATCATCATGAATTTGATACCGTTCACTAACAGTGGGCGCTTTATTGCTATGACTTATCAATGTCTGATCATCCTGAATAGTCGGTGGATGGGCTCATGGTCACGCCAGTGGAAGCAAGTTTTTTTGGTCAGCTGACGTGCTGAAAATGGCGCAACAGTTAGGGGCACGCCATAAGGATGTGCACATGTTCAAACCAGGTGCCAAGGAAGCGCTGAAAGACTTCAAGCAATCACGCGAGGAATACGTCAATGCTGTTGTTCACGTAAGCTTCGTGCATGTAGTTTTACTGGTTCTGACCTCTTCGAAGCATGCTAAAGTCTGTTACATTTGGATCAATAAGGACCGCGAGCGTCATCGCTTGGATGTCAGTGAGCTTCGCAGCCAAAATGAAGACCTGTGAGCAAACTTTATCGACTCCATCATCTCATCACTTCTTGATCATCTATTCCAGGATTAAAGCTAGATTAGTCCATCTTGGTCACGATGCTAAAGATGTGAGGCGCATGCTTGACTGTGATAGCTATGGCACAGACAAGGAGCTTACCGATGCACGTCAGTGCTTCTGCCACCTTCGTAAAGATTCTGTCTTCTTACTTTGTCAATTTCCAGGTTGGAAATTTTTGCTCCCAAGGATCGAGCGTAAGCTTTCTGAATTGAAGGAAGAATGGCGCCTCGGGGAACAAAGACAAGTATCGTCTATCCGGAGGGGGCACCTGATGGATATGTTGAACAATCACGTGCGGCAAATGCGATGGGGTATCATACCTCCACGCGAAGACTTCTTGAAGCTTTGTGATATTGCGGAATGTATCAACGGTCCACCCACTGGAAACCAAGAAAGCGATATCGAACCCTGTCGTGCACTCGCGGACATAATTCCCGAGTTTTGTGCGGAATATATCCATCAAACGAAGGCCGCGTTGACGCGATTACTTGCTCTCTCCACTGAGGATACCTTGATACTACAAAGCCAACCTACCGACGCCAATGATGATGCCTTACAACTGGCGACTTCTGTTTTCCAGTGCAGTGGCTTGCGCTCTTTCCCATTGATTACATGGGACAAAGTGTTGTATCGCACATGTCCTTCTCACAATCAAGTTCGATACTATTACGCAGGGTCGAGATCAGCTTGCACATTTTCAATCTCTCAGCCTGGGGTTACTGCTACTCGCTCGTTGTTAAGCTTAGTTGGCCTCGATGCCAAAACTTACGACTGCAGCCACAATGGATCAGCGACAGGGCCGCTTTTTTTGTTCCAGCTGTCCACCGAAGCCACAGAACGGAGGATCCTACCGGATGGCAATGGACTGGCGTCAGAGCGTTCGTCCCCGTGTTTTTTTTCGACATTGTGCCCAATAATCACGCTATCTTCTAGGTCTTCCACTACGTTGAACAACGAGATCCGGCGCACACAGAGCCTCGTTGGGAGCTCGCAAAGGCTGTACAACTTGAAGTTATACAAAGTTCCCCTGTATGGGGCTGCAACAAGTGCGATAGACATCACGGAAAGCCAGTTACCAAGACCGACGTGATTGATCATATGAGATGGTAAGTTATCACACTTTCTGTTTTACTTTACTGACACCACTGGTAGGCATGGAATCACTGCTCCGAATGAAGGAATTGACTTTGTCTATGTCCAGAGCCTAGCTGAGAGACCGCCACCAGGAACAAAATTCTTCGTTACTCCTCAGGTGCCCCAGAAGCCGACGGAATCGGGCAAAACTCAAAAGTCGAAGTCGAACGGGGACTATCGCTGCCAACGCTGCAATGGCTCACGAACTTTCATCTTGGAAGGTGTCAAATCGCATATCAAAGACAAGTAAGAAAAATATTCTGTCCAGTCGTACCCTACTGATTGAATACTCTTCAGGCACAAGATACATTCCCCAAGCGAAGGCTCAGATTTCTGTAAAGTCAAGTAATTACATCTCGTCGCTTCGTATCCTCCCTTATCTTTTTACCTCCCTTGATACATAACTCCAGTAATACATAACTCCAGCGGCCATGTACGCCGTCTGCTATTTGCATCCCAGCGCTAATGTCTACATGTCTTTGATCTACTGTTATGTAATGAATGAGAATTGTTGAATGCTCAAACGACAATCCATTAAGTATGTTGTATACGTAGATTACCGCCAGAGCATGCCCACCAGCTCGCTACCAGGATATCTATCTCTAAGCAACACCATTCCCGGTCTTCTGATCCGAGTTCCATGGTCCTGCGTCACTCAACGAGCACCCGCCCGCACAGTGGCACTTGCCACCCAGATCCGCAGGAAGGTCCTCTGCCCGGATGTCCTGCAACAACTTCTGCTGGTATGAACTCCCAAGAATCTCTATCTTCGACACCGTCACTTCATCCAGCCAAGGTTTGATCAACGACCACTACGGCGGAGAAACCCCACGGCGCATTAATGATGTAAAATTTGCCCATGCATTCCGGATATCGGTCTTGTCCGATCTTTGAAGCATCGTTCACGTATTCTTTGACTTGGTAAAAAGCAGAGAGGGAAACGCCTTTCAGATCGAGGATGGTGCAGACCGTCTCGACGGGGTGACCGATAGCTGCAGAGCATGCTGGGAGGCGTTCTGTGAGGAATCTCTCATACTCGAGGATGAGACGTTTGAGCAACCGTTCCTTTGACGTAATACCGTAGAGCGCCTGGACATTGAGCTTGCCTAGTCGCTCGATGTATAACGGCCTGCCATCCTACAGAATAAGGGATCACGACGGTCGGTGAGGCTACGCATCTGAAGGGTCCGACAGTTACCTTGTCCATTTTATGGTAGTACTGAGGATAGTATTGATCGACCTGCTCTTTCTCGGTGAACTCAAAGTCACTGCGTTGTGCGAGATCAGGTTAATCGATACAAGGCAAAGGCAAGCGACGAACCTGACGATTTCATCGACCTTCATATCCCGTCTCCATTGCTCAGCAGCCAGCAACATCGCCTTTGCTTTCGGGACATCAAATTTGCGCGCCCTCAGAAATCTGCAGGCTGGGTCAACACACGGCGCACGACCAATCGGACATGAATCGCGGGTCCGCGATACATAGAACGCATCGATAGACAATGTAAATTCTCCTGGATTGCGGAGCAGGACATACCGTAGCAGCATTGGATCATCCATTCTCTCTTGGACGAAATGGCCCTCGTCATGGAGCTGATTCTTCAAGGTCTGGAGAGCATGTTGCTGCGGGACGGTGAGGTTTCCAACCCGCCCTGGCAAAGGACGGAAGTTAGGATCGGTAATGCCGTCTGGCATAGGGCTGGCGCTGGCTTGTTCAAGTGTAGACATGGTCAAAGAGAAGTGTAGGTGCTGAGACTTAAAAACCGGGACAACTGTACTGCAGTCTGTGCTATTACTATTAGAGTGGCTGGTGCCTGTACTCCAATTACACCATTCCACAGCTCCATTGACAAACGAGGAACAAAGGCCATACAGAGAACATATATCAAGCAGCAATCGCATCATTATTTCCAGAGCCCAGAACACGAGTTGAGTCGCGTTTCTAATGCGAGGGGGCTTGGGGCTATCCATCTACTAGTAGTACAAGATGCGGCTCAGCGAATAAATTTACGGAGCAACGCAGGTTGAAATGCTACGGTGTGTGAGGGGTGAGAAGTAGTATGCAAACATAAATAGAAGACCGGAATGTTTTCTGAGGTACAACCAACCTGACAGCCAATATGATACAACATATCGATAAATTTTCAGTTTTGATGTGGGGTATGAAGACATCATACAATGTCCCATAGCTCTTCGAGAGCACAACAGAACTTCCAGAAGATGAGAATCAGGTTAAGATGAATGCCACAAGTACTCACTTTGCCACAAGCGACAGATGCGGATAGAGGGTAGTCACTGATACTGATCTTTTCGTCTACAACGTGATCGGCGAAGTCATCGCGGCCACGAGCCATAGCGCCCACGAAGACAGCAACCGAGTGCGTTTCCGGAAGAGTCGGAAGATAACGGGAGAGTCTGATAGTCGGAGCATCACCGGAAAGAGCTACATAAGGGACGGGATGAGCGGGCATTCACGGGAAGCCTGGGCTGACTCACTGAGTTTCATGGTATTGACAGGAAGATGGTCAGTCACGGGGTTCTGGAGCACAACGTCAAGCTACGCTTCAAGATCGGAGAGAAAATAGAACATGCCTTGATAACCTTGAGCAACTTCTCTGGGCCATTGACCCCGCGAATAGACAGCTTATGGAGTAGTTGAACTTCGAAAACAATCAGTGATCAGAAAAGACTGAACAGGCGCAACATCAACTTACCCATCAATCCACTGAATCGCTTAAATGTACGAGGAATTCTGACATGAGGGTTGACCTCAATGAGCACACCTTTTGTGGTGTGGATGTACACTTGCAGCAGACCCGCCTTGTTAAGAGGCGAATCCAAGAGCGTCAACAGGCACTGAAGAACAAACTTAGAATTGAGGAATCACAAAGTCGTATTTCCGACAGTGCGTACCTGATGCGTAATATCCGGACGGGCATCCGCAATATCTCTACCAGTCTTTGCGAGGATGCCCTGATGATCATCGCAATTCAGAAGAGTGTATTTGACATCGCCCTCCCTGCCGCCTTTGCCTTTTCCTCCACTTGAAACTCTGTATGCCTCCAAGCAAGCTTGCTCTAGGATGACAAACAGCCTCCTCTGAGACGATGCGACACCACCACGGGGTACATGAGCCTGAACTGGGAGCATAGATGGGTTTGCAGGTTGCGGCATGGGATTATTGGTCAAATTTCCGGCCATTTTGCGAGATTTAGCAGGTAGAGGACGAGTAGGACGTTCTGGACTGGAATTTTCTGGTTTGAGCGTGATAACTCCACGTTTTTGAGCAAGATCTTGGGCGTCTGATGATTCAGATGAAGACGATGAAAATTGCTGAGTTTGCTGTCTCGGTGAATCAATCTGCATAGTCTCCTTATCGGAGCCTTCCGAATCAGACTCTGAATCGGACCTGCGTCGTCGTTGGGGTCGTTCGTCAACGGGGGTTGATTTTGGTCGTGGCGGGGGTATAATTATAGCTTCGTCATCTTGTTGGGCTTTGAGTAGACTAGCGCGGACTGGGGTTGGTGCCGTGGTCGATCCAGAATGACGACGACGACGAACAGGCGAGTTCTGGGGAGGTGGACATATCCTGCTCTGATTGTTTGAAGAAACACGAATGTATGAGAGGAAAAAAAAGGGACTGTATGTAACTGCAGGTGAACCCCGGGTATAATCAGATACACAAGTACTTATTCAAATTAATTTTGAACACTACTCTGGATCCGCGAGTAGCCGTTCGTCGATCGCAGGCAGTGAAAATTTTCACAAAGACACTTAGATCTCACACAATCAGACACAAATATCATTATCATGGACATATAGGGTTATTGACAACGAAAGAACTTTGTTCGCACAAGAACTGGTCGAGTTTGATAGGTCTCGAGAGAAGATCACGATGAGCTGGAGGGAGTGGGAATACGTTGCGCCATCCAACCATCCTCTCAATCAACCAACCATCAACTGCCATGTCAGATAATGAGCGCAGTCTAGATAAGAAGTCACCTGTGCGGCTGGAATCGTAAGTATTGTTGTAAAATAGTAGCCCGCAAGACTCTCACGAAGTCAGATGAATGCCGCCTCTGCCTGCATGATGGAAGGTATTATGATCTTGATCGTTGTAGAGTCTCGTGGGTCACAGATACTCGTTGCTCGTTGCTCGTTCCTGTCCAACCCACGTCTGTTTACAGAGAGGGCATGTCAATTTCTGTAGCTGGACAGAAACATCTAATGAAACCTAGATGTTGATACGATAATCAGTTGGGGGAGGCATAACGAAAGTCGGCATGAATTAATCTGCATGTGTTTGATTAGGTTCCCCAAAGAATTGAATACAATAGCACCTGCGTATTACATACTGATTGTATTCCCATCGTATTTCCCCAAGCCCACCTGAGGGATAAAGTGACTACATCCACCACGCGGACTGCTTCCATCAGTCAGGCATCAAACGGAAGCAATGGAAACATCCGCTAATGCCAGAACTGAACACTCCTGTAATACCTATGCAAACATAAATTGTATTGTGTGCTTGCCTTCGGCTACTGCGTCTTTTTTTAGTTGGGTATCGATTCAGAGAGATCCAGATGCCGCTCACAAGTAACATGGGTGCCTTGCTAGGTGCTAGTCTCGTACTTTGAAGCGGGGCATATCACTGAAATGGACATCATGTATACGCGATCACATGAATTCTTATCGGCATTCTTTGGAACAGGGGCTGAAACATGCGCCTGATGAAGGAAAGTCGGTACGAGATGTGCGGATCTTGCACCAAAGCTCGCTTAACCGTTTACCTAGCAGATATCACATGGATAATGCAGAAGATAGCGCCAAACCATCGATAGCAACGTGAAAGGACATGTAAAGTGTCATTGCACATCAGAACTTGAAGTCCGAGATACCCTTGCCGACTGGATGAACGATAACGCGGGAATTCGAAGTTGAAGAAACTCACCATCCCTACAGGCCTAGTCTCCGAGGGGTTCCAAGGTCAGACGATGAGTACGAGGCACATCAAGATGGACGCGCGTATCAGGAGGAGCTTTTTTATGGTAGGAATTGAGTTAAGTAGCCTGGGCTCACCTGGTCTCACGTCGAGAGGTGCGATTAGGCCCTATTCGGTACTTCGCACTCACAGTGTGAAAATGTCGTCGTTGCGGAACTCTCGGAAGAGTTCTAGAGCACAGCGATTTCGCTGAGAATGTCTCACAGACTAAACCAAGACTAAACCCAAAACTTGATCCACAACTGTGGAGCCCTCGCGGAGCATCAATATGGAAAGACCAATTCTAATAGATCGTATTTTCGATGAAGACAACGCTTCGCGTCACAGGCGGTAACGGCTATGAATAGTCTTGAGACGAATGGGAGTGCTTTCTCCTCCACCTAACATCCAGAATGATCTAATATGTAATAAGTATTGCACTCGAAGAGGTTTCTAGACTTTGCCTCACTCTTTGAGCACTCGGAGCCTGATTTTGTTAGCTTTGGATGCACCTGAACCTAACATAAGTCGTAGCTACTTGCGCGAGGTGTTTGGATGTCAGGTTCCAGCTAAAAGTGAGATAGCAGGTTCAACGACTGCATCGAGACCATGACTCAAAGGGAAATAGGGTACGCACAGGTTCGGCTTATTGTCCCGAAGATGATTGTTACTTCTTCGATATGGATTTGGCTCTTGATGAAGAAGGAAACAGTTGGCTTCCTTCTCTCAAGGTCTGACTATGGGAAACTAGGTTTGGCTGCTGGGGAACAGTGGTCAAAGAAGGCTGCCAGTTTGTTTGTCTTCGAGGAGCAGGTCAAGTTCCCGTGGATCGAGGTGACAGAAGGTATTTCGGCATGCGTCCTGGCCCCACCAATATTGTATTACAGGATTGACAGTTGCGATATCATTGAGTGAGCGCAGGGTTGAGGGAGCCTCAGGGGAAGGACTTCCGCTGGACTTCGAAGTGGCACGAGCCAAAATCAATACACGTGATCTGTCGCGTCAACACAAGCAAATAGACTTCAAAAGCCTCTCCTGAGGTTGACGCCAGACCACACTCACGCCCGCTGCATCACCACACAAACTATGCAACCCACAGCTAATATGAGACCACTCTCTTTATCCGACAAGGACAAACTAGCTACTGCATATGGTTGCGCCCTCAGAGTGATTACTACATTGCTCGCACGGGCGGGCGTCTTCCTCGTTTCTCTGGGTGCTGACGGTCACGCCGTCTCGAGGGGCATCGCCAATCTTGCCGACTGCGTTGACAAAGCTACAGGGGGCAGTCATACAGATTGAGAACTGGGTCGAAAGTATGGCAAACAGTCAGGTCAGCACTTTCAGTCATTACATGACGATATCACTTATTGATCTGAAATACACAGAAAGATGATCAGGCGGATCAGGTGAAGAGTGAGCAAGGAGAAGAGGATGACGTGACTTCACCTTATACTCCACGGCGCATCGCCAAACAAGGTACAATCTCCGTGTCTGGGACCCTACCCCCGCCGCAGCTAGCCCCGCCGTGCCATACGGAGTGTCTACACCACTGTCGGGGCTTCCACACGCTCCGCCTCACTTCACATCGCTGTTTCGACATGAAATTCAAAACGCTCCTTTAGCGATTCGGGATGCACCCACCCTCTTCAATCACATGCGGACAGTAGCACCTATATACCAAACACCCACCCGCACACTTGGCGTCTTCACAACTCCCATGACTGCCCGCGTATCTACACCACTCGCATCCACAGAGCACAGTCATTCTATCGATACTCTTCGCTCAGTCCCTCCACTGTTTTGGCGACCGGCACCAAAGGCGCATTCTGTCAAATTGATGGTACCGGACAGTGCGAGACATAGGAAGAAGCTTGGGACGAGTACGAGGGAAAGTGTTAGTTAATTTGGCAAGCGAGTCAACGCCAACAATTGTGTAGTCTTTTGTTTATTCCAGCCGAGGTCCGCAGGCGCTCCTCTTAGCTGATATCACTAGCATGGATTCTTGTCAGCGTAACGAATATGTACATTTATCACGAAGGACTTCTTGTACATTACTGGCCTAGTATCAATGTCGCTTCTACAAGCTCAATCATTTATTTGACGAAAGGTATGGAGGACCAAGGACTTGAATGTTGCATGAAATTCATGCGAGAGCACGATGGTTGACATTACTCGCGATCCTTCACTCGCAATATCTGAGTAGATGGTAGGCGATAATGAGTAACAACAAGTATAGCGAGCGCACCTTCGCTCTCCAAAGTCACCCAGACCTGGAATAATGTAGGATTTTTCATTCAGGCCTTTATCTATCCATCCGGTGATCTGGGCGGTACGTCAAGTTAATGGCATTTCCCGGTGAATGTAGGCTCACCACGCGCAAAGAGGGGAATCTACCACAAAATCTCTTCAGGCCTTCTGGTGCTGCAATCTAGACGACGATGAAATCATTGCTTTCAGATGATACTCGCATGTAAAACAAACCAAGTTGATGAAGATAATTCGCTCTTCTGGAACGCCCTGTTCCTGCAAAACCTCAACTGCCTTCATAGCGGAGCCTCCAGTAGCTTCAAAGTCCCAGTTTAAAAGGCTGTGTGTGGCAATAGAAACAGGACATACCCAACATCGGATCAAGGAGAAGCACGTATCGGGATGCGATGTCTTCAGGAAGCTGCAGTCCCAAAGCAGTCAACAAAGTATCCCTCGAAGTACACAGTGTCTACCTTGGAATAAAAGAGCTTGGGAAGAGCGGTCTCTTCATCCTGGTTGCAAAGCTGTCATTTATGACCCAACGAAAGAGATGTGTAATCATACTCGTTGAATCAGAATCTTCCCTATGCGCACGCTACGGCATACTTCTCGAAGACCAGCTTCCATGGCCTGTCATGTTCAGCGTTACTAGTAGTACTATTCATACAATGGTGGCTTAGATACCTCGCCAGCACGCAGGATTGATACTCCACATATCTTACCCTCGAAACCAACGCCTTCATACGTAACGCCCTTCAGTAGAAACACAGGGGGTAAATTGATGCAGCTTTCTTCAACCTAGGCGTTCTAGAACAAACTAACATACCGTTGGAGTCTCCACTGTCTTTGGGACCACAGGGAGATGATTTAGACTTTCTTCAACGAGTAGACGAATGATCCGGTCAGAGTAAAATAAGAAATCTCCACGACTCGTGGTTTTATCGCGGATGATGGTATACAGGGCCTCCAATTGTGCCGTTTGAGGGAGAGTGAAACACCGATGGTGGTAGCGAAGCTGGGTGTGTTTGAGAAGTCGGCGCAGTTGACGCTGCCATTGCTAGCACTGATGGAGTCTCGAGAGCTTGATGATCGTGGTACAACCAATATATCGGTGATAACGGCATGAATGTGATGTTATATTTGGCATTCGGACGCAACTACTATAGGTGAGACAAGCAAACGATACAAACATCGACCATGGCAAATGGAATGGTGCGATGTAAACTACAAGCAGAATGATACCAACACATATACTATAAGAAGTTACCAAGGCAAACTGACGCAGAAGTGGTAGTACTAGGAAGAGTAGATTGTGCTCGAACTAGCTTCTTGTTATAACACCAGTAGCCTTTCAATCCAGGAGATCATAATTCTAGAATGACTTGAACATCTGGGCAAGCCTTTCGTCCCATGTATTCGGAAGCTGGAGAGAGATGGATGACCCAGTTTTGACATGCGTAATTAGGAGACGTTGGAAGCTGTGCGACCTTGTGCGCATGCTTCATATGCGAAACTTGAAAAGGCCATTATAGCATGGGTGATCTCCATGTGTCGTGGAAAGCGACCTTATCGTAACGCAGAGCTGGAATGATCTTGGTGCCTTAACGCCAGGAAGGCCGGAAGCATCAAGAAATCCGGAAGGCTCTTGAACTGCTGGATCACTCGAAAAGACTGTGAAGGCAATTCTGGGGTGATTGTGTATTCCCTGGTTGCTTCCAATGTGCTCGAGAATTCTTCCGTCATCACCCAGACAGTCGTGCTCTGGAGGATGTCGTGTCGAATATCATAGACACCATGGTAGGTCCTGGATAGCAGAGCGAAATGAAAGACAAGTGAACCACATACCTCTTCCAGGTTCAGATACCCTGGTTGGCGGCAGCGTACCCTTTATCGAATCAAATAGCACGCAGTGCCCAACGCCCACTGACACGAGGCCAAGGGCAAATGAAGCTGTGTCATGCGCAGTCAAAATAGTGACTCGAATATCCCAGAGATCGATTGGTGCTGCGCCGCGGCTGCATCCTTGCTGCGTGCGCCATGCCAGAGTAGTATAAAGTCCTAGAGCAGAAATAAAGGAGTGAGGTACCTTTACTTGAAAGTTGAAACAAGCCTGCAAGAAGATGGTGATGGTATCGCGCAGTCAATCGCCAGCGGCCAAGTGGCGACCCCCAGCACCGCGTTCCACGGCATACTCTGTACAGCTACCACCACTATCCTCGAGCTCATCGTCATCTTCTCCAATGGAGGCCATTAGACTTCAAAAGAAATATCCAGAAGTATCAAAAGATGAAATGTTTGATCTTGTAAATCGCTTCAAGTACGTTACGATATCTACATTCGAATTCAATCCAGCATTAATCTCTTCCGCAGTGCGATCAGCACCAACACGCCAGGTCGCGTTGACAAGAGTACTGTTCTCCAAGCGCTTCAGAACAGCGGGGAATCGTATGATCAGGCTCGAGAGACTCTTAAACATGTCTCTGTCGATGCCAGTGGCAAAGTCGAGCTCGAAGACTGGGTGGAGGTGCTGTTCACCGTCCATGATGTCATCACGCAGATAACTCAACAACTTTCCTTGACCAGCTCAACGTCAAACTGCGCACCCAAACCAAGGCTGCCGTCCTTCCTACACGGGCAGGAAAAGTCACTGTCAAAGGCTCAAACGCAAATGTCAGTCATACGATCAACGAAGACGAGCGCACCGAATTCACGAATCATATCAACTCGGTGAGTCCCTTTCATACACCTCTCTACGTCTCCTTAACTCGTTAACAGGTCATCGAAAACGACCCAGACATCGGCAACCTTTTCCCAATCCCTACTTCAACGATGCAAATCTTCGAGGAGTGCAGGGACGGTCTCATCCTCTGTAAACTTATCAACGATTCCGTCCCAGACACCATCGATACACGTGTACTGAACAAGCCGACTGCACGAAAGCAGTTGAACACATTCCAGATGACGGAGAATAACAATATCGTGATCGCATCTGCCAAGGGTATTGGATGCTCTGTGGTCAATATTGGCTCGTCTGATATCGCGGAGGGGCGGGAGCATTTGATCCTTGGGCTTATTTGGCAGATCATCCGACGGGGATTGCTCGCCCAAGTCGATATCAAAATCCACCCTGAGTTGTACCGGCTGTGCGAGGACGGCGAGACCATCGACGATCTCCTACGGCTGACACCAGACCAAATTCTCCTTCGCTGGTTCAACTACCATTTGAAAGCAGCAGGGTGGAAACGGAGGTATGTCCCTTCATACATACTTCCTCATTCCTTCTCACTCGTGATTTGCCAGAGTCAACAACTTCAGCCGTGACGTCTCAGACGGCGAGAACTACACCGTGCTCTTAAACCAGCTCAAACCCGATCAATGCTCCCTCGCACCCCTCCAAACCAAAGACGTCAGACAACGCGCAGAGCAAGTACTTCAAAACGCCGAGGCCATCGGCTGTCGCAAGTATCTCACGCCTTCATCCCTCATCTCCGGTAACCCTCGTCTCAACCTCGCCTTCGTTGCGAACCTCTTTAACACCTGGCCTGGCCTTGAGCCCCTGGACGAACAAGAAGCTAAAGATTATGGCGCCGTTGAAGACTTTGACGCAGAGGGAGAGCGTGAAGCACGTGCTTTCACGCTATGGCTCAACTCCCTCGGCGTCGAGCCAGCAGTGTTCAACCTATTCGAGAACTTACGAGATGGCCTCATCATCCTCCAAGCTTTCGACAAGATCTCGCCTGGGTCTGTAGTATGGCGTCGCGTCTCGAAGCCCAAAGGTGGGGCACAAGCTGCGCCCCCGACAATGCTTGACGAAGAGGAGCAGCAAGATATCGGTGTCACCCCCAACCAAAGCACTCTCTCCCGCTTCAAGCAAGTGGAGAACACCAACTACGCGGTAGAGCTTGGGAAACAGAACGGGATGCACCTCGTCGGCATCCAAGGCGCTGATATTGTGGATGGCTCCAAGAAGCTCGTTCTGGGTCTTGTGTGGCAGTTGATGAGGTTCGTTGTCTTTCACCACGCATAACGTCTCTGAGATTCACTCTGATTCGATTATTGCAGGTTAAACATCACAAAGACCCTAATGGCGCTCTCTAAGACCGGAAAACCCATCAGCGACACAGACATGCTCAAATGGGCCAATACAACCGCACAACAAGGCAAATCTGGCGTACGACCCATCCGATCGTTCAAAGATCCAGCCATCACCACTGGATTATTCTTCCTCGACCTTCTTGATGCGATGAGACCGGGTATCGTGGACCCCTCTCTGGTGAATAATGTCACCGAGAGCGGTGCTTATGAGGATCGGAGGCAGAATGGTAAGTTTTTGTGTGTGTGTGTAGGTTGTATCAGAAGCTGACTTTTTCGTTTGTCTATGAAGCGAAATTGGCCATTTCAATCGCGAGAAAGATGAACGCGCTGATTTTCTTGGTACCAGAGGATATAGTGGATGTTCGCCCGCGACTTGTACGTTCTCCTTGATTGGTTTATTTTATCATCGTGCTGATCGTCCTCGCAGATCTTGACGTTCGTTGGTAGTTTGATGAGCATTTCGCAGTGATCTTTGCTTCTTGTCTTTCTTTCGCTTATGATTATTGTGTGTTCTTTGCAAACAAAGTCTGGATGTTCAATATCATGTGTATACATAGCACTCAAATAGCAGTACATACCTTTGATGCTAATGCTAATGCTTCTCCATGCACCCTTGGCAGCAGCATTTCGAAACAGCCATGATTTGAAGCCTTGATGCCTCGCGCACACTGTAAACCAGTAAGTAACTGTCAGCCTCGTGCTATGACCCCAACTTCGATGTCAGCCGCCGTCCTTGAAACCTCCCAAATTGCGGAATGGATGACATTCTTTCGCCTTTCTCATGGCTCCTGGCACTAGTAATGTTCGCAGCATACCTTCCGCTCATTTTACCTCAGTCGTTCCTTCATCATCCTTCTACCGCGCAGATGTACTTGGGCCGGGCTCTGGGATCCCGCAAGACGTTTACTTCAAAGGTGGCTCCTTCTGTTTCTCTGTAGTCGCCTTTTCTGCCATTGGATATCTCTATCGCTCAAAGAGTAGAGCCGTCCCAAAGCCGAGGACTGGCCTTCGCGATCCGCTTCCTCCCACTATTCAAGTCACCCGAGACGTTCCAACTAGGCCTGCTACTGCACGACTCGCGGTGGACATCTCTGCACCCTGTCTCGTGTCTTCCACCAATGCTGCCTTGGACCCTTGTTATTTCGAAAACTATACTCCCCATCAACTTCATTCTTCGGTCCAGGTGTCCCCCATTGCAGACCTTTTCGGGGTGGATCTTTCTAATACTTCCAGCGACACAAAACGGGGAGTCAATACAGCGTCTATCGAAGATGGCCCACAGCACCTTCATGCGGTATACCAACTTTCATAGGCTTCTCAAACTGTGGCTCACTCTACTTGTTCAGTTCACATCTTCAATGGAACACAGCCAGTCGTTTCCAAGCTTTCACACTAGGATTGGAGAATTCCAGTATATTCCAGACATGGAGTCATTCTACACTTCTGATTCTGCAGACTCTGAACACCATCCCTATGTTCTCTCAATGCCGACCATTCCGAGGATCGCGCTCGAGGACTTCTCTGATGACAGTATCACGTCCGTTAAGAAAACACACGACTTCAATATTACGGCTGTCGGTGCTTCTGTCCGGCAAGGAGATTTTTTGCAACTGCCCGATGGATCTTGGCCATACGTCTCGCCTTCTCGATCATCGCCTTCTCCACAGGGAACTCGCCGTCGTGCTGTCGATGTCGTCAAGTACACTGATGCTCTCTCTGCTCCCGCTTGTCGGCTACCTGCCTTCGAGGTGGCGCACGAATATTCTCCAGAACCCAGAAATGAGATCGAAGATGAGACCGAGGGATCCAATATTCTTCTAGAATTCATTGAAGATGTCAGTCGATGCCAGCCCTCTGTACTCACTTCACACTCGGACGGGGTCCTCGTGAAATCATTCCCTATGTACCCAGGTCTGGAACCCTCTGTTACCGTTCACTTCCACGGTAAACATCGTCGCTCCCGAGCAGCCTCCTATCAGATCACTCCTGGGGCGCTGACCGAGCGTGGCGACCTCATCGAGATCCAACCATTCTCCGGGAGCCCAAAAGACGCGCGATGGGCACCCAAGAACGGTATGATGGTCATCAAAGTCTACATCCCCTCCACCGACGACATCTGGGCTACATACGTCCCAACCAGTGTCACCCTCTCTACGTTCACGTGTATATGGCTATCCAAGCTAAGCCTTCACCTTCGATTCAGCGGGAGTGTGTTGGACACACCGGAGTACTACTTCGATAGTGACGAGGTGTTTCAACACTGGGTAAACCGCCGGATCCGGCATGGTCGCAACCTTCCCATCGTTGGTCACTTGGACTACGCGGTCCCTTCGTTCCCCCTCTTACCGCAGGAAGCTTAGGTCCCATTCTTTCCCTCTGGACATCCAAGTCTCATTGCTGACGTTCTATTTCCATCGCTCACGTATTTTAAACTCTGGTCGGTGCTTATTGATTCGTTGTTTTTGTTGAATGTGCCTGTCATATCCTCCTTCGCGAGACGCAGAGCCGAAAAGGAGAAATATAATGACGCACGGACCAAGTCATCATGCAGAGTAGTACTGATCGTCCTTGCTGGCTAGTTTTGAGATATGGCGGCAGTGTGATCTATGTCACGCGCGGGCGCATCAGTCAGCCCACTGTCCTTTGTCCTTTACTTCATGATCTGTATCCCCCCTGTATCGTAGATAGAAGACCGTAGCTTGATATATTTGTACACCACAACTTTTGTCTTGACTGTAATCTCGGGTAGATGAATAAAGATGAACGGCTAATTCCGATACTACCACTTGTGACCTGACCGCCTGAGTCTGTCTCTGAAGAGACATTCCAGTTGGGTCCCTCTGGGTCCTGTAGCAATCATTCCTGTCCTATCCTGATACAACCGCGTTCTCAGTTTATTTCACATGGCCACTGATTTCTGGGCCAGTACGCACTAGTGAGGAGGATCAAAGTCACAAGCGGCACTCGAGGCTTATGTGGTGGGTATCACAGTAAACGATGGATAGTAGATCGGGCCACCTTGAAGCAGTCTCGTGCAGATGACTTACAATACGTGGACGATTCGGAGTACCTCGATTTCTTCGCAATTTTCTTTGCAAACGGTGAGCACAATACGCCTGCGGAATGCGGGATGACACCCAACCCTTCTAGTTATAACGAAATTGGGGAAGAAGCTCAACTTCAGGCAGCGCGTCATTGCAACAGCCATTGTATTTTTTCGAAGATTTTACATCAAGAATTCGTACTGCGAGACCGACCCATTTATTGTCATCGCAGCATGCTGTTACGTGGCTGGGAAGGCGGAGGAGTCGCCCGTGCACATCAAGAATATGGTGGCAGAGGCTCGACTTTTCTTCAGCCGTGTGTTTTGCTAACAAGTCTGTTTGTTCGAAATTCTAATGTCTGGTTTCATAGACCAACCATACGGCGTGAAATATTTTCCTTCCGATAATTCCAAACTCGCCGAGATGGAGTTCTACCTCGTTGCGGACCTCGAGTGTGACCTCACTGTTTTCCATCCATATCGCACGCTGCTGTCTATTTGCAAGAAGGAGAGCTCGAACGACTTGCAGACAGAAGCTGGCGAAGTGGGAGTAGGAGTAGGAGTAGAAGTGGATGACGGCCCACGGTATTGGGGGAGTGGAGATGGGCAACTCGAATTGCCAGATGATGCGTTCCAGCTGGCTTGGTGAGCGAATTTGTAGAAGGAGTACCTCATAACTGATTTCAATTGCAGGTCTATTATTAACGACACATATCGCTCAGATCTATGCTTGCTTTATCCTCCCCATCTACTCGCCATTACAGCACTTTATCTCGCCGTAATTTTGCACGGTCCAACCAGAGAGCTCCTGCAACAACAATCTCATTCAACCGATGCCCAACCAGTCCACAACTCCCCAAGAAGATCGTCGCGACAAAGTTCCAGCGCATCACTAGGTCATGGAAAGAAACACTCACAGGACTTTGTTGCATTCTTTGCTGAACTTAACATTTCAATGCCGTTAGTCGCCACCATTGCACAAGAAATCATTTCAGCTGTACACACTCTGGGAGCGGTACTCTGAAGATTCTGATCACGTTGATTCTGCAAGGAGCGCATTCCATGGACATGCGTCGGCGCAGACACAATCGGGAGTGAGCCGTAGCTGGGGTGAGTACGCCCTGTGGAGAGTTCGGACGATGCGCAGAGGCCGCATGGTGGGAGTTCTGTCACGCCGACCTTCTTGCTGCAGATCTTGACGAGGATGAGAGAGAATAGGTTGTCGGATATGGCGCACGCAGCTTCTGGGAGGTCTGTTGCGGTGAATAAGATGTTGGAACGGACTCAGGCTGCTGGGTGATTGTACCTTCATCGTTTTTCTCTACGAACGTGATTAGCGGGACAAACTTTGATTTGACTTTGATCATCAAATGGATCTATTACATAATCGAACGCGATGGAGCACGATTAATTACTTGTAACTTGTCTGCAATATTCTCCAAAACTACAGCCATGTCCATGCACATTTTCGGTCACGAGGTAGGCTCTGGCAGATTGATGTGCTTGCGCTTGATGTGACTACGTTTCACGCAGGCAACTGAGGAGAAAGCTGAAAATGCCCGTCTATCCTCTTTCGTTGGCGCCCTCGCACTCGGTGACCTCGTGAAATCAACGCTTGGACCAAAGGGCATGAACAAGATTCTGCAATCGGCATCCTCAGGAGATATCAATGTGACCAATGACGGTGCAACGATTCTCAAGTCCATCCAGCTCGACAATGCAGCAGCCAAGATCCTCGTCAACATCTCAAAAGTCCAAGACGATGAAGTCGGAGATGGAACGACGACCGTTTGTGTGTTGGCAGCAGAGCTGCTGAGGGAAGCAGAGAGATTGATTGCGATGAAGATACATCCTCAGACGATTGTGGAGGGGTACCGGGTCGCGAGCATCGCTGCGCTTGCAGCATTGGAGAACTGCAGCAGTCGATCACGCGTGGGTCTTCGCGTTTTTCGCGTCTCTTTGAAATATCTTACGGAGACTACGTGGTTTGTGCCCCCAAACAGCTCCGATCCTGCTCAGTTCCGTCAGGATCTTGTCAACATTGCTCGTACGACCCTGTCATCAAAAGTCTTATCGCAAGACAAAAATTATTTCGCAAACCTAGCTGTAGATGCTGTACTTCGATTGAAGGTATGTTTTAACCACTGTATTTGATACTCGTGTTGACTGTCTTCGAGGGATCAACGGATTTAGAACACATCCAGATTATCAAAAAGGTCGGAGGCAAACTCACAGACTCATACCTTGACGAAGGTTGGCTACGAGACGCAGTTTGCTTTACTTATCTAACGAGCATACTTAATACAGGTTTCATTCTCGACAAAACCATCGCTGTCAACTCACCCAAACGGATGGAGAACGCGAAAATCCTAATCGCAAACACCTGTACGTGTGACCATCTCGTATTGATCTAAGATTAAAGCCTAGTTCCTTAAAAGCGATGGACACTGATAAGATCAAGATCTTCGGAGCCAGAGTAAAAGTAGACTCGACAGGAAAACTTGCTGAGCTCGAGCGGGCTGAACGGGTAATTGCACGCTTGCACAGCCTCTTTAATTTTCTAATGACGCACTATAGGAAAAGATGAAAGCCAAAGTCGATGCGATCGCCGCACATGGCATCAACTGCTTCGTCAACCGACAGCTCATCTACAACTACCCCGAGTCTCTCTTGGCAGAGAAAGGTATCATGGTGATTGAGCACGCCGATTTTGAGGGTGTTGAGCGGCTATCACTCGTCACCGGTGGGGAGATTGCAAGCACGTTCGACAGACCAGATCTGGTAAAGCTTGGGAAGTGCGACTTAATTGAGGAAATCATTATTGGCGAAGACAAGGTTGGCATGGTCATTTACCCACTGATTCTGAGCTGATCAGAAGTTTTAGCTCATAAAATTCTCTGGTGTTGCTGCGGGCGAAGCCTGCACTGTTGTTCTGCGTGGTTCAACCAATCAGATGGTTGACGAGGCTGAGCGCTCATTACACGATGCGCTTTCTGTCTTATCACAGACAGTCAAAGAGACACGGATTGTCTTGGGCGGTGGATGTTCCGAGATGCTAATGAGCTGCGCCGTGGAGGAAGCCGCGCGGAAGGTCAAGGGCAAGAAGGCGATAGCTGCGGAGTCATTTAGCCGTGCGCTGAGACAAATACCGACGATCCTCGCAGACAACGCTGGCTATGACTCGAGCGATCTCGTTGCCAAGTTGAGAGCAGCACATTATGAGGGGCAGTCGGATGCCGGACTCGGTAGGCCTATATGCTTATTCAGGCTTGAATTTCGAACTTATAGGATCTTTAGATATGAACCAGGGCACCATTGGCTCGATGAGACAACTTGGTGTTACTGAGAGTTATAAACTGAAGCGGCAGGTTGTGCTCAGTGCAAGCGAAGCAGCGGAGATGATAATACGGTATGCAGTGCACCTTCCAGATCATGAGCTGTCCTTTGACGTTGTATGTGAATAGGGTGGATGACATTCTACGTGCTACGCCTCGGAGGCGTGAGGCGGTATAACCAGAGTGATTTTCATGTCAGGAAGTAAGCAAGGATGCTGGTGGTTATAAAATAAAGATCTCCCTATCTCTACAGCGCTCGGACTGAATGAGATGACGTACGACGAAGCATGTAAGGTGACCTCGTGTTGGTCTCCGGCCTCATGAGCTCATGTTGCTATCAATTTCATTTGCAGAGTTGAATTCACGCATGGCCACCGCTCCTGCATTTGAGTCGACCATGAATTCACCTAATGCATCAATGAGGCTTCATCTCACCTAACCTCGAGTGCACTAGCTGCTATGTGATAACACCAATTCCCGACACTAGCTAGATAACTAATGTTATCGCATCTCTAGCACAGAGCCATGACTCAGGTGGTAGTCCTTGATCCTGCTGGCGTCGAGGGTCCTTTTGTGAATGTCAGATAAAGGCCTGCTTGTCCTGTGCGCGCAAGCACGCTTCACATCGCGTATCGTAGCTTTTTACAAGGCTATCACTAGTATTAACCAATGCATGTTATATATCTCAAGCGCACAATGCCCTAAGAACATACAGAAGAAATTATATTCAAACACTATACTGTCAATGATAATCGTCGTCGTACATGCACGAAAATAAAATACAAGATCTATGAAATAGATATACATCGCGAGACAAGTCCATAATGAAATGATGAGTCCGTGTCGTACCAGTAAAGGAGAAAATACAACCTCTATGTAGAGAAGGAAATGAGAAGAGTAACGATACATGCGGGAGATGAGTCCATGATGAAACCGAATGAGTCCAATATCGTCTCGTGCCAGTATAAGGAGAAGGACAAATCGAAGAAGATCATGATATGTGGATAAGGAAATGAGAAGAATAAGCGTACATGCTGGAGGTGAGTCCAATGTCTGTCTCGTACAAAGGGGAAAAGAAATCAAAGATGCCTCTTGGGAGGGAAGGAAAAGAGAAGAAAAAAGAAACACGCGAGAGATAAGTCCAATGTCCGTCTCATACAGTCGAGGAAAAAACAAATCAAAAATACCTCTGTGGGGAGAATGAAGCGAAAAGCGATTCGGGTCGGTAGACGTGTGCGTAATAGTGGGCGGCGGCCTTCGAATCCAACTTCAGGTCGTAGGGGACGATGAAGGAGGCCGTTTAGTGAACCGCCGGAATTGGGTCGTAGGGGACCTAGGCTGGCGTTGTAGACCCGCGGCGTGGCGGATGGGTAGACTGGCATTAGCCTTCGACTTCGTAGGCGGTGAAGCTCCGGGTCGTGGTGGACCGTGTTGAAGGAGGATATGTGGTATGGTGCGTCGTCCGGATGGGTCGTAGGGGACCATCGGCGGCGGTGTGTGATGCGTAGGTGTGCGTGCGAGTGCGTATTAAGTGGCGGCGGCCTCAAATCTTTTGGGCGGTAAAGCTCCAGGTCGTAGGGGACAAGGATGGAGGCCGTTTTGTCGCACGTCAATTTGATTGTAGGCTGTGGAGACGGAGTACTAGTAGGAGGGAGAAATTTGAGTTGAGCTGCGGCGCGCTTCGTAACCGGAATTGGGGGCTTCAGCTTGGGCGTGAAAGGCAACATATCAGAGATAGAAAGCATCTCCATAGTTCGGCTCAAGGCGTCGTCCGGGTCAGGAAGAAAGACATCAGGATCGTCAGGCGGACTGTCGGAGAGAGAAAGCGCATTCATACATCGAATGAGCGCATCCATGGAGGTGGCGAGTTCAAGAAGACTCGGAGGAGAAGACGTAGATGCTGTCTGGTGGTTGGCGACTAGAATGAGCGGTTGAAGAGTGGATAGACGAGGAAGGTCGTCGAGTGTTAGGGCTCGCATTTTTTCGACTAGAGTGTCGAGCATAGTTTGTTTTGGTACAGAAAAATCGTCCTAGAGATCCAAGTGTTAAGTAATGTGGAAATTGAGGCTACGCTGAAATTCTTACCTCGTGGAAAGTGTTGTCGTCACCAAAAGACTCGTAGTCATTGGTATCCGAAGCATCGTCCGAGAAGACGGTAGTACTACTATTTGAGTCGATAGGTGACAGGCAATATTTGGAGTGCGGCGAAGTGAGACTGATGCAGGTATTAGAACACGTGACGAGAGCGGCTATTGTGTCTGTTGATTCAATTAAACGCAATGATGTTGAAGGAGATGGCAGGCAATAAAATTCGGCGAGCTGAGGCGTAGCGGGGGTGAAGGTGTCGTCAGAAAATGCAGGATTGTGGTCGGCGGCGTCGTCCTGCGGAGTGGGTAGATACTTGGCGTCGTTGCGGAGGAACTTCTTAGCTACTGAGTCGGATGCCAGAACAAGCATGATTGACGACGAGCAGACTGTGTATGCGATGAGGCCAGCGGAAACTTTCTCCGCTTTTGACAGGACCTCAACAGTATGATCAATGACGGTCCGTTTGAAGAAAGTTGCTGTAAGTAAGCTGGAGAGGGCGACACGGGCGGTAGCATTCATGACGGTAGAAATCATATTGGAAAATATTGAGATGGAGGATGAAGATCGTAAGAATATGCTGGTACACGTAGAAAGGGGTAAACGGCGCTAAACTGAGAGGGACATGCAAAGACACGCTGTACTTATACCCCTAGGTTATTTGAAATGGCGTACACCATAATAAAGTTTGAATAAACAGACCCGATCGCGACGCGTCAGTCACGTGCTTGTAAAATCAACCAGTATATAACCTCGCGTACACCACACCAACCTACTCCAGCAGCTGAAGTCCCCCATGGGATAACAGAATTAACGCAAGGAAGGCTTGAGGCACTCGAAAGATTTGATATCAATGTATTTCTGTATTTCACAGCACGAGCGGTCTGTCAATAGAAATGAGGAAGGTAGAGGAGTGTATTGCATGTATGTAAAATAGGCATGTGTTACGTGGGTTCGCAGCAAGGTGGGCGTGTATCGGACTTAGCTTCATATTGATGGTCAACGACGTTTGAGCTATTAACAAACCAGGCTTAAGTCTAGTCTAATAATGGACCTTACAACAAATTCTGACCAGCCCAACATCGAATGTGGCAGTCGTGGGTGGAGCAATGGGATCATGATGGAGTGTTGAAAAGATGTCCATGGTACCTACACACCTGTACACAGTACTGGCACTGGAAGGATAATCGCGGTCCGGCGGGTTTACTGTCCATTATTTGCCAAACGCTCTCGAGCCAGAGATCTACCGCCTTGTCAAATACTGGTACTCGCAGCACAAGGGGACATGAAGAGACTCATTGTTATTCGGTAAATAAAATCGATATTTAAACTACTGCATTCTTCTCAACCGCAGCCTTTCCCTCCGACCAGCCTTGCTCCCAACTCTCCTTCCGAGCTGAGACAAATATCTCGAACAACTCCTTAACTGCATCCCACTTTTCCCTCCTTCCCTGAAGCTCCTTGGGTATTTTGTTGGGAATGCAATGACTTATGGAAGCTGAATTGGGAAATAGAAAGGACAGCACTGCTGCGACCTTTGCAGGATCCTCGATGGGTGATGCACCGACAAGAAATTCTGTGATTTTTGGACTGACTGCATCGACCGGTGCCGTATATGTTGTTTCACTTTTGAAAGTAGCATCGAAGAGAATTCCGAGAGAGTACAGCTGGCGGCAGTGCTTTAAGAGAGATGTGACTCCATCAAAGGTCAGCAACGGAGCAATGAGCCAGTACTTCTGGTCACACAAATAGAGCTGCTCTAGGTGTGGACAAGACTGAGCCATTTCTCCGAGAAAAGTATCATCGATATGCGCGGTACACGCATGGCCAAGGTCTAAATGTTTGAGTCCCTTGAATGACAGGAGCGGATGCAACATGCGAGAGTTGAGCACGATCGATTTGTTGGTAGCATCCGCGTCTGATCTCGTTGTCACGGTCAACACTAGCTCTGTAAGTTCCTCGGGATGCTCCACGCATGTTTCTAAGTGCGAGAAGAATTTTTCGGGGAAAGAATGATCGTAGAGCGCGCATTCAAGGTGCAGACGTCGAATTGAGAAATGGACGTTTTGCATGAACGCTTGAAGGAATGAAGGTGTAGGAGCTACGATTGACACCAGGACACTGGGGGAACAAAATTCCAACACGAGGGATCTAAGATCTGATGTAGCAGAGAAACGCAACTCTTGAAGCGCTTGCAAAGAGGCCGTGTGCGTCAAAGTATGTTTGTCCACAGGACCAACCCGCAATACTTGAAGCTTCTTCCAACCCAAAACTGCCTCGCTGATTGCTCAAATCGACGAATCCTCTGCGCCACAGCATAACAATCTCTCGAGCAAAGGACACGATGGTGGAAGCGATGCGACTGCGACACACTTAGAGACACTCCATGAGAGGGGTGAAAGGCTGAGTGCCTTCAGATTGGGCCCACAGAAACAACGCAAGAATGGGAAAAAGTCTTCGCGATCGGACAGCCAATTCAACTCTGTGAGGTTCGGAAGGATGGGTCCTGGAAGAGGAAAACAATTCAGAAGTTGCAAAGTCTTTATGTCCCATTTATCCGACCCAGTTGAGACTGTCAGCGTGCGGACGCGATTTGCATAACGGGCGAGATTGCGCCAGTCCGCATCGTACAATGGACGATCCCAGATCTGAGTGCGGGATCTGAGTGATGGGAAAGTGAAAAATCATGGTAGATCACTGACTAGTTGGTTGTTGCCAACCCGTCTCCCACCGGAACAAAGGACGAGTGCATCCAAAGAGTGCAGCCGAGTCCACAGGACATCTAGGGCAGGGTCTTTAAATGCTCGACAAGTTCTTGCTAGACCGGCAACCGTGACACGACCCTCTCTATCATCTACTGTACGAATAGGATCATAGACATATTCGAAAATAAGCCGCACAACTTCAGGGATCCAGCGGTGCATCTCTGGTCGAACAGACTCCAAGTCACCTGAAACAGGAAAGTGTGCTCAATACTCTAGAAAACGAATAAGTTGTAAGAATAACCCACTACTACAGTTATTTACGAAATGCAAGTAAGACACAGGCCTGCGATTTTTACTACCGTCGGTCGTGTAAGAATCCGGGTGGAGTAGTTAGGGGTATTTGCTATTGGAAGGATGTCAGAGATGTCGAGGTAGGGAGATCCTGGAAGCACTGTCCGGTATTTGCCGATTCAGACCACAGCTGCTCGACAACGTCTTGACTCATCAGTCCTCAGTCCTCAACCGTTTTAACTGACCAGAGATGATCAACGAAAACAAGTGCAGACAAATTTATCGCTGTATCATGGCAGAAGCTCCTGCAGACAATTAGACGGTACTACTAGTCACCCCATGGGATCACCGTACGAGCTAGACAGAAGAAACCCCGAACATTTGGCCTAGTATGCGCTTCATTGCGGAAGTCGGGGTACAGCAATCTATGCCTGACAATGAAACTTATCCCGTATCTCCAATGAGCAGCCCCACGATATAGATGCTCGAAAGTACTTTCGTCCTTGTCAGTGACGCGAGACCACAGTTTCCATACGCCGAGGTTTCGTCGAATCGAGTCAAACTGCTCTACCACCAGCTCCATCGTAGGCCTCCTGGTTGAAACACGTTTCCGCAAGTGCAGATGGATCTGCAGGCTTTACTATTGGCGCCAGTGAGGGTGTCCGACGACATCCTCACGATGCTTAATTTCTACAACCTACACCCAAATTCCCACACTTGCAGCTGCAGCTCCCGCCCAGGACTTGGAGACTGAAAGTGAGTGGAGCTGCTGTATACGATGATGAATGCGAGATACTTCGCGCTGTCGGTGCCCAAGCAGATCTAATGTCAAAGCAGGACAGGAACGATATGTTAGCATCCACAGAGTCTGCACATTCGCATACTAGTATCTCTGGCCCAGAGTTGCAAAACTTTTCAATGTTCGCGTGATAGCTCAACAACAACACAACATTGAAAAACGGCGACAACAGGGGGACGTAGGATTCAGTTCAGGCTTCAGCGCTATGTAAAACACATTTGCAAATTTTGTTGAGGCTACGTTGCCAGAGAGAAGCCGGCGTGAACGGTGTTTGAGCACACAGTTGCAAAATTTCTCACCTGCACAGAATTGATCAGGTCACACTAGGTGTCACACTGCCGTTTTTACTCTCCGACGCCGTCAAGTGTTGATCGAATGAAGTAGGGCGTCGGATGCCGAGCGGAGCTTGATGACTCCGACCACCAAATCACTCCTCCTGTCACGCCCTGTGTCTCGACAGTACAACATTTGTGTCGCACAACACAGCTCGGTTTTTGTGTCGGAAAAAATTAGAGCAGTGTTAGAAGGTAATGAGGAATCATGCGTAAAATTCCTGATTTTTTTTGGTCGGTGCGATGGCTTCCCTGTGATGGATTGGCGTGGAAAGTATACTTTCTGAGCAGTGTTTTACTCCCGCAAGCACTTCTCGTCCATTTTTTGTGAAATAAAAAATACAGACAGTGAGCTATGCATTGATCATCCTTCAGAATCATTGTGCAAAGAAAATGAGCGAAAGATGAGTGTGCTACATCGCATTTTGCAACTCTGGGCCAAAGATAGTATGGGAAAGCTCAGATGCTGATAGGTAAACAAACGAAATGTACATAGACACGTCTACGACATACATACAACCCGCATTACAGCAATTGCTGGCACATCAAGAGTACATCACTCAAACACGATCACTACATCTGGACCTTTGTTGTTCAGCCATTGCTTCCAAATTTTGCTATATTTTTGGGACCACGGGCGACGCACACGGAACACTTCTTCATCCGGCAAGAGGCGCGCTATCCGGTGAATTTCTCGGAGGTCTCTGTAAGAGTGATACTTGATGCGTGCAGCTGCCTGGGAAAGAGTCGGGTGATGCTTCGATCCGAAACCACAAAGCAGGCATCACTTCTTCTGAGTAACAGTATCAGATAAAAGACTTACCGACCCCCGAAATACCATCCTATGCCACTTGCAAAATGTCTTGGCTGATATGGAATATGCACCACTTTCTTCGTCGGAGTATCGAACGTCACGGTATTGAGGCAGAAGACGCGGGGTATAATACGACACGAGAGGTATCTCAGATGTCTCATGCGGCGGCCGACGAGCATTAGACTGGGCAAGGTGGCGTCGGTAACGAGCAGCAATGCACCAATATTTCGTTTCTGCTTCTAGTGTGGGGAATGATTCGTATCGTGAACGCACGGGTAATGGGAATAAGAGGCGGACGCGAATGCAAGTGGAGGATAGTGCGTGATAGAGCCTTTGGAAGAGACTGTCCACGAAGGTCCTGCTGGAGCCTGCTTGCAATAGACGCCTCCCAAGGTGAGTTGCGCAAAGAGATCGCACCACCCGGGTGGGATCGATGAGCGGGAGGCTCGTTAGTAGCAAGAAGGTAATGATGGCAGGTGGCTTGGTGTGGATGATGTTCTGCGTCTCGATTAGGGCTGTGTCTATGACAATAAATTTGGATGCGACACTCACCCGCAGCTGCATTTCGCAAGTCTCTTCGACAACGATTGGGTCAATTGTGGTTCAAACTGCTCGATTGGCCCTTAGACCTTTCAAAGTATGGGGCGGCCTTGAAAGCGATGTACGTCAGTTTCAACGGGTCAACACGTACGAAACCCTCCAGATTCCCTGAGCCCATTCCGCTTTGGCCATCCTCATGGTGGGCCGCGAGGCATAGTGGCTGCGCAATACCATTTGTGGGCAATCGACATGTCGACTGTACAAGAGCAATATTTGCGCACTGCGGGCTGTTTCACAACAAGGATGTACTTACCGTTGCCGATACAAGGCCAAAGATCAGAACGTACGTGAGACTGGGACCCCAAACCAGCTAGTGAGGTGTGTCGACTGTCGAGATTGGATAACACTAGCTCTCTAGCTAGTACGTTGGAAACTTGGATGCTATTGTTTTATCACATCATGTAGTCATAGCTGATTGCATGATCATGAGGCTGAGACTGCCGTCAACTGCTAACAGTACTCGAGGTGAGGTGCGTCCAACACAAGTGACAACATGAGGCCGAATTCAGACCAATACGTATTACGAGGTCACCTTACATGCTCAGCGGCTTCGTACGTCATAATTCATTGACAAGTCCGGTCGCGTCAGCTCGCAGTGACAAGTGTCAGTATGTCTATTCCGGTATATCACGGACGCCATATTATTTACAGATTCTGGACTGCAGATTCCCCAACCCCCGACCACTCTACGGTTTGTACTATACATTTCCCTTATTCCTTCCCTCATAGACCCAGTTGTTTCACTTTGCGTAGTTTTCAGGCCGTTAAGATCAATCGCCCAAAGGCGACACAGGAAAGAGAGCAAGATATTCATGTCCTTCGAGAAGTTCACCCAAGCACCATTTACCCCTCACCTTAAATTTTTCCAACACCTTCGACGGTTCCGCATGATCAACATAAAACTCTGTGAACATAGATGAGACAGCATCAGTGCCTGCGTTCTCCTGGAAGAGGTCACCACGAAGTTGTACGCTCTTGAGATAGTCGACGGCGGAGGCCTCCAGAATCCTCGCCGCATTTTCACGAATGAAAGACAAGTCGACTGCATACACGCCAACGTCTTGAGTCATTGTTAGTTATGATAACTGACTGCATATAGATCAACGCAAATATACCGGAATACTTTGCCAAAGCGCTGCACGCAGCAGGATGAGACGAAACAAGGCCAACTGCCGTGACTCCTTGAAACAATGGGTGGACCTTAAGGGTTTGCAGCAGCTGGGTTGCAATGTATCGTTTACGGACACTCATGTCAACGACGAGCTGAGTGATCCATCCGACCACACCTGTGACGATGTGAGCTTTCGACAACACCATAAGAATGCACACATAGACGTACCTCCTTCAAAAGACCAGACACTAGCGAAGGCATGACCGACGAGTTTCTCATGCTGAAAACACGTCACAAGGACAGTGTGGTCTGGAATAGATACACATTGACTTCGCAACTTGCTACCAGTCATCTTGACTGATTGACCTGAGAATTAATTGAGCAAGTAACAGAGTGTCCAACACAAGTGAGAGCTGACCAGGCTTGGTGTACTTCGAGATACTGATCGCCTTTTCGCCCCATATTCCGTAGTTCGTACTAAAAAGTTGCGCACGCGATTTGATGAGATCATCGGAAATCGCAGTACCTAACATGGCATTATAGGTGAAGGACGTCTCGGAGGGAGAAGTAGGAAGTGGTAGAGTTACGGACATCGTGTCAGTACTAGTGACAGTCAAAGTTAACGATTTGAGGTTGAGTCTTGTCCGATTCGAACACAGTAAATTGTAAGTGAATCAGCCCCCGACTGTGTACGCCATAGTCTCCTGTACTCGAACCAGACGTGGAGAATTTGATGGTCGCAAATGTTTGACTCTGGAGAAAACTGGATGAACGAACAGAAGCAGTATTTAAATATTTAAACATTGTACACCTGGGCTCAAACCATACAAGGTTTCAATAATTATATTTATTATTTCGCACTATTAAATTGTTTGTCTGTGTTAGGATTTAAGGCTGTCAGCTTACTACATAGTCGCCATCTTTTGAAGGCATCTAGCTAATACTATGCCAGCTCACTTCCGACCGGAGGTTCTCAGAGCATCGGAAATCAGCACTGGCTCAATATTCGGCCAAACTGGTATGCTGAAAAGTGTGCAGTGCGCCGTCCGATCCCTCTGTGCCATAGTAAGTGCTACACTTTTATTTCCTGTTTCTTCCTCTTAGATTGTATCGTCATCGAGCGGACTGCCGCAAATGTCCTGTAATGACCGCAAGTGGCGTATTGTTTCTACCATTGAACATGCACACGTTCAATCTTCAGGCAGCATGACGGGTTGTATTAATTTGGCTCCACGTCGCCCTCACACCCGAACTCGCTGAAGCGTCCACAGTGCAGCTTGAAGATAATTTGTGTCATTGTCGACTTCTGTGGGGCCACGCTCAGAAAAAACGTTCCTGAGTTGTTTCAGCTCCTCATCCTTAAATTTAAGGTAGTTTCTGTTCTCGTCGTAGAGCGCCTGAAGGAATGTCGAGGACCGCTCTGCCTGCGTGAGAGGTCATCCAGGAAGCATATTCTATATTCTCAGAAGCCAGCTCCACTGGAGCTCGGAATTTCAGCCCGCGCGACAGGGCGAGGATGCAAACCAGAGTTCACGCCCGAAGAACTTCAACAGGTATGTTTTTTATTCTTTTATACTAGAAGTTCGAAGTTCACTTATATGGCCAAAAGAATGAGGAAACGATACGCAGGGGCTTCTCGCAAATGAGCTTTAGCACCTTGTACAAAGCATCCTGGCAACGACATGGGAAATTGAGGAGGCACTCTCCACGACGGGAGGGAGATTTGGTGAGGTCAGGTCTATACAATAGGCTCTCTTTCGCACCGGGAGGCTGAGGAATCCCATCCACTGGGGAGAGGGAGAAAATGAAAAGTCAGAGTAATCCACGCTGTAGCAGCGTGATACGGAAGAACCCTGGATAAGCGCCTACATGAGTTGGGTCATGGGCAGAAGCCCAACACTACTCACCACCACCAGACCCCAACGCAAGGATATCCTAAAGGTACAGTCCTCGTCAACCTCAAATGCTGCTGACTGTCTATATCTCTGTCTAGGTCAACGCGAGATGTCAAGGGTGCTTGATGGAGCAAGGAATGCGGATCTCACTCTGAGACGGCAGCCGACACCGGCGCAGACAACGGAAGGGCAACTGACACCAATGCAGACGATGAAAGGGCATACGTGGAACGTGGCAGCAGTCGCGTTCTTCAAAGATGGTCGACGGGTCGTCACTGGTTCATATGATAAAACTCTGCAAATTTGGGACTTGGAGACAGGAGTATTGGTAGGAGGGCCATTCTGGGGACACGAGGACCGGGTGAATTCCGTGGCCATATCACCAGACGACAGGCGAATTGCGAGCGGTGGAAATGATAAAACCATCATCATCTGGGACGTCGAGAGCAAGCAAAACGTATTCGAACCGCTGGTGAAGCATACAGGCTGGGTGTTGTCGGTGTGCTTCTCACCCGATGGCAAGAAACTTGCAAGCGGGTCGGATGATTGCACGGTTGTTGTATGGAATGCAGATACTGGCGCTGTCCTCGCAACACTCGAGGGTCATGTTTTGTGGGTGTTCAGTGTTGCATTCAGCCCAGATGGGCTACAATTAGCCTCGGGATCATTCGGTGACATCCGTGTTTGGCGCACCGATAACGCCGAGCTTCTTCTCAAGATCAACGCTCACCGAAATTACATTAAAAGTGTTGTGTGGTCGCCTGACGGCCAGCAACTTCTCTCTGCGTCACAAGACAAAACAGTCAAGTTCTGGAACTCGTCCAATGGAGACCAGATCGGTCAACCTTGCACTGGTTACACTTCCCACATCTTCTCGCTCGCCATCTCGTCTGATGGCTCCTTCTTTGCCACTGCCTCACACGACCAGACTGTGCGGCTGTGGAGCACAAAGACACACCAGCACATAGGACAACCACTAAAACACACCTCGAGCATTTTGTCTGTCGCGATTTCTCCCAATGGCGAACTGCTTGTCGGTGGAGATCGCACAGGAAAGGTGCTACTCTGGTCTATCAAGCAGATACTTGAGCAACACAAGGCGGGAGAAATGACAAAGGTCGATGAAGGAGCACGTCGACAGCAACTCCTTGGTCTCAGTGACACGCAGGTATGCTATCACCCATTATTTTTAGTCTGTCTCTTCATTCATATTGCTTTCGCGGCGGCACACAGCCGCGCTGTCATGACACCGACAACGAGCTCTCTGGCAATAACGACGGTGCTAGCCACCATTCTTCGCAACAAGCGTCTGGCAGTGACAACAACCCTTCATTATTTGACGTGAGCTGCCTTCAATTTGAGTCCTTATCACGGAACATGAGCTTGCTTCATGCAGATCCCTGTTATAAACACAACGCTACCCAATGCATGCATTGCTGAGGACCCGCATACCGCTGAAGGCATCCTGTCCCAGGAGACCGACGCAGATGATAACAACCACGACTCATCTGCCGACGAGGAAGACGATGTATACGAATCGATTAAAGATGACGAGGAAGTACAGCAACTCCTTCCTCGTAGTGACACGCACGTATGCTCTTTCCCATTCTTGTCCCGCTTTTCTATTTATTTACACGAGAAACAGTTGCCGGTGCACAGTCACGAGAACGAACACGAGCCCACCTGCGATCACGACAGTCCAAGCAATCATCCATCGGATATTGACCAAGCCTCTGGCAATGACGACAATCTTTCGTTGTTTGACGTGAGCTTCTTCCTTCAATGCCTCTGCTCATAACACAACATGAAATTTCTTCATGCAGATCCTTGCCATAAACAAGATCGTCCGCAATTCATGCGTCACTGGGGATCTGCATATTACTGAAGACCTGTTGACACAAGAGATCCAAGCAGATGGTAACAACCACCACTCGTATGCCAATCGCTCTGTTGTAAGGGCGCGAAACTCCGAGTGGGACAAGGCCCTTCAAGACTCAGTCAAGGTCAAATGCTCTGCATATCATGACGCTGTTGGTGCTGACTCTGCTTCTTGACGTAGTCCATTGCTATCCAGCCCTCGTTATTGGGCTACATTTCCAAGGCCATCGCACTCTGCGCCAACGAGCAGCTCTGGGACGCGACAGAAGCATTTGATCTCGCGTTCGTATTTTCGAATCGTGATCCAACCACCGTCGGTCTATTGCTATTGATCAAGGTACTCTTGTCGCTATCTCAGAGTCTGTCTGTCGTACTAATACTTCGATGGTATCTTGTCCAGGCTGTTGTACTTTTTAATGCCGGTTGCCACGATGAGGCGATGCGGCGAGTTCAAGACCTCGCCACCGCTTGTCATCACTTAGATACACTTCCGTGCAGTTTTATCAATGTGAGCTTTACGTCATACCTCACGAGTTTCCTCACTTTCGAACACACTCCTCAGTCATATCTACGCGTACAGCTTGCAATAATCGCTTTCCATGACAGGCGGTACAGCGAAGCCGCCGATCGACTGAACGATATCATGCCTAGTATAACCGACGTGTCCTCTCGCCAAATGCCCTTTGAACCTACATTGAAGGTATTCACAGTGGTACGTCACTATGAAGCCCACAGGACACTTTTAATGATTTGCGCTGTACAGCTCTTCGGCTGGGACTTGGATTCACTATGGCAAAGTGTCAACCAAAGGCGGTGCGATGCACTCCTTCGCGCCGATCGAGTGATCGAAGCGGTCGAATCTCACCAACACACTATGCGCATGACTGATGAGGATGCGAAGGACAGCTACCTCGCATGGTTCACTGGTGGGTACTTTGGGCCTTGAACGAACATCGACACTTACTCTGAGTACGTTTAGCTTTCAAGAAAAAATGTACTGCGCGCTGTCTCGCAAAGGGAGATGAGGCTGTTGCTGCAAGCAATTACGAGGCCGCTATCGAACTATATTCGGCAGGAATCGGGCTTGACTCCTCGTGCGAGTCCCTGTTTGCGCACCGCAGCAAGGCAAATTTGGAACGAAACCTCTATGTGGAGGCCCTTTTCGACGCGGAGAAGGTGCAGACATGATGTCCATCATTGGTATAGAATTCATTCTGACACCGGCGATGCATAGCTCATCGAACTTAATACTTCTTCTTACCTGGGATACCAACTAAAGCATGCAGCGCTTCACGGCGCACGGCGCTACGATGAAGCAATCAAGACCTTCAAAATGATGCTCTCGAAGTCAGATGATACACCCGACGCGCAGATCCAAAGTAAGCCCGAATCCATCGTGGATCAACGAGAAAATTATGAACGCCTTCTCCAGAGCTGCGTCAGCAGAATGTCAATCCGTCTGACATCAAAGGCACCATTCAACGAGCCATCGACGCTAAACTTGAAAATGCCCCGCTTCGTCTACTCAATACGTCCACTGGGCGTATATGCACTCGAGAGGCACAGATCAGAGCCTTCACAGAATGCCCAGAGTACAAGGAGCTTGTATTTTCATCCATAATGTATGCGCCCATCCAAGCGGAGCATATCGAAGCAGTCGTCGCGAAGTACTTCGGTTGGGCCATGTTGTCGCATAGGTGGCAAGGCGATGAGCCGCTGCTGCACGACATCCAGGACAAGGTCGTGTATGATTTGGATGCAGTCGGAACCACAGTGAAGTTGCAGATGTTCTGCAAAACTGCTCGCAATGCGGGCTACCGCTGGGCGTGGAGCGATACATGTTGCATTGACCAGAAGAACAATGTTGAGCTCCAACGATCCGTCAATGCCATGTTTGTCTGGTATCACAACTCGGCTCTTACAATTGTCTACCTGCCGGATGTTCTGCCTTCAGCGCAGTCAGGCGCACTCGCAAAGAGCGCTTGGAACACGCGAGGGTGGACTGTTCAAGAGTTCCTCGCTCCAAATGTCATTATCTTCTACCGAAAAGACTGGATTCCATATCTCAACGACCGCTCTCCTAATCACAAAAAATCTGTTGCTATCATGAAGGAATTAGAGGATTCCACAGGCATAGATGCACAGGCTCTCATCGCCTTTCGTCCGGGGACGAGAGACGCCCGAGAGAAACTTCAATGGGCGTCGAAACGTGCCACGACTGTACCGGAAGACATTGCATATTCACTGTTTGGCATATTCGGCATCCACCTCCCTGTCATCTACGGCGAGACGAGGCAGAATGCGCTCGGCCGGCTCTTGCAAGAGATCATAGCCCAGTCGGGCGATATCACTGCCCTGGACTGGGTCGGAACATCGTCTCCGTTCAATAGCTGTTTGCCAGCCGAGATTGTCTCGTACCATTCTCCGTCATGCATGACGCCATCTCTATCTGATGATCAGATACAGATGTCAATCTCATTGCTGCAAAATGCCACTGTCGTGGAACAGGCACTGACGCTGTGTACCCGGCTTGACCACCTCGGCGCTCCTCGTTTCGCGCACCGCAGACTGCAACTGCCTTGCATTGTATTTCCTATCACAGAAGTCAGGCGAAGTCGCGGTCAAGACCAAAAGACACGTTTCACTTATTATGTCAAAGCAAACGGACTTAAAGACCTGGTGATCACTACGGAAGCCAGATTGGGTCAATTCTCGCAGGCAAGGCCCGGCCAGCAGACATTCATGCTCGTCCGTCCGTGGAATATTCATGACCTCGGGCTACCCAACTTTGTGGGTGATAGAACCATAAAAACTTTGTCTATGCCCTGGTCTATGTCAGATCATTCGCTGTATGGCTCTCCTAAAGCATATGCGCCAGCTGATTTGGAGTCGCACGCCCGAGCGTCAAGGTTGATCGCTCGCCTCGGACAGCCTTTTGGCGCACTTTTGCTAGCGCAGCAGCGTGTCGGGGAGTACAGGAGGATTGCTTCGGATAACAATATCATCGCGCAAGTCAAGGATGTGACTTCTGTTCGTGACATGATGGACGTCAGGACGCTAGAGATATTGTAGACTTATTCTTGTCGAAGGACGGAGAACCCCTGACGCATTTTCATTCATACCTTCACAGTACCTTTGTGAAACAATATTCCTTTGTAACATAGTCCGCGATCTGTATCTATACATGCTTGAGTAGCATTGATCCGCTGTGCACGAAGGTCAATTGGATTTTACGTGTAGATGCCACTCGTCAATAGACTGCCGGTCTACAACGCCGACATGAGTATCCCGCTGACTCTCTCACAATCCATCTCCTTGACCGGCTGTAAAAATCCTAAAATGCATATCATTGTGAAGGCTTTAACAAGCTGTGTGACATTGCACACCTTCATGACAATGGCGGCTTCTTGGACTGCGTTCACGCAAGGTTCCGCCGCACTCGATGAGAATCTCTGTTTGGCCGATGACGTTACTTGGCTTTGATGCTCCTCCGAACAAGATCGATGACGACCTCCGACGCGTATCTGCTCAGAATTGTCAATGATGCATACTGCAGGAATTGGTATGGGTCACTCTTTTTGCCAAAATCGTGACCTCGTCACACACTACTACCACCTGGGTTACCCAATAAGTAAGTATTATTATACTGGGTGATCGAGCGCCTCGCTAAGTATTACTTAGCTTAGTTGCGTTAAATCCCAACACCAGCATTAAACCTTGCCCTAAATAATGTTTTACCTTATGCTACCTTGTAAGGTATTCTCGGAATGAGCCGATATAGTTAATTAACATATTAGGAATATACAGAGCCTAAATTATGTAGGCTATTCCCACGACACCTTCTCCTCGACGTCAACAGTGAGCTCGCCCTTGTCGACGTTGAGCTCACCAACGGGGTCGTTCTCCTCCATCTCTGCTCTGCCTTCGCTCAGTCATCGACACCAAGGCCCCCTCACCGCCACATTACCCGTCCTACAAGAAGATCAGCATCAATACTCCTGCTCTGCCTTCACCCAGTCATTGACGCTATGGGTCCCTTCACTGCCGCATCACCCGTCCTCCTCGAAGATCCACGTCAATGGTGAGAGTGGGCAATCCTGCTGTCTGCGATTTCTACTTACAGTTGCACAGAGGTCTCCTAGTCCCTTATCATTATCACCATCGCATCACCTCCATGCTCAACGTCAGCGGTGAGAGTGGGCAATCCCGCTGTTCGCAATTTCTACTTACAGTCGCACAGAGGTCTCCTACTAACTCCCCTTATTGTTATCACCATCGCATCGCCTCCAGGCTCAACGTCAACGGTGAGAGTGGGCAATCCCGCTGTTCGCAATTTCTACTTACAGTCGCATAGAGGTCTCCTCAGCCGTTCATTTATCACCATCACCTTGTCAATTGTGCTTCTCCTTAAGGTCAGTTTCAAGGCTGTCCTGCTCACACTCACACCGTCTCGCTGCAGGACCATTGTTCACTTCCCAACATGGCCTCTCGTGGTACAAGGGCCAAGAGAGAGTGGGCAATCCCACAGTTCGCGATTTTTACCTACAGTCGCAGGGAGGTCTCCTTGGAAGTTCATCTACCACCATCTATTTCTGGCTTATGAGTTCCTTGCCCTTCTACTACCGCTATGCCGCATTGCACTGTCTAATTTATGCAATGATTAATTTTATCCTCGCAACCCTTTTTTAGCATTGACTCTGTCCAGCCTGAGTATATTAAGTACTAATCAACCTATAACGCGCATTGAGGTACAGTGAGAAGCCTCAAAGGCCAACAGTGGATGGGCCACTGAACAGTTGATTTAAGTGGGTGAGAGTACCATCAAAATCAAATGAAAAATCCAAGTCATCGCAGAGTCCATTGGCAGTATCGAAGGCAGTGGGATCGAAGGCAGTGGGATTGAAGAGAGTGGGATTGAAGAGAGTAGGATCATTCCCACCGGCGGGAGCAGATGCCAAAGGATCAACGAGTGGCGCAGGTGATGTGCAGCTTATGCTGTCGTCCACTGGGTTGGGAGAGAGTCCATTCCCACTGGCGGGAGTAGACGCCAAAGGTTCGGTCTGAGTAGAACTGCCCGCAGAAGCAGAGGGAGGTGGCACAGGTGATGTGCGACTTGCGCTGTCGTCGTTGTCGGCGTTCTCGTTGTTCTCATCAGGAGAACGAGCGCGAGTGCGTTTCTTGCCCTTGTCTGAGCGGGTCCGACAACGACGTTCAACAATTGCACCGCTGTCGAGTTTTTCATTTCGCTCGCAATGAAGTTGCTCGAACTCCTCGTTCTCCAACTGTCTCCAGTGGATCTCTCCGGACTTCCATTTCCGTTCGAGCATCTCCAGGTCGGCGAGTGAGCTTGACACTTTGCTAAAGTTTTCAAAGGGGATTTCGTCAGGCCACCCTGTGCAAACGACAAGATAGCGCTGAACAATGTTGCGCCAGTAGTGAGCCCATTGCATCTTTGCATCTGGGTCACCGGTAATGTTCTCTGACATTCAATAAGTTAGACAAGAGAATGGTCAAAGAGTGGTGCATGTACTCACGGAGTTTCTCGTTGATTATGTTTCTGATCGAGCCGCGAATGTTAGAACAACGTTTTTGATGATTTTGAGCAGCACCTAGATAGATTCAGTGGTAAATTCATTAAGTACTAGCAAAATAAAACTCACCGCATATCCCACTCATCGCGAAACCTTCCATCTTACCAACAAGATCTTGATTATCAACGTTCATGATGGACTCCATGAAATTCTCAACACCATGTGTTGCGAAGGCAACCCCACGGAGTGGCAGGTCGGTAGAGCCGCGCGTCGTGTATAGTATCGTTTCTGCACCTGTTCGGGATCTTAAGCTATTTAACTGTGAATTATTGTAATTAATATTATTGAAATGAAAAAAAAAATGCCTACCTCATTCTCGACGGCCTTGAGGGTCTGAGTAACATCGTTGACCTTCAATTTGGTGGATATGTGAGTGCCGGTAGTCTTTGTGGCCTTGAATTCCTCGTACTCCTTCAAAATGCTAGCTTTCACGTCGTCATCGAGTTTGTGATACTCAGCGTGATTCTCCTGGACAAGGTCTTGCAGGACTGCCTTCCCAGACAGTCCTGTAGCATAAAATAAGTCAGTGGTAGAAGAACTGTAGACACAAAAAGCACGTACCATTTTCTTTGTCCGCGGTCTGATTTTTCTTCCAGCAGAATGCATTCCACATGCTCGATTTGGCACGCTTCGTCCGCAAGAGCCCTTGACCCTGTTATGATCAACGTTCACCGATTGGTAAAGGTATCACACAACCACTAGGACTCGTCAAGAATAAGAGAATAGATGGTATTGAGAGTGAACGTCTGAGTCTACACTGGGTAGGAACGAAGAGGTTAAGTCTAAAGAGAAACTACGCTAACTACCCTACCTATATACATAACATTGAGTCGGAGATATCTGAGTCTGTAAATAATCAGCCAATGAGAAAGGAGTCGTACGATACTGCGCATGACGTAGTATGACGTCGCGATATATAAGCAATGATGTCAGAGACGGAGATTAAGTGATAGGAAGACCTATGGTTTTAGCCCTGGGCGTAGGGGATCCGATCGGAGATGTGATTGGTGAAATGTGAAGGGGTGAAGCTGTGATGTGGTGATGATGTGATAATGTGAAAGGTAGTGGTGTCACGTGACCGGTTCGGGTATGGGACATAGCCGAAGGAAAACCGAGGAAAGAAAAATGATTCGTATTGGGAATTCGTGACATTACCCCCTCTTTAAGGTGAGCGTCCTCACGAACATAGGATGGTCGAATATTTTTTTGTCTCCATTCCAAGAAACCAGGAGTTTGTAAGACTGGAATGATTGCGCTTGCAATTTGACGTGATTTGGGTGCATCGGGATTTGCCGCGTAAAACTCGCTGACTAATCTTGGGGAGTTTTTTAGGTTTTCTTCATTTTCCCATGTTGCTTCCTCTAATGGATATCCTTTCCACTTTGATAAGAATTGCAACCAGTTTCGCCGCACTCTGCTGGCTATTACTGCTTCTACTTCGTATTCTTTCATTCCTTCCACTATTTCGGGGGGTGGACGCTCTGGTGTGGTGCGAGTTGTTAGTGACGAGGTTTTATGAGCGGTGAGTAGTTCTACATGGAAAACCGGGTGAATTTGATAGGATTCTGGTAATTTCAACTTGTAGTTCAATTCGCCTACTCGCTCGAGTATTTCAAAGGGACCAAGACGGCGATCCGATAACTTCTGACTCAGTCGTTGTTGTTTGATGTTTCTGGCGTCTAGCCAAACCTTTTGTCCTACTTCGAAAATTGGTGCGTCTTTTACTCCTCGATCATAGAAGTGTTTCATCCGATCATTGGCGATTTCTAGTGTTGCCTTTGCCTCGTCCTGTGCCTCCTTCATTTCTGCTACTCTTTGATCGGCTAATGGAACGGTGTTGGAGGAGTTAGGAGAAATAATGAATTCGGGATTATAGCTGTAGAGGCATTTGAAAGGGGAGTGTCCGGTTATGGTAATGGAATTGTTATGCGTGAATTCTGCAATGGGAAGCCATGATGCCCAATCGTTCTGATGGTAAGACGTAAACACTCGAAGGTATTGTTCCACTTCTTGGTTTACTTGTTCCGTCTGTCTGTCTGTCTGTGGGTGATATGCGGTCGACATAGACCATTTGGTCCCTAGTCTTTTTGAGACTTCTTGCATGAATTTGGACATGAATTGTGTTCCACGATCGGAAATCACCTTCTTTGGTGTTCCGTGCAATTTCCATACGTATTTAAGAAACAAGTCCGCGATTCCTTTCGAAGTAACGTCCTTGGTGGTTGGCGCGAGATGGGCTTGTTTGGTGAAGCGATCGACTACTACGAGGATACTGTCTTTGCCTTCTGATTTAGGGAGATCGGTAATCAGGTCACAGCTAATCGTTTGCCATGGACCTTCGGGGATTTCATTAGGCTTCAAGGGACCATGGGGTTTAGATGGTAACACCTTCGTTTGTTTACATCTGTTGCATCCATCTACGTAGTCATTGACCCACTTCTGCATCTGTGGCCACCAATAGTTACGAGAAACAAGTTCGAGAGTTTTAGCATGTCCCATATGTCCTGCTGCGGGTGAATCATGGAAGATTTCTAGCACCGAGCGACGAATGTCTTTGTTGTTGGGTACGTAAACCAATCCTCTGAAAAGAATGAGTCCATCTTCTGTATTCCACTCTTCTAGTCCTTTTCGCAGTTGTACTGGAGCCTTCTTAATGGTTTCGATAGCATTTCGGACTTCCGGATCTAGATCTGTGCAGTTTCTGATTTGTTTAAGCAATGTTTGCTCTCCTTGTATCAGAACTTGACCTCTTTTTGTGGCTTTGATTTGGAAAAACTTGGGTTTTAAAAGCACGTGATCCAAATTGTCGTTTTCTACCCCCCCTCTGTGGTCTGGCCTCCTGGACAGAGTGTCGGCAGTGTCGTTGACCTTCCCCGGCTCATGGTGCAGTGTAAATTCATACTCTGCAAGGAACAAAGACCACCTCGCTTGTCTGCGAGTTAACTTCTGACTTGTCATGAAGTATTCAAGGTTTTTGTGGTCCGTCCATATCTCTACCGGTTCTGGTGCACCTTGCACATAATGCCTCCACTCTTCTAAGGCGCGAATAATAGCTAATAGTTCCTTATCGTGAATATCATAGTTTCGTTCCGCATCTTGCATAGATTTACTGAAAAAGGCAACAGGATGCCATAGTCCATCGTCTTCTTTTTGAGATAATACGCCACCCGTAGCATAGTCAGATGCATCTGTTTTGATTCTTTTCTTTTTTGTGGCATCTGGCATTGCTAATACTGGTGCGGATGTGAAATTGTCTTTAAGGGTTTGGAAAGCCCTTTCTTGTTTGTCCGTCCATTTCCATGGCACATCCTTCCTGATGAGGTCGTTCATGGGTTTGGCAATGTTCGAGAATCCGAGAATGAAATGTCGATAAAAGTTCGCGAATCCCATGAATCGTTGGATGTCTTTGACACAGGTAGGAGTGGGCCATTCTTGGACTCCTTTAACCTTAACTGGGTCCATTGAGACGTGTCCATCTTTAATGATCAAACCGAGGAACTCCACTTCCTTCTTCTCGAAGGAACACTTTTCGGGTTTAAGATAAAGATCATTGTCCTGAAGTCTTTTCAATACTTCGCATACCACCTTCCGATGTTCTTCTATAGTACCATTTGTGAAGACCAGAATGTCGTCGATATAGACCACAACGACTTTTCCTTCTTTTAGATCTTGGAAAATCTGGTCCATCATGGTTTGGAAGGTGGCAGGAGAGTTTGTCATTCCGAAATACATAACTACTGGTTCATGGTGTTCGAAAGGAGTTTTGAAGGCTGCCTTCCATTCATCTCCTTTTCGCATTCTAATATTATTGTATCCCCATCGAACGTCCATTTTCGAAAAGAGGCTTGCACCAGTAAGGGAGTCGATGAGATCTTGTGACCGAGGGAGAGGGTATGCGTTTCGGACAGTCTTCTCATTCAACCTTCAATAGTCCATGACGGGTCTAAGTTTTCCGTCTTTTTTGGCAACAAAGAAGAAAGGAGCTGCCACTGGAGATTCTGAATCTCGCAGTCTCCCTAATTCATATTCTTGTTTGAGCCATTTCTCACATGCATCGTGTTCTGCAGGCGAAAGGGGATATGCTTTCGAGTTCGGAGGAAGGTCATTAGGATCCTTGAAGTCTACCTTGTGATCCCACTTCTTGGGTTCAGGGAATCTAGTAGATTCTTCTTCGGAGAAAACCTTGAGATAATCATGGAGCCATTCTGGGACCATCTCTTCTACGGATTTCTTTTCCTTCTTCTTTTCCTCTTGTTGAGCTAACTCCGAAGCGACTGAGCTTTTGTACTTGATCCACACATTTCGTGGTGAATCTTCATCTTGGATCTCCTCTATCTCTACTTTCTTGGGAGCACTCGAATCTGAAGGCTGTACTTTGGCTGCCGGGATCGAAGTTTCCATGGTGACTTCATCGTCATCTTCTTCCATGGGTAATAAAGCAGATAATGTATCCTTCTGCTTTTTTGCCTTGGTCTTTCTCTTCTTTTCCTTGGCATCCTTGCATTTGACTGGGCAGCAGTTCAACGTCATTTTTCCCGCATTCCAATCTATGTTTGGATTATGATATCGTAGCCAATCTACTCCAATGATAACATCATCAGTTCCTAGATCCGTGATCAGAAAGGCTACTTCTTCCTCGTGATCTCCTATTTTCAGAGTCAAATCTGTGTAGCTTTTGATTGGTCTGGCGGAGTTTTTAGTTCCATCGATATTGCGGACAGGCAGTGCTCGCAGTAACTGCTTGGTTTTGACTTTGTTCTTGTCTACGAACCTTTGGCTTAGAAATAAGTTCGTTGCTCCGCAGTCTACTAGAGCTTCTAATTCTGCTTTTTTGTTTTTTCCCTTTAGCGTGATTGGCAAGTAAAAATGATCTCGTTTATTTCCAGAACAAACTTCCGATACTTCTGTAAACATGATTGCCGAGTCACTAAGGATAGAAAAACAATTGTTCTGGTCTAAGTTCGCAGTCAACTTCGACCTATCTAAAAACCCCGTTTCTTCAGGGCTTCATCTGAAGAAGTCAAGAAGATCCTCTCGTTCACAATGCGTTGGATATCTTCCAGCGTGATGGGTTTTACTGCTGGTTTCTCTTCTTCTTCCTTGACCGCTTTGATAGCAGGTCCCTTGCCTTTGGTATCCATCGGCTGTCCAGTGCAATTACGGGCCATGTGCCCGGGTTTTCCACAATGATAACACTTGAAAGTGTCTCCCGATTTGCCTTGAGGTTGGGGTCCACCTCGTGTCTTTGATGCGTCTACGTCCATTGCATCTCCTCCTTGTGAAACTGGTTTGAGAGGGCCTCTTTCAACCCATGGGCGACGTGGTGGTTGCCAGGTCTTCTTTTTCTCATCGTCCAGTTCCTCAAAGTTCGTTCCGATAATAAGAGCATGCGAAATTATTCCTTCTAGGGTGCTCTTGTCCCTAGGGTTTACGTGGGCCAACTGATCCCTGATCCGTTGGGATAATGCGAGATGGAACTTGCGTATAAGTTCGTAGTCTGAGAAGCGACAGTGGGCGACCTTCTGTCTGAAGAGAGAGACGAATTCCGCGATGCTGCGGTTTCCTTGCTGGAGATGATCTATCTCCCTAGCAATTTTCTCTTCTTTGTTGATGATGCCCCACATGGCTTGCATATCATTCTTCAACTGGTCATACGATCCGAGTCGTCTGCTTAGAGAGGTTTTGGATACGCTTTCTCCCCATTTCGCTGCAGAGCCCTTGCAGAAAGAAATAAGACAGGAACTCTTCTGGAGCTCAGAGGCGGTGGGATAGGATGTGAGGTAGAGGTCGAGTTGGGAGAGGAATGTATCAACGTCGATGGAGTTCTTGTCTCCCGTGAATTCTGTAGGTTTGGCCATCTTGAGATCAGAGCTCGAAACTCCAGAGGTAAACACCTGTGTTGTTGGCGTTGTTGTATGAAAGGCTTGCAAAGCCATGATCGTTTGCTCGGCTGCCCTCAGCCTCTCTGCTAGCTCATTCTTCTCTGTCTCTACCCTGTTCAGGTTCTCGGCTAAGAGTGCGAGATGGTCTTTCACTTCGTTGTACCGGTTTTGGTTGAGCTCTCTTTCTTGTGTGGTTACGGTGAAGATGGCAGTTCGAAATGTTCTGGTGGGTGATGGTAGTCCCCTCTGGGCCTAAGATGCCTTCCGCTACCACAGAGCCTGGCCTCGACAGGGTTGGTGTGGAGCTTTCTGCAGATACCGATGGCCCTGCTCCTAGTGTCTGCCATCCTTGAATTGGTGTGTGGTGCGGGGCGGGGGATTGGATTGTTCTCCAATCTTGCTTGGACATGAAGGAAGGGACAGTTGTTCTCCCGACAGGTATTGTTGTTGTGAACTTGTAGGGCACGGTCTCTGACGAGACGAGATCTCCAAGGGGGAGCTATGATGACTATAGGTGCGAATACAGCGCGTGTAGCAGTTCGTCAACCTATGTAGAACTCGAGAGGAGTTCAGGAGTGATGCGGTGAAGTTTGGGTCTTCTTAATACCCACAACCTCCTAAGGTAATGTAACTAGGGTTGTAAGACCCGCGAGTGCCGTTCTTTATAGTACGAAAGAAAGGTAGGTAGCGTGCAGTCAGTAGGGTTTTGGACCTAACTGCAGGCATGCGGAGACAGGACCTAAATGTCACTGTTCCTTATAGACTGGCGGCTCGCATAGGGCAAGGGCCTGGTCTACTTCTACAAAAGACTAATCGTAAAAGAAAATGGTATAGGGCGCGTCTGGGAAAGATGATTTTTGAAAACGTAATCCGCGAGAGTACTCTCAGCAGAATAGCATGGGTGAAGTTTATCGAGGATGAGGCGTCCAAGACAAAATTTGAGTTGGAGTGGTAAAGAAGACTTAACCTAATGTTATGATCAACGTTCACCGATTGGTAAAGGTATCACACAACCACTAGGACTCGTCAAGAATAAGAGAATAGATGGTATTGAGAGTGAACGTCTGAGTCTACACTGGGTAGGAACGAAGAGGTTAAGTCTAAAGAGAAACTACGCTAACTACCCTACCTATATACATAACATTGAGTCGGAGATATCTGAGTCTGTAAATAATCAGCCAATGAGAAAGGAGTCGTACGATACTGCGCATGACGTAGTATGACGTCGCGATATATAAGCAATGATGTCAGAGACGGAGATTAAGTGATAGGAAGACCTATGGTTTTAGCCCTGGGCGTAGGGGATCCGATCGGAGATGTGATTGGTGAAATGTGAAGGGGTGAAGCTGTGATGTGGTGATGATGTGATAATGTGAAAGGTAGTGGTGTCACGTGACCGGTTCGGGTATGGGACATAGCCGAAGGAAAACTGAGGAAAGAAAAATGATTTGTATTGGGAATTCGTGACAGACCCATATGCAAGTCCTGCTGGACACGACGGATGCTCTTGCCATTAGAGGACGCAATCGTCTTGATGGATTCGTCGATGTTAGTCCATGCATCGTCAAGCGCGGTCTTGAATAGCTGTGATTTCTTGCGACGAGACACTGTCAGCAAGGCTCGTGCCTCCTTGCTTAGTAGAACCTTTGCACGGCGACGAGGTGTTGGCTGAATATGCCTCGAGTGAGCACTCGATGCGTAGAATGTCTGTGAGCTCATGACCTGCCATTCAACATGGATCAGCAGTGCAGATTTATAAGTTTCAAAGCACAAACATATGCAAAACAAGTTGTATAGTACATTAACCGCGATCTACATTTGCTGAAAGATTTTCTGGAACATCATTATGCAAATAGAAGACCGAAAAAGTATAGTGCGCACAAACAAACCACGATCCCAAGCACCTGGAACATTTTCGTTAACATTGATTTCGGCTGTGGCTGTTATTAGTTGCATTCTCAGACTAGAATACTACTAAGTCCATACCGTGATTGCATCTAATTTGCGCCCCTGCAGGTCAGTGTTAAGTGCAGTTGTCAGAAGCACTGCCTGCTCAAATGTAAGGTCCCACTTTGGAGACCTGAGGATGGCCTCCCAACGGCTGCTACATACAGTTGACATCAGCTCGCAGAGCTTCAGAATCAACTCATCGCCCATCTTGAATCGATCCAGAACTGCATCGGTGCTCGGCCCAATGCTAAGAATTGGACCATCAACAGTGAAGGGCATGAGAGTGTTACCCAGTTGAACGTTCTTCAGGAGTGAGAAGGCATTAGCGTGTTGACGCTGATGAAGCTTAGCACTGCCAGGAAGAGCAGCGCTGGCTAGTGCTGTTGCATGCTGAATAAAGCTTGATTGCGGGCGACTCGGAGTGTCAGAACTACCCTTTTTTTTGGCGGCGCGAATCTCAAAGTCGTGGTGTAAAATACAGTGGCTCAAAAAACTGTCCGCATGTTTTCACATTTTTCACTATCTATGATATTGTGTGAGAATATACAAACACATCAAGGACATGCTGGTACCACATTGTAGTACTACTTCAGGGCTTCCAATTGAGCCCTATGGCGTGGGAATCGGTCGAGATATGGTGGAGATATAAGGCTTACAAAATGATGACTCATGTGGACAGTTTTTTGACTCAAGTATTTTACAGTGACAATCAGGTATTCCAGTACATTGTGTGACCTCCCTTGGCTTTAATTACTACCTCTATCCTTCTAGGCATACTCTCAATCAATTTCTGGCAATATTCTGCTGTAATCCTTGCCCATTCCACTGCTACACTCTCCCATAGCTCCTATACTCCTTTAGAGGGGGTTTCATAGGCTTGAAGCTTCTTCTTGAGTGTTCCCCAGAGATGTTCAATGACATTGACATCAGGGGACTGTGCTGGCCAGTCAAGAACATTGATAATATGTTCTTTAAACCATTGTCTGGCTCTCCTAGATGTGTGCTTGGGATCATTATCCTGTTGGGAAATAATGTCTTTTTCATCAATCCCTGATTCAGCTATGCTAGGCAGCAAGTGGTTGTTTAGAATGTCCACATACTGCTCAGCATCCATCCTCCCCTCAACTTCAGCAAGCATACCCACACCATTCCATCCCATACAGCCCCATACCATTAGAGAACCTCCTCTAAATTTGACAGTCTCACTAACCTCTCTGTCTGTTAAAAAATCCCTCTTCATTTTCCATACATATACCTTCCCATCTGACCCAATCCTATTAATTTTGGTCTCATCTGACCATATAACATGCTTCCAATCCTCTACAGTCCAGTTTTGATGGGCCAAGCCAAAGGTAGTCTTCTCTGCCTATGTTTGATAGAGAGAAGAGGCATTTCTTCTTTGTTACTGCCTTGAGATGAGCTGCCTTGAGAACACTCCTCACAGTTTGTGAAAAGACAGTGGTGGTGATGGTGGAATTGATATAATGGGTGGCTTGGACAGCATTATTAGCCTTTCCTGTAGTGATATGTTGAATGATAGCCCTCTTATTAGCAGAGGTGGATGTCCTCCACAAGAGTTTTCCTTGTCCAGATGGCTTTCTTTGATACACATGGCCACAGTAGACTTGCATACTTCAGTTCTAGAGGAAATTTAATGAGCAGAGAGGCCAGCACAGGACAAAGAGAGGATATTATCCCTTTGAGCAGAGGAGATGGCTTTCATGGTGATTATGACCATGACACATGACACATTTTGGTTTATATAGTTAGATATAGTTTTAAGAGTATGCCTAGAAGGATAGAGGTAGTAATTAAAGCCAAGGGAGGTCACACAATGTACTGGAATACCTGATTGTCACTGTAAAATACTTGAGTCAAAAAACTGTCCACATGAGTCATCATTTGTAAGCCTTATATCTCCACCATATCTCGACCGATTCCCACGCCATAGGGCTCAATTGGAAGCCCTGAAGTAGTACTACAATGTGGTACCAGCATGTCCTTGATGTGTTTGTATATTCTCACACAATATCATAGATAGTGAAAAATGTGAAAACATGCGGACAGTTTTTTGAGCCACTGTATGTGGAGGACGAGCGGAGCATTGGATGCATGAGCCAGTCAGGACCAAAGGAGCTGGCAAGGCCTGAGACCCCGTTGGATCCACCTGAGGAGCTAGATCTAGGTATAAACAGTATTAGGGTGATCAACTTGCCTCGAAAATTATAAAGACTCACAGCGATGGGGAGGCTGAATGCCTTCAATGCGGCACCGCTCTGTGAAGTGTTGAAGGTGGTTTTTGGCTATCTGCTCGCAGAATCCTTGCACAAAGAGTGAGACGTCCCCTCCAATCTGTTCTGGGTACTCATGAAGCTCGCGGGGAGTGACGTAGACGTCGACGGCAATCTGTTCAGGTGTCAGACTGTCTCTTGCCTGAGACCCAGGGCAACGGATAAGCAGTGAGATCCCGCCATCCAGGCAGTCCTGCATACAAAGCTGCGACAGATACTACAGTGAAAAAATGTGCAGGCTAAGTTGAAAAAAAAACTCACTGCATCGAAAACATCCTCAAGTGCAGCTTCTACAAACTCCTCGTGTGTTATCATCCTCCATCCTGGGACGTCAAGACCTCGTTGAACTTGATATATGAAGGGTGAAGTCCACCAGCGGTCTTTGTGTGATAGTGGGAGCCATCTTGATGTGAATTGTGCCTAAGCAAAGCACGAGCTGCAGCTTGACGCTCCGCGTTGCTGAAACCCAGCGCGAAGGCGTCTGAATGCAGAGCTGCGACACTGGGAAGAGTAAAGCGTGGCTTTGGGCAGAGGTTCTCTAAACTGGCCATATGAGAAGACTCCTTGTCTCCAGCTTGTCGTGGTAGGGGTTGTTTCAAATGTTTTGGTGTTGACATGCTGGTAGGTTGAATCAGCGGAGAGTCACTGGAGGCGAAGAACAAGAATAGTAGGCATCAGATTGAGTAATGCGAGGCGCCTGCAAATGTATGCCAGTTCTAGATAAGAAAACCAATGTTTTAATAAATAACGAGTTGAGGTGGATAGAAAGAGAAATGAGGACTCAAGGCATGGTGTATATTGGTGCACTTAAATCATGCATTGTGAGTAGCCAGTGAGTGGTAGGGGGAGATCAATCAATAACTTGAAGGCCCTATGAGGTTTTGAGTCTACAACATACATATGATTCAGATACACTGATTAGGCTGCGGGTGGCGCCAAAACCCAACAGCACAAATCATCAATGCATCAACAGTAGTACTCGCCAATCTATTCAGCAACAGCAACCAGGCTCTAATTACTTCACCGCGAGTCCGAGTCTACTTAATAATCAACAGTTACTCCAGGTCAATCTGTTCTGCAACAGTTACTCCAGGTCAATCTGTTCAGCAACAGCTACTCCAGGTCAATCTGTTCAGCGGCCAGGCTCTTACTTCACCGTGAGTCCGAGTCTACTTAATTAATCAACAGTTACTCTAGGTCAATCTGTTCAGAAATGGCGGTCAGAAACAGTCACTCCAGGTCAATCTGTTCAGCAACAGCGGTCAGGCTCTGGCTGCCATGTATATCAAGGACCGCTACTTCAATATACTGCGGGACATGTCAGAATCTTGCTGGATCACATGTAAATGGCGAATTCATTTTATTTTTAAGAAACCTAATGCGCTAAGTGTGATCCAACAAGGTTGATCAAACCAATACATTGAACGACACCGTCATCAATCGACAATTGATACAATAAAATCAGCAATATCCTGTGTGAGCCGCAATTGCTCCTCATGCTCTAGTATACCCTCATCAGCATGCTCTGAAGTGATGATATCATGAGCGACACGATCTTCTGTGGAGATAGAAGCTAAGTTAGCGTATAAGTTTTTAAGGCAAACGAGAGGAACGCACCATCATCCCTGGCCGTATGTGGAATAGAGTGAGTCTCGAGCTCAGTTGTCGCGACAGCACCAACGCGGTTGCCAATGGTTCTAGTACCCGAAAAGCCTGGTTGAAGTGCGAGCTGATCCAACCGCAAAATGTGCACGGCATTGACAGCTGCGCGTGCTTGCCATTGCCTTTGGAGCTCGCGGCTTAACGGGGGGTTCGAATCTAGAAGATCAGTGGTGACTGCAGTCATTTGAATGCCTTCGTCATGAATGGCTGTGCGTAATCGGCAGATCTCGACATTAAGCCACATGATCTCCTCACGAGCGCGACAGAGTTTAAAATACTTCACTGTTGCTTCCCTATGGGCAGGCTTCGTCCAGTCGAGCTCACGAATGTCTGCGTGTGAATGACGGAGTAAATCAAACTCGCCCAAGAAACTATACTCAGTGATATTTTTCCAAGACAACTGCGGACGTGGAGGATCGAGTGCAGCAGCTTGCACATTGTACCAGTTGAGTGCATTTCGGATAGCATCAGAACGGCGCTGCAAAGCCTTTCCAATTTGTTGGCGTAGTTTGTAGCCTTATGATTACTTAGTTCTCAATATAACGAAATTGAAGATGGACCACACACCCATTCCAGAAAGTGATAGCTTTGAGAGTTCGAATAAGCACATGACGACTAAGCGTTCCAGTTCATCTAAAGCAGCACAATATTGACGCTGAGATGCCTGTTGCTTGTACTGATTGTAAGCTTCTCCGCCGACCACCCAACGTTCCTCGATCTGGAGTTGAATCTCTATATGAGCCGTAAACGCTTCCGCATTCTGTAATTTAGTATATGCACTGTCAACGCGAATCCTGGCCTGAGTAAGGGCAGCCGATATATGGCTTAGATCACCGGCCGCAATAGTTGTTAGTGCTTGGTTGGCAGCCTCTCGTGCCAGTTGCCACTCCGCTCTTTGTTGATTAAATCAGAATAAATCAACAGGGAATCACTAGACTTACCGTCGCTCGGCCAATTCACGTAGGAGTTCAACATATTGGATCTGGATAAGTTCTTTTGGGGGCGGTTCCTTGAGGCTGTCAAGGTATGCTCTTTCGTCGGAGTGGAATCACGTAAAATCACTGTCGGTTAATCCAAGAGCGTCTCGCAACACTGCAAGCTCAGCCATAAGCGTCTGAATTGATGTTAGTCCTTCTTGATAATGGTTCCGCAAGAAAGTGCCTGAAAATAAAATTAGTTAAGCTCAAAAGGTGACTTGAACCTTACTCAATGCGGCGTATTTATCTTCATCCCAGAACGAGAAATGCTCCTCAATGGTCTGGTGTCGGTGAAATGCAGATGCGTGCCTCGTACTTCGCGCGAGCTCATTTGAGGATGCGAACACGTGCTCGCACCCCTCGCCCTCAGTATGCCCAGTGCCGTCAATGTACATGGGGTGCCAATCCAACTGGCAGTGCCGATTATGAGCATGCCCGTGGAAAGCACCCACCATCATCCGCAAATTGAGGGCGAGGGCACGGGGTCCCAAACTACTGCTTGCCAGTGTCTTGGCAAACGCACACCCAATGTCATAGGCGCAACCTCCATTTTCACCCAAGACGGACATCAAATGATTGAGGAGAGCCAAAGGATATTTTGCCCTAGATACCATGAATTTCATACATGAAAATAGATAATGATACTAACAGTTCCCCGCTCCGAACCATATTGCAAGCAAGAAGCACAAACCGGTGCCAACAGGCTGTGATAAAAATGCCGGACTCGTCAAAAACAGCGAACATCTTCTTACGTTGCTCAGGGCCAGCATTTCTCCATCTGTCCGTGCACCAAAATTCGGATCCTTCCATTTCAGACGGAACATCACCCCAATCATCTTGTCTGGGATGGTTCGAGGTCTGTGCGCGGACTTCGTTCTGAAATGTATTGACGGTCGCTTGGTCGATCCAATAGTCCGAACGAGGCTGGCGTGAATCTTCTCGTGGTTCTAGGCCATATGTTGTTGAGGCCCAACGTTTGAGGCTATTGTTTCCGTCGACAGTCGCCAGCCATTCAAAAGTAAGGGAAGGCTCGCCTTCGAGTTTATACACACAACATGGACAAGAATTAAGAAGCCGCCAGTTGGGAGTGTTTCGTCCAAGAGCAGCATTGAGGCGAGTCTTCACGCAATGAAGTATCTCGAGATACACATCATATGCCGCAGAAAACTGCATGTTGAGATATGCGTGGTAAGGAATCTATGAACTTTGAGACAGACATACAGCAATGTATTTCAAGATGTATGTTGTGAAGATGGCACAGAGTCTTGCACTGTGCTTGGACGCTAAAACGAGGGCACGTCCGGTGAGATTGGCGGTATGCGGTGAGAGTTCGTAAGGAGATAGCGACTGTTGGATATAGTGGCGAACAACCTAGATAGCCATGATGAATTAGTGTTTCATTGGGATAAATATGGGAAGGTCGCAGTCGCAGTGTTGCTCTGCGGCGACCTGCAGAATGATTACCAAAGGCAAGTAGTCAACAAAGTTAACACGCACCAAATATATCAACAAGCTCGATATCAGCGAGCGATAAGCAATGGCTTCCATCAGCAATTATGTCATCTTCCGGGATACTTGGCATGCCATCACCTCTGTCGCTGATCACGATAGTCTAGATACTTGTTGACCAGGCGGTCAATCTGAGTATTCCAATGTTCGGTCTGGACCTCAATGCAATCATGACGCGTGCGAGGGTCCACATAACGACTAAAATGGATTACTGAGTGAGATCACAGCTTGAAAACAATGCGCACATACCAACCAGATAATGACGCAATGTGCTGTGAGAGACCATCAAACGCCTCATGTTCCCCACCCTCATAACTGAGGTCCAGTCCTTCCTCGCCTGGGGGTGCTGTATATGGCGCTAAGTCGGTGTCGAACCCATTATCCATCATCATGGTTTCAACCATGTCTCGCTCAGCTGATGTCATTTCTGCAACACAATTGTGAGAGTGAATTAGCAAGGTGATTTGGTTGGTGCACCTTGCAGTTGTTGCTGTCTTTTATGGTTTACCTCCTCCAAGCGCTCATTTTGTTTGCCAGCCGCTAGCACTTTGGAGTGCCTGCTAGAACCACTAAAACCATGCCTGATGGTGGCACGCGATAACCCTGAGACCTTCTTGGCCCTTGTACCGCGAGAGGCCATTGGGAAGCGATCTGTGCGACTGTAAGTAGAAATCGTGAACAGCGGGATTGCCCACTCTCACGTTAGTAGGAGACCTCTGTGTGACTGTAAGTAGAAATCGCGAACAGCGGGATTGCCCACTCTCACCGTTGACGTTGAGCCTGGAGGCGATGCGATGGTGATAACAATAAGGGGAGTTAGTAGGAGACCTCTGTGCGACTGTAAGTAGAAATTGCAAACAGCGGGATTGCCAACTCTCACCACTGACGTTGAGCCTGGAGGTGATGCGATGGTGATAACGATAAGGGAGTGGGAGACCTCTGTGCGACTGTAAGTAGAAATCGCGGACAGCGGGATTGCCCACTCTCACCGTTGATGTTGATCTTCGAGGAGGATGGGTGATGCGGCAGTGAAGGGACCTTAGCGTCAATGGCTGGGTGAAGGCAGAGCAGGCGTGTTGACGCTGATCTGCTCGTAGGACGGGTAATTCGGCGGTGAAGGGACCTTGGCGTTGATGAATGAGCTAAGGCAGAGCAGAAGTAGAGGAGAATGACCCCGTTAGTGAGCTCAACGTCGACAAGGGCGAGCTCACTGTTGATGTCGAGGAGAAGGTGTCGTGGGAATAGCCTACATAATTTAGGCTCTGTATATTCCTAATATGTTAATTAACTATATTGGCTCATTCTGAGAATACCTTACAAGGTAGCATAAGGTAAAACATTATTTAGGGCAAGGTTTAATGCTGGTGTTGGGATTTAACGCAACTAAGCTAAGTAATACTTAGCGAGGCGCTCGATCACCCAGTATAATAATACTTACTTATTGGGTAACCCAGGTGACTACTACACGTACTTAGGGGTACTCGGATGTCACAAGTCACACATTTTTTGTGACTGCTATGATTGAACTTCAACTTGAATCTAGATACTAATGTCTACAGCGCGATTTAAGCCCGAGGTTATGTGTTATTGACCTATGTCCCTTTTTGCTCACAGCCTTGTCACAGACCAGAACAACGACAGCGGGCGGTTGTTCCTCCCTGCGGTGCCCAATGTCTCGTCCCTCAACTCTGCCTCTACCTTGACCATCCCCTTCTCGAATACCACGCCATCCCACATAGAAATCCAGCTCTCTGGGTTGTGGCCGAACATTTCAACTTCGACTTTGTCAAATTCTTTTTTCACAGGACCCTTCTCTTTGGCACCTATGTGCGCCCTGAAAATGACGGAGCCTGGCTCAGCGGAGAGCAGGCCGGCGAAAGCACGGGCCATGTGCAGCTGTTTATCCTCTTTAAACAAGTGGAAGAAGGATGTTGCGTGAATTGCAGAAACACATCCGTGTAAAGGATTCAGTGAAGTGAGGTTGTTGAGGTCAGGACTCGGAGCTCCTGTTGTCTGCACGGATGCAGGCCGAGCTATGGCAAGCATTTTCGGGTCGAAGGCGTCACCACCCATGAAGTGAGCTGGAAAGGTCTCTGGGGACGACTTGAAGAGTTCATGCCCCAGATCCCAGAGTTCTGTGATAATTGTAAGTGATGCATTGGTCATGTATCAGGCCGTATGCTATGCTCACCTTGATGGAGATCGCTTCCGATAGCCTGGGCTGCCGGAAAACCATCAAGAACCGCTTCCCTGATGACATTGCCAACTAGTAAACCGTGCATCAGCATCATGTAGACACTAGGGAGAGCACATGCAGCAGCAGCCAATGTCAAGGAAAATTGCATTCTTGCGTTCGCGTCCGAGGCGCAAAACTTGCTGATAGGCACGTGATTCTCCCAGTCTGCATCTGAAAAGCTCGATGCTTGCGTATCAACTCAGCTCAAACGTGCACACAAACATACCTGGTAAAACCGAAAAGATAGATGCACCCATAAGGGGCAACCTAGCCGTGAACAAGTTATTTTTGTTACAGGCAGAACGATGGGGTGAGGTGGCTACCTACCTTGTATGCTTTCGCTTGAACATCTAATATATGTTGCTTCAGAGCCGCATCGTCTTCAATTCCAGTTAGCTCCTTGAAAAATGCGGAGTCTTCGGGGCGCAAGTTATAAAAATTTTCGTCAAGAGGAGGGAAAGAGAGCTGGGCCTCAATTTTTGCAGGCTCTTTGACCGTTTGGCTCATCTCGCGCTTCTTGTCGACACTGGGATCCATGTAGCTTGCACCCCAACAAAGTTCAATGCTTTAAATGCTTGGAAGCTGAACCCTGGTTACCTCGTGATAAACATGTCAGCGCGCCACGGGCCAACTGTAGGCTGTCTTAATTAAAATGATGAACTTATCCGTGACGGTCCGTTGCAATCGGTCGAGATCTGGATTTTTTCATACTCACAGCCTCAGGTCATGGACTCCAGACAAAAAGCCAAAAGCTTGGCCAGGCTTTTCTTTGCTGCGGGGATCGGGTATCCCCCCTTTAGGCTCCTGTAAGGGTCTTGGATTTAAAATTTCCTTTTCACAAGTCTACTTGATTGATACGTCCGACGTGCGGGCTTACCCGGCAGTCCCTTCGTCTTTTTGACGCACGCTCTGGGCGCTCTTTGCATGACGCTCATGCTGAGCAATCTCTGCAAAAGCAGAGATTCTAATCTATACCTAACGGTCCTCACCTTTTCTCGTTTGCTCGTCAGGTATGTTGGTGGTTCCATTTCTCACGGAGAGTACTCGTCTCACTTGCTCACCGTCTCATTAGAATCGTTTTTTTTTGTCACCCACCCTGCTTTTCACCCTTCCCGGTTTATCTCGCACGCTTCACGCCGATCTCTGGCTCCGTTTTCTGATCTCTTACGGCCTGATGTTTGTTTCTACTTAATTTGCACGCAGAATCTTCCCCCGCGCGCGGGGAATCTTTTTTGCGAATCCTGGGTACCTTGCGCTGAGACCAATTAGGAAGGTCTTGGTGTGGGATGCTGTGCTGCGGCGGTGACTGAACTTTGGCAATGGACTGAAGTATTGACTTTCGCAAACGGTCAGCAGATCTTCTCCACTGGGTTTCACTGGGTCACGCTACAGTGGAAGGCCAGGGCTGTACAGCCCAGCTAGCAATGATCGACAAGAAAGCGACAGCGGCGGGACACAGGGTCCCATAGACTAGAATGTATTGTTTTACGTAGAGTACTACTTTCAAAGACAGAAATTGGATATAGATTTTTTTAAAAAAAGAAAGCGACAGAATTTCGGTTCATTTACCAACACCCTGTATATATTTTTCTGCTACTTGCTGGTATGTTTCACCTAATGCCATAATGAATTTGCAATTAGCGAACCTGAATATGATGCTGTAAGCCCCACTAATATGGCGAGATCTTCAGATTTTGACTCACCCAGCTTGATTATATAGCTGTGCAGTCCAGGCCCAGGTACCGTTCGTGTTAATCCTCCTCGAGTATCCCTTTCCTTTTCACTCTCTACGTACGTATCCTGTGCATTGCGAATTGCGTCTTTGAGATATTCACTTGATGTACGACGTTTGGCTCGGAGGAAGAGTCGTGTTCAAAGGTTTTTTTTCTCGCCCAGCACTTACAGTTTCTGTGCTTCAGGAATTAGTGGTGTCGCAAATCCCCGTTCTCTAGCCCAACTCGTTGCAGGTAATGAGGCCTGATGCCGTCAAATCCGTCCAACGAGTCCCTCCTCGATCGATTTGTGACCCGCATAGCGGCAGAGCAGGAAGGGCTATTTTGCGCTGTTCGATTGCCACGGCCCTCCTATGATCCCCGACAGTCTCCCATGGTAGTGGGAGCTGGTTTCCGGGGAGAGTTCCGAGCTGCTGTGTATGACCGCTACCTGACCTCATTGCACAAGTGACAAGAATGTTGTGTTGCAGGTTCAGAGGAAAATGCCAACAGGATATCGGAATCGGGGTTTTTAAGCACCGATTTTGTTATACATACCGCCTACCACCCCTGCTGATTTCTGTCACGACCTTTCACGACCTGACTCTTCCGCGCGTGTCTTTCATTTATTTATATCATAGACGTAGTGTACTTACTTTTCGTTTGTTTACTATCACATCTGAGCTTTCCGCATGAGATTTCTCCTCACTCTCCTCCGCTCGCCGCCTAAGCCTTCACTCTTGCCCCATTGCAAATACGGCACCCGGCCCTTCTCTGCACCTGCAACACCGTTATTCGCGTCTGTAAAATCAAGCATTCCCCAGATAGGCAGCTCCAGCTCGCCCTTGACGATGACCCGGCAACGCGCAAGAATAGCGGGGGGAACCGGGGTGAGGACGTGCATATGAGATGAAGTGGGCGATATAGCGCGAATGAGGGCAAGACCATGACAAGTGGAGGTTGAAGGTACGGGCGGATGTCTGGCTTGGGTGTAGGGCAATTCTCGAGCGTCGGAGGAGTCGGAATATACCGGATCTTCGGTTCCAGGCTCGCATTCGACAAGGCCAACGATCGCGCCGTTTAAGACGTTGGAGATCTCCGAGGGAATCACGTCTTCGTATCCTGCGCCGATCAGGATAACTTGGTCAAATGCCTGGCTCCAGTCAACTTCATACGGATACCGGGCGCAGAGAGGGTGAGAGGTGTCCCATTTCATCGCTGTTACTTGACGAAATGGTGTTGATGGAGACGGTGTAATAGATGGGAATATGGCATGGAAGTAGGACAAGATATTGAAGTTGCGCTGGTCGACGGCATTAAAATGCGTGTTCGTCAGGCTTGGCGATATTGCTTCGAGGGTGTACTGAAATGCCTTGCTTGGCGGAGATTGGTTGTGAAGAGGTTCGTAGGTGAGCTGCGCGGTCGGCCATCCTTTCTCTTCTAGACCAATGATCTCGAATACGTGAGTAGGCTCCGCGAGTTCCTCGATCTTGGCATTCAAGTCAGCACCAAGACCCTTCGTCCATCCCATAGTATTGACCACTAAGGGAATTACGTCGGTGGTTCGTGTATCGGTTGACTCGTCATCCGGGAGCGAAGTTTGAACCTCAAGCCTGTACGTTTCGAAGAGCGCTTGGATGGCTGCGAGATAGTGTGCCGGACTGCATCGCGGTGAGGTTGCGCCAACGTAGTGCGCTCGGTACGGAAGGCTGGGATGAGTAGGGGGAGGGCCTAAGATAGAAAAATATATCGAGGGCTCTAGAGAGAGATATAGTAATCACCCACCAAATATCGGGCTGTCGAGAATGTTTAGAGCTACCAAACCTCCAGCTGTAAATTCGGATTGCCCTACATCGCATTCGAGATATGCGACGCGGTGAAATCTACAAAGTTTCATTAGCGGCATCAATCTACGTAAAACTGCAAACATACCTCGTCAAAAGCCTGTTCACAAGCGTCCGAGAAAAGGTGCTTTTTCCAGACTTTTTCGGACCCTTGACAACATATACTGAAAGTGGTGTGGGATCTGCTGAAGATGGCGGCGTATTTGCAGCGCTCAGGGCAACACTCCATGATTCAGGCAGCACGAACGGTAGCACGTCCCGTGTAGTGTGCGTCACCTGTAGGATTAAGGCGATAAATGAGCATTCCGTACGTTTAAAGATTGCACGCGTACCAAGTTCACGCCAGGTCGTATTACTTCCGCCGAGCTTCGCTGCCAACGCGAAGGATCAAAAACGCCATCGAAGACGCGACACACACGTCCGAGTCCTTCGACGCCGGTATCGAGCGATTGAATCGCTACTACAGCCCTACCGTGAATATTTGTGATGCGAGGAGGAAGGGAATGTGCATTTGAGTCGGGAGGTGCATCCGACGCGACGCATCGTAAGACGGGAATCGGAGCGGAACGAGGAGCAAAAACACGGTGAGCGACCTTTGAGGCAGACAACGTCACGCCGAGGATGGAAATAGACCCCTTCAAAACAGTAAGAGTGTATGCGCCTAAAAGCGCGAGGGTCTCCTCCCGGTCCATGCAAAGCACCGAAGTCTCGTTTTGCAAGCCCATGGCACTGACTTCATTGGGGGAGAGTTCGTAAATGTTGAGATCCCGAGTGGGTCTGAAGGAGGACAGCTGGGAAGGCTGGGATACCGAAGGCTGGCGATATAGTGGTTCCATGGAGACGCCTGGGTTTGGTCCTTCCTCGACCTCGGAGTCGTCAAACCCTACTGGCAGCTGTCCTTGAGCCTCCGACTCTGAATCCGAGCTTGATCCCACCATGATCACATCCTCTTCTCTCTCAAACGTGTCCTTCGACTCGAAATACCGAGTGGTAGCCCGCGCTCGCTCTGGAAGTACTCTAGCTTTCTTGTTGGTCCGTGATGAAATTTTTCCGTTGACAGAAGTAGTTTTGCGTTTCGAGGGAGGATTTGAGTTGCGCGTGGGCTCGGAAATAGAATCCGGTGGTGGTATTGAAGGCGTCGGTGTCGGCGAGGGCTGCTTAGAGGAAGCAGCTTGTGCTGCTCTTCGTGCTGCGATTGCGCTGAGCATGGCTCGATGGCTTGATCTGAAAAACGAGTCCGCCTCCTGTCCTAATGCGGTCAAGCGCCAAATTCTGCCACAGGCGTCAATGATTGCAATCCTCGTCAATCTCTTAGACTTGCCTCTAAGGGGAGACCAACGAGTCACGAAAACTGAAATCTATAACCGTATTACCAGACGAGCCCTATAGCGGCAATCAATTGTACTACATTGGTTAAAACACGTTAGTATACACTGGTACACGGGAGACGGAAAACCAGCTTTTAGGTATCAACAAAACTAGGTTTTTCAATGTTCCGCTCGGACAATCTAAACACCTCGAGGTATTCATTCACCTTGCCCCACCTAGGCTCGTCAGAGGGAATGCGCCACCACGAATATCTAGGTATTACTACCTCCTTCACTTTTGGAAAAGCTAGGGAGACGATGAGAGCAAAAGCTCTAGGATCTTCGACAGTTGTTTCCGCAAGCACGAGATGCTGAAGGTCGTTTGCGCCAACCATCGATGCAGGACGCTCCTCTATCCCCTCCAATACACGTGCGTCGATCGCTAGGTGAGCGCTCCTCAAACGAGGGCACTTGTTCACCAGTAAGATGAGGCCGCGCAGAGTGATGGGGGATGGCCTTACTCGCCCGGGCCCATCTCCGTCATTCAGGGTGATGTCTTCCAGGCACGGCCAAGAAGAGCCCATAACAGCTACCTCCTCGTCTGAGAATTGAAAGGATTTCACCATCGAGAGATGAAGCTCTCGCAACTTGGAGAATCGAAGCAAAGGTTTGATGGTATCCATATCAATGGATGCAGCTGGGGGAAGTTTGTTGGACTGGAATCGAAGACTCTGCATAGATTCACATCTCCGTTGATTTGACAAGGCACTGAAAAACTCCTGTAAACCTTGAAGGGACGACCCTTTGGTCGCATTGATACGCAAATGAGAAGGCGAGGGTTGGACAGTCTGAATAAATGCAGTGATGTCAGTCAGATGGCGGGAATTCATCCCAAAGCTCTTGATCCGAGAAAAAGGTGGAATCCGAGGGAGAGTAGGGTGCGGGAACTGTGAAAAATCGTACTGATGACCACTAGGGATAGTAAGGTCCAGTTCGGTCAACGATGGGTGCCATGCAATGAAAGTGATCGCCGCTTGGCTAAGTTCATCGCAACGAAGCGTCTGAAGATAGGGGAGTCCCATGATTACATCTGAGACAGTGGCCTTGATGCGCTCATGCGAGCCGTAACCGAAAAGACGGAGAGATGTTAAACGAGGGCATAAAGTGGCAAGAGGTGAGATAGACAGCGGAATATTGGGAAAGTCAACAGGATAAATGTGGATAGTAAGATCTGTCATAGATGGTACAAAGAAAATATCGAGGAGAGGGTAGTCTTCGGGGATGAGGTGGCGACAATCAAGTCGCTGCAAGTTTGGGAGGGGAGGCTGAGTAACGGGCTGCTGTCGAAGAGCTATCAAGACGTTGTGATAAAAGGGCACCTCTTCATGACATTGGGATATTGTCAAGGACAGGACTCGCGGGACATATTTCTGCAGAACCTCCCAATCACTGGCGTTCAGGATGTTCGTATGATCCTAGTAGTATTCGGCCGTTAGTACTCAGTAGGAACTCTGTTGTAATAAACCTACATCGAGATACCACTGATCGCCCGAGTGCGGTAAGCATTCTACCAAAGGATGAGGAAAGTACAGATCTCCCCACAACACATCCAGCGCGGGTCCGTGGAATATTCGGCATGTCCTCGCAAGAGCCGCAAGAGTCTTCCGCCCAACATCATCCCCTAGTACTGAATATTTCGCAGAGGGTTCAAGTTTATTGACATGGCGGAAGAGTATGTAAATGATGTCATCCAACTGCAAAGCGCAGTGCATTGTAGACCCGAGGGCAAACTGACGAGTTGAAAAGTCAGCAGAAAAGATGTGCTAGAAGCCGACTGTACTTACACTGTTTGGCGTGCTAGGATTCGCGGAGACTGCGATCCGTGAGATGGTGATACAGTAATTCTTTACAGAGATAAGAGTATCAGGAAGACTAGGAACAACCAACGAGAGATAGTCTAAGGAACTGGGACATGTCAGAGAATAATAACGCCAAGCGTAGACATCGGTTGATCAAGGAATCGGGTGCTTTAGCGAGCACTGGTATTTTGACCCGGCCACTGCACCAATCATGTGCGAGTTTTTCCTTCTAAACTAATATGGCTATCAATATGTGGAGAGACAATCTTGCATGACAGCGTCCATTGAAGACCTAGTATTATTGTCAGCGAGCTCTATTCGCTTGTGGAGCCAGTCCTCAGCATTGTATCCTCTGATACTGGGCCTACTGTTGTCATCACCTTTAACTCTGGCAAGTGGCAAGTATTGACCAAGTACATCTTTAATGTTGGTAAGAACTCTACCTGCGCGTTTCTCCAGAGTAGGAGGCACTGAAAGAAGACATCCCTGAGTATCGATTCCTTATTCTCTAAGCGATGGCGTTGGGGGCTTTGACACTGCGGGTATTCGGACTTGAGTATGCGCTCCGAATTGAACACAGGACAAAACGTACTCGGCTGGAAGTTGACCCGGGGGTGTGGAACATGCTCAGACCCACTGTATGTTGACAGTAGTGCTGCCAAGCTTGTCAAGATCTCCTAGTTTGCACGTGCGTCACACTCACACAGCGCTTTCTGGATACTGTGCAACTTGCGGTTTCTTGACATGCTAACGATCATCAGGTACTGGGCGGCGGTCTCGAGCGCGGGCCATTGTCACGTCCGTCTGAGTCAACGAAAGAGTGCTATTGATCCAAGTCAACAAAGGACGGAGATGCCTGTTATATGATGTGAAGGGTAGCGGAGGATATGATACCCAACAGGGGGAGCGCCGATCTGTCACAACAATTCATCCGCGCCTAGTCTTAATCAGCTACATCAAGCCTATTAATAAATGATTCAACCCCGACATCCCAGTCTACTCCACACGCCTGTACGCTTGGAATAAATCTGTTTCTGACGCTTCTCACAATATCTCGCGCGCCATCTCATCACGATGCGGAATTGACGACGTACCAATCCGATTCAACATCTCCAGGGTCGCTTCTCCTTGAGACCTCCCATCTGCATCATTGTCATGATTTACAACACAGTAGAAACTTCAAGGATAACTTGTACGGACAAGACTACCCTGCCAGGGGAAAGAACGATATGTGGTGCCATGTTGTTGAAGGTTCGCGCGCAGCTGTGTCATCAGGAACGGCTAATAACGCCCTGCGGGAGAATCTGTGTGCTCGTAGATACATTGAGACCCCTGGAGTATCCGTCAAGGCGAATAAGCTCGGGAGAAAAAGACTGCCTTCGGGCGGAAATGGTGTGTTCTACAATGGTAGTGAATCAGTACAAGTACAAGTACACTATGTGTATCAGTAGATAAATGCATAATGCAGACTCACCCATGACGCATCAGACACGATTGTCGTTGTCAAAATGCCTCGTCGCGTTGCGTCACATTTGTCACACGTATTTGACACGCTCTGTCACGCGACGTGGTGTCGCTGCTCCGAGTCGTCTTGCCATCCCAATAAGTAGTAGTGACTATTTCTCTGTCGAAGAATGCCTGCTATTAGGACACAAATGCACTCTATGAAGGTTGCCATCAATGAATGTAAGATAATAACCTCAACGGCAACTGCCATAGTCGAGGAGGAAATGCAGGACCTTGCAGACTGTAAGCGCGGATGTCATCTGACTCGGATCAATTCCAGAACCCATCTCATGAAATTGTGTTTTACAGGCAAGATGTATTATCCCTTAAGCGAGAACGAACGCAATGCCTTCAAGACGTGCGACGGCAAGGCAAGCATCTTGCGTTGTGACTGCCTAAGACAATTCCTCAGTCCATGATTCTCCCAGCGCGTTACTCCGCACCGATGGGCGGTATACGATTTCACTAGAACAATTCCTTGTGGTCGTGTCACGACGTACAAGGATATTTGCGTCGCTCTCGGGCGAGGCTCACCGCGATCAGGTGCGCGTCTAGACCCAGTTCCTTTGTCTGCTCTCACCACCTCATTTCCCAGTTGGCTCTGCGCTTCGAAATAACCCCTTTGCCCCGTTCGTGCCTTGCCACCGCATCATCGCATCAAATCTGTACATTGGTGGTTTCTTCGGTGAGTGGGGCACGGGCGCAAACGCAAGAGGAGGACAGAAGAACACTGGTTTGCAGTGCAACAGAAAGATGGATATGCTCGCAAAGGAGGGCGTTGAGTTTTCTGCAGACGGGTATCTTGCGGACGAAGCTCTACTCTGGGCCGGGAGATGCTAATGTCCTTTCCTGTTATTCTGTATGGTCACACCACAGTTCGCTGCTGGGTATCCCCACTACGTCGTTGCCATTGACCGTTCGAAGTTTGAACAATACATCAGTAAAATACCACGGTTCTTAATTTAACTTATTACGAACTTATTTTACTTGGTTTGGCGCCCAAGTGCGTCAAGATGTTTAAGGCTTCGATTTGACTTGGATGGCAACTTGAGTGTCTTACCATCAAGCCGACAAAGACGCTCAGACAATTAAAGTATTTTTAAGACAAATTTTGAACTTAAGCATTGCAAGAAAAAATGAATATATTAAGATGCCAGCTCGAAAGCATGGTGATCAATGAACCGATTTACGTAGAATCCTCGATATACATCCAGAGAATCGTAGAATCGAAGGCCGCGTGGTACGAGCTGAGTACCGAATATTGGGAGTAAGTGAGCACCGCGAATGATACTGTCGATATGGATGATGGACAAATCGCGAGAGCCGTCTTCATTGAAAGACGGTGCCACCATCCACATTCCTGTGAGCTCGTCTCGTTCCTCGGCGATGCGATGGAACCATTGAACGAGGGCACATGGGTATGTGTGACTGTTAGTAAAAGTAAAAGAGAAAAAACAGAATATTCGAACGACATCCATGCTCAACATTCCATCATGCCTATTGTCCGTGTTGACGAAGGCGCAGTCAAAGCGAGCTGGTCCCTTGCGCCACGAAGGCACAACGCGAATGTGCTCACGGCGCATACCAGTGATTCCACTCGGATCACTGGGTGCGATAAATGTTGCAGCGGCTGAATGAAATATCTTGATTGGTCCCGTGTAGGATGGACAGTCGCGAAGGGGGACATCGGCAGAAGAATGGTGGTTGTCCGCGTGTATTTGGTCGTACAGGAAGAGGCGAATGAGGGTCGGGAACGATGGGATGTCGAGTTCGTCTGCGAGATCAGCAACGGTACGGGCGCGTTTTCGTTCTGAACGGTGTGTTAAGAACGAAGGTCACAGTGAGTAGAGGGTTGGATACGCACGAAAGGTCCGTGCTAATTGCACATCAGCAATGACATCCACGTCATCTACAACACCCTGATCCTCAACATCGTCAAAGTCGTCACTCTCGATAGCAAAGGGGTTGCTTCCTGCATGCGCTGGGTTTGGTTGGACCTCTGGGTCTCCATTGTCGTTGTCGATATATGAGGGATTCTCAACTAGAAATTCAGTGAGTAAAATTCAATTAAAATAAAACAGACCACATACCAAATGAATTGTAGTAGCTGAAGGCACAAGACCCTTTGAGCATGCCGCGTGTTGTGAAATCAACTCTTGCTGCAGCGACTTTGTCCAGGCGCTGATTGGTAAGGAGCATCTGGCTGAGCGTGTTGTACTTGCTTGAACGTCGCCATGGTTGCTTTACCGCCTTGATATGTTTTGATTCCATGATTGACGAGCAGAGGCCGTTCGGAGCACTGAACATTCGGATGAGAAGCTCGTAGTGGATGAGAGAGTGTTGTCGGGGTAGGGAAATGTTGAAGCTGGACACCAGTAGTCTGGAAAATAGTCCGGTAAGTATGAAAACGCCCAAGGGCATCTTTCAGCGCTGCGAGAGTGTCGTCCGTCACTACGTTCGCGCGCACGATGTAGCAGAACTCTAGCAAGGCTCAAAATGCCCGAACCATATCATCTGGTACGTGGCCCTCGATTGCTGGTAGATAGACCTAGATAACAGCTGTGTAAATTTGATAAACGTGAGATAGTGAATGAAAATGTACCTTCATCAAAGCTTTGGAGTCGTCACCTGTCCATTGTGAGAATCCACAGGCCTTGTGGAAAGCGTCGTAGGCCAGGGAAGGGCGGCGCGGAAGCAATTCTAGTGTATTGTCAGTAATCACAACAGGCAGCGGCAGATTGAAAATACCTTCGGTCAATATCATCTAAAATCGCCTTGGCGCGTGTTTTGCCGTGCGTGAGTTTGAGGTATTGACCCACCCATTCAACAAGGTGGTCCTTGAAGGTTCCTTTGATGAGCTGGTGCAGTATGTCGGGGGCAAGGAGCTCGTGAATGTCGGCACGAGGAAAGTTGTTGGTGAAGGGCTATGAAGTGCAACCGTTAGTTCAACAATGCACAAATGATATGGGGGGAAAACATACCACTAACTCGCCAATGATACCATACTCGTCCCAAAGTATACCAAAATCTATAGAATCCACAAGCGCATCAGTATGTTCGCGTGACCGAGAAACACCTCCTTCATCAAGACTTGAGGGAAATGCAAGGCATCTGTGAATACAAATGAGACTTTGCAAAGTAAAACCAGAGAGAACTAAAAGGGGGGAGGGGGGGGGAGGGGGGGGGGGGGGGGGAACACGGCAGATACATTGAGGACATCGCGTAAAACTTCGAGGAGGATCCCTCTGGGGGTCATGAATGCGGATACGAACAGGCGGTGTCCTGATGATCCCTGGGGGTCATGAATGCGGATACAAACAGGTGGTGTCCTGATATGAATGCGGATACGAACAGGCGGTGTCCTGAGGATTGCTGGGGGGTCATGAATGCGGATACGAACAGGTGGTGTCCTGATGATCCCTGGGGGTCATGAATGCGGATACGAACAGGCAGTGTCCTGAGGATTGCTGGGGGGTCATGAATGCGGATACGAACAGGCGATGTCCTGAGATGAATGCGGATACGAACAGGCGGTGTCCTGAGGATCTCTGGTAGCCACTTACCTTCCACACCAATCTTTGACCATGCACGCCAATACTACCTGCTCTTCGTAGTCTGCAATGTAGGGTCCAAGGCCATATATAATGCGCCGGTAGTGTCCGTCGCCACACCGTGTGACCTCTGGAGTTGTCATTCCAGGTTTGAGATTGGCGAAGATCCTGGACAACGAGGAGTGAAACAACTGCTTCTTGAATTTGCGGTATCCAAGTTCATCTGTATTTCTTTTTTCCACTGCATACAACGGTGTAAGCTTCAAAGTAGATTAGGAGAGAATTAGGTACATACTCTTAGGGATCGCCAAAAATCCAACCAGAGCCAATGCGTTGCGATGCGCCCGCCGGACGTTATTGTGAACGTTCCCAATCGAGAGATATAGAGGGTAGTAGTCGTTTTGACCAGTAGCGACAGACACCATCGTCTTGTCACTGCCTACAATGATGGGAACGAAAGCCGCACCATGCGTTTGTGGGTCCTGTGCAATTTGGTCCTGTACCTGACATCAATATGAGAATATACTAACAGACACAAAATACATACTGCTTGCTGCCAGGCCCAGTCTCCTGACATGAAATCCTTATAGCGGCGTTGCTCATCCTTCTCCTGAAATTCACGGTAGGGCATATAATCAATTCCACCTTTGAAATCTGGATTTGCGAGCATGTTCTTGACGACGGTATGAGGGTCCCGGAACCAAACCTCGTGCGACTGTTCCATCCAAAGTGGACACTCTCCAGCAGGTTTATCGCCATTGTACTTCAGGGAGAAGCTTTCCCATGCGACATCGCCTAGCGGTGTTGCGTCGATAGTATTGTACAGGTCCTTGTAGTCGGCAAATGGTGGATTGTCACGATGAACAGCGAGAGTGATTCCCCACAAGTAGAGAATCTTGTTTATATCACCAGCGGACATCTGGTTTTCAGTGTACATGAAATCTGCGCACTCAAATTCCAGTCGGTTGCGATACGGAGTCCAGTCGTCAGGACTTTTTGCTGTGTATGGTGGAGGAGGAGTGCCAGGGTCAACAAAGTTGCCATTCTCGTCACAAATACGACCTGTGGGTATAGGTTTTAATCAGAGACAAGCCGGCACCGCAGCACAACTATTGACTTACCAGTCAGCGTCTCATGATAATCACGAATAAGTCCATGCTTCGACTCCCAGAGCTCATTGTTGGTGCGTCTGGGAGCTTCTTCATCTTCAATTTCTTCAACAGAGGCGTGTTGTGTGCGTTGCGATCCAGGATGGGTAAACGAGTGGCTATGGGCCGAGCTTTGATGAAGTTTCAGCCCAGAGGAATTTTTCAACCAGCGTTTGCAGCCTGGGTAGGGACACTGGATGCGGCGGGCGCTAAACGCTCGTCGTTTGAGCTGCGCATGAGGGATCTCGTCTGGCATGATGGATGGGAGGCTAACTGAAAAGCGCAAACCATTAGCAAACACACTAGGGAGAATGTAATGTAATACATACAAAACAGGGTGCGCGACACGTAACTTAGAGTTTCAAAGTCCATAGTGACCGCTCAACCTTACACCAAATTTTCTCCTCCACAAGCCCGACCGTTCAAACAATGGTGCGCCCAAACACTCGTCCTAAAAATGTGAACCAGCATCCTGGTGAGATCCTCCTCCAAAACAAGAGGAAAAGGCGCACTGCTCGTCAAATCCAGGAAGACAACGACCAAGCCGAGCATGAGCGGCAGGAGAAAGAAGCCGCTGATCAACGCACCACCGAGAAGATTGCGTCTATTGAAGACAAGAAGGCATTGAAGGACTTGAAGATCCTTTTGCATGCGCCAAAGCCTCGGCCTCGGGCGCGTCCTGTGTCGAAGTCGAAGGTGAGCCAGCCGAACATTGAGGATGACGAGGAGATTGTAGAAGCAGCTGAGATGGGGGATGTCGAAATGGAGGACATTGCTGCAGGCGATAATGATGGAGATAAGGACTTTCAACCAAGGTAAGGTTCCAGGAGACTCACCATACACAGAGACTGACTATGTTGTATCCAGTGAGGAGGAGAATGAAGAGGTGCAGCCGAGGAATAAGCATGTCCAGAAGACAGCATATCATGAGGCTGTCCATGCTGAGCGAAGTGTTAATAATACAGGCATCAACATGACTCACAATCAGAATTTGAAGGTCGATATATCAGATCAGGCTGATCCAACGGCACGTGGTGACCAGAAAGGCAAGAAAGGAGTGTAAGTCGATTATTGTTCCCATCTGCCATGTTGTTACTCACCGAAACGACTCTTTTTCATCTTGATCACCTCAATCAATTCAGTGCGGATGTCTGCGCCGCCAAGGATGACTATGCAGGGATGGGGAAAACAAAGGACTGGGCTGAGAAACTTGCAACAAGCAAGTTGCTCCGCCCTCAACTTGAAAGCCTTCGCACTGAATCACACAGACGGGTGTCTTCAATCACCACCTCAACTGCTGTTTCAAGGATCTCGAAAGTCACTAGCGCCAGGGCTAATCCCACTGGCAGCCCGCACCCCACAAACAATGTTCAAGTCAATCTCGAAGAACCTACCACAGCGTTTCTGGACGAGGACGATTCACTTGAGCGTGAGGCTGCTTTCAAGGCTACCAAAAAGCCTGGTGCCAGGCATACGACTTCTGCGGTATTTCTTTCATTTTTCATGCATTTGCATCACACTTACTCCCCACTCAGGATATATTGGAAGTCAGTGATAACAGTTTATCACCGCCTCCATTGCGACCAAAGAAATGCTCACCAATAATGGCAAGGACCGAGTCCTTATCCTCCCCCCCTCCTCGTGCCCCTCCTTCTACGCAACCATCCAGAGCCACCGCCAGGTTCATCCCGACTGAGCCCGTTACTGACTTGTCAACGGACATTGACTTTGGCGAGAGTGAGGACACATCACCGCCCCCTGCTCCTGTATCAGCAAAAGGCACCAAACGCCTAACAACTTCAGTAAGCCGGTACTTATTTTGTGATACCCTTCTCATTTTCTCTCCGCTAAACATAGACTGGCGTCAGCATCAATAGCCAGCCCCCCCCTTCGAAACGAGCAAAGACAGAGCCGCAGAGCAAGAGTGTCATGTCACGCTGCGATGGCAGTGGCGCCAATCACCGGTACCAGAACGATGACCTTCCTGAGGGATGCCAGGATGGTAATACCTGGCGCCGGGTGTTCATACCAACTGTCGCACACTGGGCTGGTGGAGAAGTTGAGCCTTGGGGTCCTGAAGACGAAGATTTAAGGGACGCCATGCAGGAGATCTGGAACTACATATACCGGGGTAAGATTCAGCACGAGATCTCTAGATCTGGTGCCGTTTTAAAAGTGGTAAGTCTAGTTGTTTTTCAGTCATTCAGATGTTAACCAACATTTAGGCCAAACAACGCCTTATGGAATGGCGTGGAGGGTTCGGTATCGCAGCATGCTCCATCCTCACTGCATTTTTTGCGCAGGACGCTGATTTTTTGGATCCTGCGGCTCGCGAGGACTTTTCAAGGGCCATGCTGAAGCATAACCGGTTCATTTTCAGGGATAATTCAGGACTCGTTCCCAAGGTAAGTGGCTATAATAATTACTGTGAAACCATCTAATTATTTGTTCAAAGGACTGGACGGGTATGTGGAGATCCCCCTTCGTACTTCAGACATTCACATCACACCTCAATTTCACCTTCGGCCGTGTTGAAGTCCCCAACCTTGACACCGAGAGCATTAGCGCGCGGGCTGCATTTGCCCTCGCCGTTACTGCTGTAAGTCATTCAATTTCTACCGTTCATTGTCTAAAAATAATATTTTCAGGTTTATCGTACTCTTCAGCTCATCATTGATGGGAACCTCACCTTCAAAGTCGTTCAAGAATCCCGCAGCAAACGCAAAGGTGCAAAGACCGACGGCGGCGATATCTGGACCCCCATCATCACGAAGGGCGAGCAGTTTGCTTTCAGCAAACCTATCTGGGGGCACATGACCGTCAAACTCATGGGCCCCATTGTGGCGCTTTCCGACTGATGCCTTCGCGAGCATTGTTGGGGAGGCACAACAGTATGCCAAGCACGCGAAAAGCATCGGGAACTCGAGGACTACCACCAGTGAAGCGCCTGACGAGGATGATGTATTTGCTGACCTCTTTGCATTCCGTTGAAGCCGCTCGGCGCTGTTTTTTTTTGTCGCTCATTATATCCACGTCCCATGCTCCCCGCCGTCGCCTATTTTATTTTTATCATCTGTCTCTGATCGCATCTTGTTGGCCTTGCATACTTAGAGCTTATTTTGTCTTACTGTATAAATTTAAGTAAATTCAAGTTCTATTAAGTCTTTTGTTGGTGTAAGACGAGAGGCTTATGTTAAGATTAAGGTCTTTGAGAAAGACCGACTTATATTGACTTGGCCGCAAATTTAAGCTCATTAAGTAAATTTAAGAACCGTGGTATTTTACTGATGTATTGTCCAAAAGAAACATGAAAGAGTAAGTAATCAGCTCTAAAGGACCTTAGGGGGACGTCATCGAACCTCCCCCTGGCTTGCAGAGGACCTATTCGTCACCTTGTAATGTTCTGCACTGGCACGAGGACTCATAGAGTCTTGGGTCGAATTGCAGCATTCGTGTGTCTTTCACTGAGGGAGTTCGTCCATGTTTGGCGCTGTTAGGATCAGAAGGTTTATATCATGTGACCAATGCGTCTTGGACGCGTCAAACAATTTCAAATTCATTCGTTGACCGTATACCCGCATGCATAGCTATAGTATTTATGAGGCATAAAGTCTCATACCTGAAGACTTAATTCCTACTTGCAACGCCGCAGAAGACTCAGAAAAATTGGTTCTGGTAGTGTCCTTCACGGCGGGTTCACCTTGTCAGCGCGAAATACTGTGGTCTCGAATCTCTCATGACTTGCCGATGGCGTTGCGAGTCTCTGATGACGTCGGTGCGTTGTGACGCCTCCAGCCTGCATCAAATCCCTATTAGGAAAATATTATATCGACAACCAAACAATGTCAGCCGCCGTGTTGGTGGATATAAACCCCCTCCGTCCCGCTTCACTCCTTCATCAACTCTTCCTTCCTCTCATTCATATTCACAGCTCTTAACTTGTGTCCTCCTTATGTCGGGTGCTCGAGCCGAGTAGGTGGCAGACTTGGAGGCACATGGCATCCTACAGACACTCGTCTTTCCCACCACTAGCCCGCCTTAGATCTTACCCGCCGGGCGCCATGTTGTACGTTTTTTGTTCATAGTGCATCCCTGTGTATCAGGCGATTGATTTTCTCTTGATTGCGCCCAGGTATGGCCGCGGCGAGCTGACATCAAGACCGCAGGTATGTCTCTTCCCGACGCCTTCTTACTTACATACTAACCGATATCGACCACGTCTAGGTTTTCGCGGAAGACTCCAACATGCACTTACCTGTATACTAACTGACATCTACCACGCCCAGGTTTGACGCACACCTTAAATTTTGTCCGCCAGACACCATATAGTACGTGTCTTGCTCATAGTACTCCCAGTGTCTAGACGACTAACATTTTCTTAATTGCACCCAGGTCTGGCGGCGAGCTCACACTGGATGCTGCAGGTATGTCCTTTTCTCGCCGCCTTCTTACCTACCTACTAACCAATATCGACCAGGTTTTGACAGGAAACTCCAGCACGCCTTAAGGTTTACAAGTTGATAACTCGATCAACTGCTGACCTTCGCGGGCGCCGTTCGCGGCGCGGACGGTGCGCAGGTGATTGGACTTGCGTCCTCTGACCCTCTTCAAATCGCGTTTGCTGGCCACATTCGCTGAGGCTCTCAGCTCTCCGACTGCTCTCCGCCCTGCATGCCTCCTCAGCATCTCCCCGGTCTAGTCACTGGCCCGCACGTGGCTTAGGCATCCCGGCCTACGTCAACTCAAAATTCTCGTTGCTCCGTCAGCTCGGGCACGAGTTGAGGGGGTACTCTTCACTTTCACCTTCTCGCTCCGCCACTGACATTGCGCCATCTTCAGGGCATCGGCGGTCGCCGCATCGTCCACGTCGGGACCCTGCGGTGGCTCGGGGCGTGGAACTGATGTTCCGCCACGTTCGCACCTCAGTGGCGGCCGGGTCGGGTGTGGCATCGTTCAGCCTGCTTCCTCGCCAAGAGGCTCAATAAGCCGAGGTCGTCAGCGTGAGTAAGCCCACCCCGGGTTGATAAACAAAATCACCCCGACCATGCACATGCCCTGGACGACATGAAGAATGACGACACAAGGATCTCACTTCCGATCCTAGTTTTTGTCCTTTATGGGGTATTGATATCTTTCGATATCCGGGTCGTCAGTATTTTTCACCTCATCTTCTTCGTGAGACTGTCTTTCTTTGCTTCCTTTTTCTCTGCAGCTTACAACTTCCGTGAGTCATTGTCTCTGAAGCATATTGAAATGTTACTTATACTGCTCCTTCGTAGTCCGCCACAGTTGTTTTCATGGTGCATGTGCATCTAATCGTACGAGGTGAGTACTATATCATTGACTGATGTTGCTGGTTCTTATCTTCTGTGAAGCGTTGATATCTCTTGATATCATAATTCGCGACAAGTGTTGATATCTCTCGATATCGTAATTCGCACCGTCGATATGATGCCATGCTCATGTTTCCCCCCCACCCTGTCCTCTCTGCCTCCCTTGTTTTGTATCTCGTTGTCGCGACGGTGAGCCTCTGTTCTGTTCTCGACATCAACTTGAAATGTACTTATACGAACCTTCTCAGTGACGCATCCATTAGTTGGATGGTCGAGATTAGGCTGCAGGTGAGTCATCCTTCCATTTGAGTCACTGGTAGTCTCCGAGTCAGCGAGTCGAAGACGCCATACGACCACATTGAATGCATTCTCATTCACTGTGACCGCATGGGGTCTCTGAGTTGATCCGACGAGTGACAGTCTATCGCTCTAATTTACAGGAATAGATATGCGGTACTACCTGCAAACCTGTACATCGCAAGTGTTCTAGGATTCGCACACCATCACAACTACAGCGTCACCGCTCCTAGGGTATTGTAGGGTGAACCAGCAACTCGACATCTTTGTACTTACCCTAGCCAAACCCGTCTCGTCACTTGTTCGCTCCTCATCGTCCACAGAACTGGATGCTTCTATTAGCGTGTTACAGAAAACGCGCACGGATGGAGCATACAGCACTATCAGTCTTTACATCCCAACGACTAAAGGGTCTGCTTCCTAACCATCCTTCTCACCCTTGAGGCCGAGGAGGGCAACGATCCCATCGCGATATGTCTTCTCCGCCTTCGCTTCGCCACTCGGGGGCCATCAATATAGGGAAATCACCGTAAACCCGATTAAAGTACCCCTTCTAGATCAATCACCTGAAGATATATACCCACTTCAAGGACGATAATATTTCTGTGTTCCCCTTACCAGTTCATCCCGACGTCCGGCCCACAGATTTGCCCTCGGGATCGGTCATGTCGCTGCACCGTGACATCAATGTCGTTAACAGGAGATCACCTGAGGCTCAATACCTGGATAGCGACATATTCCCCGTGCCCAAGTATTCTCTATAAGGTCAGAAAGTTTTCGGCGTACATTCAGTCCAACTCCCTTTGCTCATGTCACGTAACTTTACAATTTTGGTAGCCACATATCTCCCATCCAACACCGACTGCATGCGTGCGCGCATGATCATCGACGTCCGTCTACCATGGCCACGACTATGAGACTCTGAGGCGGAGGCGAATGGTCTCTTCCACCCGGCCGTATTGTCCAACGAGCCCCCAACTTTGTCCGAGAAGCCGGGTCATGCACATCACTATTCAATACAGGTCGATTGGCATGAGTCGCACAATTCAGAGACGCGATTATCAACTTCGTCGCAATTATGTCTTGTCCCTATGTTGTGCGATACCAGATCTGTGTTCGAACCAATGATATAATTTTGAACCTCAGTCTTACCTACACGTTAGGAGCAGTCGCCTTGGGCTCTGAGTCAACACACTGGAAAATGCAATGCAAATGGAAGTCGAGATTAGGCGTAATACATATCAGCGAGTTATACAGTCCTATAGTGTGAAATATCATTCCTTGGCCACAACCGGCGCGCAGTCATAGTTGGATGCTACATGCGAAGCCGTCAGATCGTCTCAAGAAAGTAGGGTAATGACGCACGAAATTGATTACACGCCAATGTGCATGAACACGATGCGCTGGTCCAAGGGCAAGTCTTTCAACGACTGGACTGCTTTGTGCAGCGCTCGCGCAGCTCGTTTTGAATTCATCTTGCCGTCTCCGCAAAACTCTTTGTAGAATGCCTCGACTAAGTGTTGCACGGTGCTGTCATTGACATTCCAAAATGTCCCAATGACACTCTTCACCCCAGAAAATTGCAGGCCAGCCGCCAAGTGAATCGCTTCGTCAGGACTTTCGAAGTCACCGACTGCAGTCTGACAAGCAGAGAGAAATGCAAATTCGTGGCGAGACAGATCAGTGTGACTGATATCTAGAAGTTGAAGCGGTTCGTCGCGCATGAGAAATGCCGACTTGAAGGGTTCCACAAAGTTCTGTGTCCCGTGGCAGGAAAAATGAATCCAATGGTTATCGCGCAATATGCGCAGGGCGGCCGATTTCGTTGATTGACTACTCGTGAGTTTGGTGAAGCACACAGTCGGGGAAGGGGGTAGGAGACTCTTCACCAAGTCCAGTTCAGGTTCGACACACGGCAAAGAAAATAAATATCATGAAGGGCGGTTCTGACCAATGGCAGCGAAGGACACGGGCAGAGCCCTGTCACGGTGTTTGCGAGCCTTAATGAGCGCAGTAAGCGATGGAGTGTAGGAGGAAATGTATAGTTGCGAAAGGTTCGTTCCCTTGGGTCTGTATTCGCCAGCGGCGTGCAAGGGCAAGAAGTTGAAGAATGAAGTGGGGCACCACCATATTCGCGACCCTGGCTTTGTGACTCCGGCGAGATTTTTAACCACAGGGTGCACTACCTCGACCCACAGCTGCCTCAAAGCTTCCACTAGCTTTGCTTGTTTCTCTGCCAGCTTTGTTTCTCTCTGCGAGTTTTGAGGGCTGGAATCTTTTGCCACCGTCAACTGCAGCGCATTCACCAATCGCATGAGTCTTTCTACATCGATAGCGAGTTCTACACTGACTGGATGTCCCTTGTGTGGGACGATGATTGCATTGCAAGATGACTTGCTTGCAATGAGAAGAATGATAGGGCCATCGCGAGCGGCGTCTTGAAGTCCAGAGAACAAGGGGGCGAGTAGGAAGCGGTCGAAGTCCTCGATCTTCCGGATATCTTTTAGAACTGTGTTCCATTCCTCCACTAGACATCTGTACTTCGTAGCTCCTGCTTCTACATTGACTCTTGATGTTCCTTCTAAATGATTCGAAGGAGGTTGGTCAAGAACGGAGCTGAGGTCTCGGAATTTCTTCATCAATGCCTCTGCATGAGCGCCACGGTCCTGGAGGCTGTCAAGAGGCATGCGGAATCGCGCCATCTGGGTCCATATGAGAGTTCTGCCTTGTTCCAGCAGCTCTACAGCACGGCACACATCGCCACGACGAAGAGCACATGATGCAGCATTGACTGCGAGTGTGCTTGGGAACTCCTTCATGATGTGATGACGTGATGACACCGAAGCTGTTGCAGACATGAAAGCATCCAGAAGTTGCATGGTAGTTGCATAAGCCTCGAGCTCGGTGCCATGTGAATGTTGATCAGCATGGCGAACCCAGCTTAGACTTGTGCACAGGCGGGCTAGCAAACCGCTAGAGACAGAACTTGTTGCTGCCTTGAGATGATGCATGGCAGTATTCAGACCCTCAGTGTCTTCGCCAAGGCCTGATTGATGGGCCAGCAGATATAGGGAGGCTAGTGACTGACGGACTATTATTTGTCGAGGATCATGTTGCGTCAAGAGAGTCAAGGCACAGCGGAGATTCTCTAGCGACTCTTGGAGGTCTTGGTCATTGCCTCGGTGCTGGAAGCGGGTGGACAGTTGAGTTGCAAGGTTATTCAAGGATATGTACCGATGTGTGTGACCGACCGGGCGCAAAGCCAGCGCTTCCTTGTGAAGCATGATACCCTCATCCAAGTCTTGGTCATTGCCTCGGTGCTGGAAGCGGGTGGAGAGTTGATTTGCAAGGTTATTCAATGACGAGGACCGATCTGTGTGACCGACCGGGCGCAAAGCCAGCGCTTCCCTATGAAGCATGATACCCTCATCCAAATCTTGGTCATTGCCTCGGTGCTCTAAGCGGGCGAAGAGTTGATTTGCAAGATTATTCAATGACGAGGACCGATCTGTGTGACCGACCGGGCGCAAAGCCAGCGCTTCCCTGTGAAGCATGATACCCTCATCCAAGTCTTGGTCATTGTCTCGGTGCTGGAAGCGGGTGGAGAGTTGAGTTGCAAGGTTATTCAATAACTTGGACCGATACGCGTGACCGACCGGAGTCAAAGCCAGCGCTTCCCTCTGAAGTGCAATGGCCTCGTCGAGGTCTTGGTCATTGCCTCGGTGCTGGAAGCGGGTGGAGAGTTGAGTTGCAAGGTTATTCAATGACGAGGACCGATCTGTGTGACCGACCGGGCGCAAAGCCAGCGCTTCCCTGTGAAGCATGATACCCTCATCCAAGTCTTGGTCATTGCCTCGGTGCTCTAAGCGGGCGAAGAGTTGAATTGCAAGGTTATTCAATGGTATAGACCGATCCGCGTGACCGACCGGATGCAAAGCCAGCGCTTCCCTGTTCAGCACGATAGCCTGATCCAAGTCTTGGTCATTGCCTCGGTGCTGGAAGCGGGTGGAGAGTTGAATTGCAAGGTTATTCGATGACCCGGACCGAGCTGTGTGACCGATCGGGCGCAAAGCCAGCGCTTCCCTCTGAAGTGCAATGGCCTCGTTGAGGTCTTGACTATTGCCTCGACGCTCGAAGCGGGTGACTAGCATTATACTGAGATTACACAGCAATTGCCCTCGCCAATCATTCGCTGTGCTGTAGTATCCTAGCGCATCATAATGAAGGGATATCGCTTCATCCATGGCATGGGGATCATCTATGTGCAAACACAACTCTGCTCGATCAGCAAGTTCGTTCGGGGACCACGGAAGCATGGATGCAATGGGCACCTCCGCCCGAAGTGTATTTGCATCAGTGCTTCTGACCAAAGCAGAGGTTTCAATTGCAAGAAGAGCTGCTCTGGATAGATGGCTATCAGCAAGGGAGACATCGCAAACTTCATTCAGTAACTCTTTAGCCACATCAGCATCCGCTTGAAATCCCCGTTTCGCACAACGAGACAGGAGAGCAAGGGCAAGATGGAGCTGGGTGAGAGGTCGGTCTGGATGACCTGTGGGACGCATATCAAGCGCATCTTGAAAGAGAGAGATGGGGATGTCCAGGTCCAGGTAGGTTCCATTAACCTGGCAACTGACGAACTTCGCGGTAGCTAGGTTGGACAGTGTCGCAGGGCGGTAGGGATGATCAACGGAGCAGAGATCAGAGGCGCGTTCGAAGTGCTTTATAGCTCGATCGAGATCCACATGGTCTTGCGTCTTTTTGTAGCGCGCAAGAATACAATGTCCCGCATCTGTCATGAGTCTCAATGCGTGTGTGTCGTATGATGTCGACTGTATACTATGAGTTTTCAGGATATGCAGAATGCTTTGATCTACTCACAGGAGCAATCGGACAAAAAGCCGGGGCGTCGTCTTCATAAGAAACTCGCCCCTTCACAGTGGCAAAGAGCGAGGTACACGAGGATACGACATCGCCCGCCTTGGGCTGAAAGTCGAAAGCTGGGTTGTTCTGTCAACATCCGACAGGCACGATTCACGACAGAAGTTACGGACGACGTGAATTTTCACTGCGTTCTACCAATTCCCCTACGGAGACCTCGAATCCGCGGAGGCGTTCTCCATGACCGAGCATGGGACTCAATTCAAATGAGGCATACACAGTAACCCGAACTTTAGAAGACGGCTCGGATGGTCTAAAATCTTTTTAATGCCCGCAGAAAAGACGGGAAGAAGGACAACTTACAGAAGTATGTTTTCGTTCCATTCGACCACGACCTGGTCTACGTGTACAGGTTTGTGACTTGTCTGCCATTTAGTACCATCAGCCTCTACTGTCACGTAGAAGCCAGTGGGGATTCGTCGAAGACCAAGAGTGAGATCAGCGGCGAGAATGCCTTGGGAAAGATCGTCAATACGTGCTGAATGGAGATACATAGCACATACTAGTAATGACGACTTGTTGTATTCCACTGACTTGGGTATCTCCCGGGTCCTGGGGGTGTTCTGGGTGGCTTAGCTCCTCTCCCAAGGGCGGAGGGCAATCATCGTGAGGATCAGGTATGAAACCAGACATTTAGCTAATGGATGGATTTAAACCAACGCTTGAGTGTAAGATGTGTTAGAGGTCACGAACTGCTGGCTGATGAATTATAAAGGAGGGAACCACAGCATGCACGTGGTACCCAGCGATGTGCAGCACTCGGATGTATTGGAATATCCGGGAGCTGGAATCAACGGACAGAAGCGG